TTTTAGAGAACATACAACAAACAAACAAAAAGATGTGGAGAGATACATGATTTTAAGGGATACAACAGATAACGTGTGTGTGTGTGTGTGGAAGTGCAACAGTATTGTTAATATGTAGAATAACAAAATAACAGATAATAAAGTCATAATACTGAATAGATAATGGTAAGTTTAAATCTATAGGTAGGTATTGAGAGCAACAGACAAGGGATGAATTGCAGCTATCTAATAAAATGGTACGGTTATAAAAGCACAATGAGACAGACAGATATCCAACAGATACATAGCCACAAGCTAACTATGGACAAAGTGTTAAATTAAGACTTGTCAGTGTCAGTCATAGTGGCGGCAAAAAAACAAAACAATTTACTGCTGGTCGTGGGTGGCCATCATCAACACCGCACAATAGAGTCTGCGTATTTTTAATGTAACGCATAGAGCCTGGTGTGGATTTAATATTTCTGCATGTTCTGCCTGCCACTTTATTATGACCACATGGGAGCTATCATTTATCAGCTCAGATCAGACATCCTTGTTTCGTCAGCTCCACGGAGATCAAACCATTTCTTATTAAGCCGCCGTTATTAACTCATCCATCACAACTTGGCTTATTTGCCCCCTGTCTTTTTATTATAATTTAATTCCAGACTAAAGTCCTGACATTATTCTTGTTACTTGTGATATTTCTGGTGTTTTTGTAGCCGCTGTTGAAATGACCTCACAACCTTGTGTATTTACAATGTGTTATAAAATACTCCTCCCCGGTGACATTAATTTTCGTCCGTGGGTGGAGAAGGCATTATACCCTGTAACTACTGTGTTCTCTATGTAATTTGGCCTAACCTAACTTTCAAATTATAGTATTTATGACCACATTAAAATTCTCTCATGTCAATATACAGTGTTCCCATTGAAGCATCCGAGTGACATGTGCTTTTAAAGGCCAGATTGATGTTTTTGGAGCGGGCGCGGGGGCGTAAGTTTCTGCCAAGACCAGATAAATGAAGAATGTTGTGTCTAATTCCAATCCCAAGTTGCAAGAAATATTCAGATATTATGGCTGGCATCGCACAGGAAGGAATAATGAGAAAGGATAGAAAGTTAACGGACTAAGCTTCCTCTAACAATTGGGATAGTTACTCCAAAGGGTAACGGTTAGAGCAATTGTTTTCTAAGTATTTATCATTATCTTTCAGTTCAATTTTCAGTTCAATTTGAAAAATACAGCCAAATGGACTGTTTTATAGACTTATGGAGGAGGCATGAATTTAATAATAATATAGATTTTTTTGTGACTTCCTGCTCTGATAAATGTGACTTATTCAGTTGGACTTGTGCGTTTTGATAAATTGTGTTTTGTAGAGCTAAGCTCACAGGGAGAAGACTGGATGTAATTTTCTCTTTCACAAGGTGCAAATGATGCCAATTATAGTCTTTGCTGTTCTATCCAATATCACACTGTTTGTCCCTGATAACCATGTGCACATATTATGGCTGAGACATCTGTGTAGTCACACCTGGGGAGCGCTTAGGCGGTTATAGACAGATCCTGGTTTGATTTCACACTTCTTCGGTGCCAGTCCAACACATGCTGAGAGCACTCGGCTTCAGAGGAGATAGACACCGAAATCTAAATGTAGCAAATGGACAAACAGCTAATGTAGGTTAAAGAAGAAATGTTTTGCGTTCTTTTTGGTCATGGAAATGATAATGACTGTATTTACTTTGTCATTTCATGGTTTAGAATGTGAAATAATAGCTAAAGAAGAAATTATATGGCAAAACAAGTTTCACAGGTAAAAAGCGTTTTCTGCCTGTAACTTTCTATGCTGCCACCAGAGGGAGGAAGTTGAATTATTTCTGGCTTTTTTCCATCTTGAAAATGACCTGCTGCAAACACAAATGTGCAATTGTAAAGAATTTTATTTAACTGTGAGTTGTTCTTCATCATTATAAAGACAGATTAAGATATTAGTGTAAAATTGCAATTGTATTGTATTACATTTGAGCAATAGTTTTAGAATGAATATAGTTCCTGATATTAGCATTCAATGGATGGATCTAAAAACAACTTTAGGTCTGTTTTGGATGAGGGAACTATGCTAAAAGCCAGATTTTGTACACTATGTCTCACTTAAAACACAAAGTCCTTTCAACTAAATTAAAATGTAGCAACCAAATAAAAGATCAGGGCCTTTCGGCACATTTATCCTGTATTTTTATGCCCTCCAACTGCCCTTCAGAGACTTTAGTTTGCCCCAAATTACGGCCCCTTCAGCGTGTGTGAATCAGAGGCGTTGACAGGCGTGGGTCCGGCCAACACGTCCCGAGCTCCGCAGTCTGGGCGAAGGTATGCAGGGGCTTTCACAACCACTGAAAGAAGAGTGCGAAGGGTAAGGATTTCCTCTCAGACAAAAGCAGAGGAGAGGGCTGCTGTCCTGCTGGGTGGTTATTTTGGCGGTCCCATGGGGGTCTGGCCTATTGCCCTCTCAGACGCTTGACAAAAGACCCCAGTGCACCCCGGATAATAAACGCTCCGCTCCCACTCTGGAGGTGATGCAGGTGCAGGTGACTCATCATGGGCCCGTATTGAGCGGCATTCTGGGAAAAGAGCAGTCGTTTCGTTTGTCCTTTAGGGCACTAAGCGTGTTTGAATGTCGCGCTGTTTGCCAGATCTCAGGCTTATATTGAGGTGAACTGACAAAGGCGTTTCAAAGTATGAAGATAAAGTGTTAGAGGAGTGCTATGAGTGCCCCTGCTTCAGAGTATGTTTGGGAGGGCGGCAGGAAGTTTGCCATGCAGTCCACTAGAACGTGACTAATGAGTGTATAATGAGACGTGTTTGTACGAAGGAATAGTGCTGGGATAAGAAATAAGACAAATACATTATTACTAAGGCTTTGAGAGATTGAGAGAAGAATATTTCTCCTAAACTTACTTTTGTTGCTGACACGGCCCTGACTTTCTACTTGACAATACATTCAATATCCACCCCATGTACGAATATAGATCAACATTTAAATATTATTATAATGAATTTGAAAAAACTCAAGATTTGGGAGTGAGGGAACAAAATTGTGAATATTCTTTTACCCAGATCGCCCAGTCTTAGGGCTAATACTATTGTAGCCACAGCTGCCCTGGCCTGAACTAATGGAAACAATACTACCAGTGCCAATCTCCCACCAATCACTTAAACACTGACCAGATTCATACAGGGACAGATGGGTTAAGGGTCTTGCTTAAGGACACAATACCCTATCGGTACTACTAACCAGGCCTACATAAAATATCAAAAATAGGTGCTACATGCAGTCATTTTTTGGCCTTCTATTTCAAGCTTTCCTCTTTATGATTGACCATAGTAGCAAACTGTCCTGTGGGTTCAGTTCAGTGTTGGACAGTATACATTTACCATAGGTACAAGTGCCGACTGTGTGATGTCATTCCCACTCGTTCAGCTTGTAAACACCATGGGAGCTTGTAAACATCATGAGATGCAAACCGTGTTGCTTTTTGGATACTGTTTCACATAATATACTCTGGCCTAGTTTTAGTTTTATTATTAGTATCAGAATTGTCCCCTGGTGTTTGACCCTTAAGTTAGCACGAGTTTCTTATCTCTGTGAATGTGATGTTGTCTGTTTAAGGTTGTGTGAGAAAATAAAAGGTGTTAAGTGTATCAGGCGTTTAATCAAATACACTGAACATATTTAGAAATGTAATGTTTGGGTTAACTGTCTTCAAATGTGTCAAAGTAAACACAATTTTGATGAATGGAGAAAGTTTGCATCCTCTAAATCTTTTCAGCCATAGAAGGTTGTTTCCTGAAGTAATTTTATATATGAGCTTATGCCCTTGTGATAAGGACTGTCAATTCATCTTTTCCTCAAAGTTTTAAATGCTGGAGTCTGAATGCCTGCATATATTTCTTGTATCACATTCAGTACAAATGGCTTGCTCTTCATTTTCTTGCATTTCATGTTTGAAGCTTGTGAACGGCACACCCAGAAACCAAATCGTTCTCATGTTTTAGTAGCATTCTAAAGCTTTATTTTGCTTATTAGCATCTTAGTTGAGCTTTCCTCCTCTTCCTGAAGAGATTACTGAGGCCAGAAGCATAGTCAAGCCAGGAGGGGACAGAGTCGACTTGGCAGTTAAACCCAGTGACCTCTACCCAATAAAAGACAACTACATGAAGCAACAAAAAAAGTGTTTCTGTTCGCATGCCAAGTCGATTTACATTCTGGGAAGAGCTGTGTAAACTGTGGTATGAGGAAAAAGTTGATTACTAATTGTCTTTAACTGCTAAATCCTATTAGACGCAGTGGGAGCAGGAGCTTATTTGAGCTCGGAAAGCCTTGGCATGAAGAAAAAGGAAAGTTTGTCACACCCCATAAATATACATCCACGGTCACGCTATCATGTTTTACTGGACTTGTTTTGAGTTAAGTAAACTCATATAGAAGATTATTCCTGCTCTGAGGAGGTGTAAAAGGTCGAGTAGCTCAATTGGGTGAGCATTCTCTTGGGAAAAATGAAACTAAATATTGTTGTTTGTTGTTTGACTTGCAGAGATAAAGTATGAGAACATTATGTAAGGGAACAGTCTTAAGTGTCCTCTATAGTTAAATGAAGGCCTGACATCCGCAGCCCAGGGCAGCCTGTATTGACTTGGGCTCAGTCCTGTATGCAGGCGTTGGGGTTCACTTTCAAGGTTACTTACATATCCATCCTTACAGACTTGTATGTACGCTGTAACACAGAAAAGTCCCCACTGTGGGATGACTTAAGGTTCTCTTACCTTCCCCTGGTTCTGTAGCACCTAAAAATGTTGAGAGTGAGTTGGCTGAAGTAAATCAAATTAAATCTAAAACACATTGTGTCTTTGTCCTTGGTGGATTCTGTGTTCTAAATGTACACACTCTACATTTGACCCAAAGTTATGAACAGTCCAGATTACACCACACAATAATAATTGACCCTTTTTGTCTCTGCAGGTGATTCTTATTCATATTTGCCTGTAGACTCTGGCGATGAAGAGTCAGCTGTGGATGTAAGACTTTACAGTCATCGGTGGAGAAGATGGCTCCCTCCCAAACCTCAAAACATGGACAGTAACAGAGCGAGTCCGGAGCAGGACCAGGACACTGAACCTGAGGAGCCGGGGGGCTTCCCTGGAGTGCTGCCCACTGAGACAGAGACAGACAACAGTTCACAGATAGAGGTACACACACGCACCTACACACATCTACACAAATGCGCACACACACAATTGCACCTGCGCGCGCACACACACACACACCCACACTTGCACGCGTGCACACACGCATACTCACGCACTCATGTGTGTATTTTCTTCTGCCTGCGTTAAACAACCAAACTTCATCAGTATTGTTCTTTATACATTCGCTGTGTGCTGCGTCAAAAGATATGTTTTCTTTTATTCAGGCTAATGTGTAAAAGCTTGTGTAGAACAGTAAGGCAGCATACTAGTAGGATAACCTTTATGCCAAGCAAAATGTCTCAAATCTCTGAGTCTATCAATGCGTTGTAATTATGCAATAAAACTTTCTTTCTCATAAAAAGTTTAGCTGATATAAAAATCCCAAAAAGATGAAGTCCTCTCTGTAGCTGTTGCTGTAATGCTTTTTCCATTGCCAGGAGGCATTATAAGACTCTGGAAAAACTACAGTAATGAAAAATAAGGCCCTTAAGGTTTAATATCAACTTTATCCATGCCTATGTGCGATGAGGCCCTCATATTTGAACCACAACAGCCAGTTTTGTGCCAAGTCTTTTGGTTTGTCTGTATGAATATATTCCATCACTAGTGTTTTGCACCTCAGCCTGGCCGACACACTGTTGTGGTGCTGTAATGATGATGATTATGAGTCCTCCTTGGCCTCTAATCAGTCTTGCATCAGAGTATTGTCACAGTCTCCTAAGGGAAGAGGAGCTTTGATCCTCAGCTGTAAACAGAAAAACCCGTATCTGTTGTTAAAATCTATTTTATTGCACATCATGAAGTTTACTTGAAAACAATATCACTTTTTTCTCTTATCAGATAAGATTACACTATAATAGTGAGATCCTTTCATATGTCACTGTCTTGGAGACAGGACACTTTCATGGCTCTGAGCTTTAGTGTGTCTTTGTCCGTTTTGTCCTGGTCTGAGTTCTGCTCCGAGGCCCTGGTCCAGAGCTCCAGTCCTGTCTGCTGTGTTTTTACCTGCAGCTCGTGTTCGCTTTGTCCTGCTCTTTCTTTAGTCAAATGTAGTGTCTTTACAAATGCATTGGCAAATCTTTTCATATTTTTAGTTGAACTCACAAAAGTTCTGTACAATAAGTCAAATTTGTATTGACTTAAACCCAAATCTTTGTTTCCTTTATTTTATGTAGTCCTCTGTTCTCTGCAGTCTTATTGGTTGCAGTCGGAGTTGTTGCTAAATGTCTGGCTGCTGACAGCAGTTTCCCGCTGTGACCGCTCTGGGCTTTAAATGCTTTGGTACATTGCCTTGTTTGTGTCTCACTTAGAGGAGAATGTGCTCCACCACCAGATCCAAAACTTCTGTGCGCTCAGGACTGTGTGAACACTGACTCTGTGCCTCATGTTCCTCGGTTTCAAAATGAAACCATGTAATATTCAAACATTTTGGACAAGCTGGCATTTCAATAATAACAAGTATTGAAAATTATAGCCATAAAATGTTACAATTTTCTGTAATAAAATATGCTTTCTGCTAAGATTTGCTATACAGTAGTTTATCCTTGATTCCTTTATACATAATTTACAGTTTTCATGAGTGTGTGAAATGGTACTTGTTTGTTAGTCGTGGAGTACTCTGCAGCTGCTTTTACACGGCTTAGCTCTGTTAGTTTGAGTTCTCATAGTTTGTCTTTGGCATGCGGAGGTGAATACATTATTTCAAAGCCTGTTTACATGACTCTCCCTCTGCGGAGCATTAAAACCTCTTCCCTTGAGGAATTCTTAAGCACATCTCTCCCTCCATAGTGTATACCGGTCCTGTAGCTTTACTTACTTGGGTTTCTTCTCACATACATGAAAAATACCTTCTAGTGCCTACAAGCAGCAAGAGACAGGGCCAGTCCGATGAATAATGGATCAGAGATGTTATCAGCTGATGAAGTGGTCCACGCATGAGCACTGGCATCGCTTTAAAGCTCTTTCAAACGGACTCTAAAGCAGATGTTTGCTTGGCTCTGGGCGTATCCAAGTGGGCTGCTATAAAAGAGGAATGGTCTTGCACGTGCCATGATATCAGCTTATAGGAGCAATCATTTAATGGAAAAGGTGGATGTAACTCGCATTATGGAGAGATACGCGTGTGCAGTCAAAGTTAAAAAGAAGAGAAGCAGAAGAAAGATGGGGTTGATCCATTATCTACTGTGATAATTGTTTTTTTAAAGACATTTATGGACATTTATTAACATTTACTGAGATTGGTCATCCGCTCCCTATGGACCAATGGCGCCTATGTGTTTGTTATTATTGCAATTTTGATTCTTTGATTTACTTTGATGACGACTACTGTGATTTTAGGCGTCACAAAAATAAATTCAATTGAAATTAATTTAGTTTTCAACAGGGGCTTCCATTCTAATTGAAAACATTAATTAACTAGTTCAATTACTATTCCAGCCCGTAAAAAACTTAAGTTACAGGACACTCAAATCCACATCAGCATCTGTTACCCAGAGAGATCTATCCTCCCCAGAAAGTCTTGAGCAATTTATATCTGTTAAATCACATCCAGTCGACACAGTTGGAGCATTTACGGGATCTTTAACTTGACTTAAGGCTTTGTATTATTAAAAATGTTGACACCAATATTTTCACTTTTATGGCGAATGCACAAATGATCGGTACCCGCCCTGAAAAACCATATCAGCCGATCTCTAAAAGAAACACAGGCACGTTCTTATTGTGAGGTAATTAGTAAGCTTTATTTATATACCGCCTTTCACAGACCAGAGTCACAAAGCGGTTTACAATTGTTATTTTTTTTGGGCACTTGTCCTCTCACTCCACACAGAGACAGGAGCGGGGTCGCCGAACAGGAGGCGCATGCCAGACCTATTGTACATATTTTTAGTGGTAGGGGAAACCGGAGTACCCGGAGGAAACCTACGCAGACACAGGGAGAACATGCAAACTCCACTCAGAAAGGCCCTGGTCCGGCCGGGATTCGAACCCAGGACCTTCTTGCTGAGAGGCGAGAGTGCTATCCACTCAGCCACCGTGCCGAGGTAAAATGTTGAGTATGTGTCCAGTGGCCTACATTAGAGCTTTGAGCCATTGTTGTCATTTTACAGAATCTAATTTTCATTTTTTTGTCATACTATTTTGGTAGAATAATGGAAAGTAAAGAACCACTGTGAGCCAAAGTATACAATGGTGGACACACTTTTTAATATGTCTGTGCACTTTTGTATAGAGTTAAACACTTTGGGTTTGCAATTGGCTCACGGTCTTTGGAGATCCTTAGGGGTAATTGCTGGTGGTCAGAAAGGCCAAAATCTTCCACATCTAACTACTGTCCCTAGGCTATAATGTTGCATGAATAACTACAAAGAAGGAACTGGCAACTCTATAACCTTTCAGCTACACTGAAAGATTCTCATCAGTCAATCACTCCTCTCTTACGATCAGTGGGCTGGAACATTCTTCCTGAAGATGTGAGACAGGCCTCCTCTCTGACAATGTTTAAAACCAAGTTAAAAACGGTGCTGTTTAGCTGTGCATACAACTGAGGGATTTTATATTTTTATCTTTCTTTTTAATGTTCTGTGATTATTTATGATTTTAATGCTATCTTGTTCAGCACTTTGAGTTGCCTTGTGTATGAATTGTGCTATACAAATAAACTTGCCTTGCCTTGCCTTGCCTTGCCTTGGGCTCTCTCCTTGCTGAGCTGATTTGTAATAATAATAATGATAACAATAAAAACTAATAATAAGAATGCATTGGTTTTAAATAGCACTTTTCAGGACACTCAAAGATTTGTGACATCACCCTGTGGAACCATATCTGTAGCTCGTATTGGTAGCCCGTATCTGTAGCCCGTATCTGTAGCCCTGTAGCCCGTATCTGTAGCCCTGTAGCCCGTATCTGTAGCCCTGTAGCCCGTATCTGTAGCCCTATAGCCCGTATCTGTAGCCCCATTCACCCCAACATAAAAGTTCTTTCCTCCGCTCTGTTTTATGCAGTATATTTAGTCACTGCATGCTTCTTCCTGATTGTAGAAGTTGTAGAAGCGAACACTCCCGTCCTGTAAACAGCCTGCTGCGTGTCCACTTTAAGAGCCTCACTTCTCCTGTGCTGATTAGCAGAATCTTTACAGCCACATTTGCATGCGCTCGCTCCACAAGTGTCTTGTTTTTGTATTGTCGAGCACAAGTGAGAGTGCTGAGTAAGACAGCTGCACGGAGGGGACAATATCAGCTGCAGATGAATCTAAGATGAGAGGCTTCTGGCGATGTTTGCACACATTAATCAGATGCAGCAGCAGACGGCGAGACCTCCTGAATGCTGAGATTAGCTTTGCCCATTACAAATAGGTACTGGTACTGGTAACTCACGCCCACAACACATGGAGGACTCACTTCAGAACTTTAAATCACTGCTCAAAACCCACTTGTTCAAAACTGCACAAAACTATTTATTTTAGTTTTTTTTTTCTTATGTAAATCTTTTGTGTTTAGGTGTCCACAAATGGCCTTTGTAATACTATGTTCAATGACATTAAATTAATTAGTGATACAGTAATTGTGACATTGTGGACCGACACCAATGTTTACTTGGCCAATGACCAATGTTTAGTCGATGTTTTTGCTTTTTGTTTTTTTATTTATATATTTCTTGGCGGCTTTCTTCTTCTGAGGAAAGTGCGCTGCAAACATAGGCCTATACCAATGTTCAGCTGATGTATCTGTGCATCCCTACAATGTATTCTTATATAGCCCTAAATCACATCAGTAGTTATCTCTGAGGACTTTATACAACCGTTGAATTCACCAACACAGATCAGAGAATCAAACAGCTCAAACACAATAAATAAAACACATTGGTATTAGTCCAGTGTTGACAAATGTCCATAAATGTTGTTAAATGTTGAGTGTCCTGGATCATCACCACAGTTATTATTATTTTTCTTTCTTTCTTTATTTTCTTTTGATATTTGAACAGAAATATACATGTATTTATTTATACACGTTTATATGTTATATATTTGAAAACTCCTCAGTCCGGTATGAATGTGCGAACATAGACTCTGCCTCCATAGCTGTGAAGCACAACTCTTGACCCCATGAAGCAACACACGCATCCTTCCAAACTGTGTTCAGGAAACAATAAAAGGCAGACAGACCGCTCCCACATGTCTTATAAAAGTGTCCTTTTAAAACAATCCCAACCCTGCAGTCTGCTCCAGACTTTAACAGTGGAACCAATGCACTTTGATTAACTTCTTACTTTGTTAATGTCATTAAACTAATAGACAGATTACACTGCTTCTTTTATGACGACCACAGAGTAGAAGAAAGTCAGTGCTGAGTCTGTCAAAAACAGTGTGACGCAAGGACTTGAAACCGGCTGATGTAAATTAGACAAGAACTTTTGCTTTACATACTTTTCTTGCATAAAAATGTTTTATTTCCATGAGCTAAGTCTTCTTCTTTATTCTACTAATTACTTTCCACTTTTATCTTGTTTTATGTATAATGAAGGGGGGTTTTATGCATTCCTTGTTGGCCACTTCTTGTCACTATCAGATGCTACCTGCAGGTGAAAGCCTGATTCCGTCAGACCTCTGAAGCTAAGCAGGGCAGGGCCTGATTAGTACTGTGATGGGAGATCTCGAGGAACACCAGGTGCAATATAGGGCGGCTGTGGCTATAAAATGCTATCCTGTCCTTAGGCAAGACACTCACCCACACTGCCTAGAATATGTCTGACAGATGTGTGCATAAATGGATGTTGGTAGTAAGAGGGGCTGATGGCATGTACTGGTTGCCTTGCCTTGTTTATGTCAGTGTGCCCTAGGGCAGCTGTGGCTCCAGTTGTACTTTATCAGCGCTGTGTATGGTGTGAGTGAATAATGTGAAGAGCTATAGAAAACCAATGTCTTTTTATCAATACCACTTGACAGTGTAAATCTTGTTTTTAATTTGAAACCAAATATAATCCTTTCTTCTGATCCTTCAGGAGGATACATACCACAACTACTACACTTCCAAAACCTATGGCCCCTCAGATCCTATGAGCAAAGACTTGTGGGTAAATGTTGACGATATGGACAAGGAAAAAGTGAAGATCCATGGCATTCTGTCCAACACACACCGACAAGCAGCGGTAAGTTTTAACATGTTAAAAATATGTTTGTGCGACAGGTAACCAGATGGTATCAGAGAGAAAAGCTGTTGTGTTGTCAGTGTTCATGAAGAACACACATAAAAGTAGTTGTTTTCCCAAGAAATAAGAAATATGTTTCCAGTAATAAACACGAATTATCAAAGCAATGACATCCTGTGCTGTGTAAATATATACAAGCTGGGATGGAAAAAAGTGCTCTCAGTTCAGTATTTATGTGATTCAGTGCTGGCAAAAGTAAACAAAGCCCTTGTGTAAAGTTGAAAAGTTGAAAATCCTCAGTGTGAGAGGTCCGTGAGTTTAGGCAGTCTTCGCTTGAGCACGAGCAGGTGACTGGCGTGTGCAGAATACAGATGAAGATACAGAAGCAGTATCCTGAACAATGAGGCAGAAGAGAAGCCCACATTGTGTATTCAGCACCTATAGCGTCACTGTGTAATGATGGATTGAACTATTCTGGTCGGACGAAGGCTATTCTCTCCTCTGCACAATAGGCCATTCTTTTAAAAAACAAACGGGAGATGGAAGGCAACTCTGATTTTCTCTTATAAAATCAATAGGAATAACTCATCTCAAAGGCGACATGGAAATGCGGATAATGCGATTGCTGTGCACTAGACGGGAAACTTTGCCCGAGCCAGTGTGTGCGTCCGACAGTATAAAACAAATGTATTTTTTATGACGGGGATTTAAAACCAGCGGAACGGCGCAAACCTCAAAGTGCTAAAGCAGAATGACTGGTCGGAGGTGGCACTGTTGCTGCCAGCCCTTTGGCCCGGCCTCTGAGAGAAAACCAGTCAATGAGGTTGTAAAACGAAACATGCACATAGCTCCGGCAGAGACACAGGAGAAGAGAAGTTGTGAATAGTTGATGTGAGGCTGGTGTGGTCCGCCGCAAGATCCAGTGTAGTCAAGGAACGCCATGTTTACTGCGATCTGTCCATCTCCATAACAGTCCAGGCCAGTGCTATTATATTTTACACAGAACAGGGTGTGTGCTGCTAATTTGAACCAGTCTATTCTATATCCTTCCGGTTTTTAAAGCACATTGAATGATGGCTCGTAAAAATGAAGGGAAAAAGTTAGGCCTGGTACCTTATTACGGAGTCAATTACATGAACTCAGTGTATGACGGCAAAGGGCTTCTTACAGAATATAAAATATGCATTATGTTACATTTAGTACTAGCAATTCACTCGCGTTTGGACATCCCTCTTTGTTGAAAGCCAAGCATCCCTCAATATTAAAGTGTAATAGTAGGTAAGAAATAGCCATGGTAAAATATCTCTATATAGGGGTGAGCCAAAATAGGGATAATGTAATATTTTGTCTCTCGAGTGATTATCTATGCTAGTTATAAGTATTGATGTTGATTAAAATCTGTATTTAATTCAACCTGATACAGTCACTGCTCTTGCAAGTGCTTTAAGACGTGACTTTCAGAGCAACAGAAAATGTGTAAATCCTCCATTGGGATGTCCTCCTTGGCTTCACTTCAGATTTTTCCAGGTCACATTGGGATAAAATCACATATTCACCTTTAAATCCACTCAGCAATTCATTCATCAAAATAATGATTGCTAAATGATTAGAATAATAAAGAATAATCAGTTAGTAACCCAATACATAGTTGATTATCGTTAACTGATAAATACTCTTCACTTTTAACCAAGACCTTTCATCAAATATTTAACAAAATTCAAGCCTTTGATTTTGCAATTTCCTCACAATATTGATTTTTAGACACAAATTAAGTGAATGGATTCTCTTCTTTGTCCCTTGAGTGCTTTTAAGCTATGTTTATATTGTTGTTTTATGTTATTTTAGTGACACTGTTGTTCTAGTGCTTTTTCTATTGGTTTCTTATTTGTTCAACAGTATTTTTGTTTAGACTTTTTGTCATTTTTGCTCGCAACTTTCTCAGTGCTTTGTCTGTGTGTGTTTTTTCCCTTCACAGAGAGTCAACCTGTCTTTTGATTTCCCCTTTTACGGACACTTCCTGCGTGAAATCACCGTGGCCACTGGCGGTAAGTGAACACAGCCTTCTGGCCCTCGTGCAGCTAATAGTATTATTATTGGAAATACTCTTTGTGCTTGTCAGATTAAACAGTTCGCAGACACATTGCAAGCTTAGGGAAAATATCTCCGTCATTTTTAGTAGAGAATTCCAAACTAAATCACAAGATCTGCGGCTGGATTACAAAAAAAAGTAATTGTGAGAACCAGTGAGTGCACTGTAGCAGCATTTACACCTCTCTGGGATCGCCGGCGAGACAAGGGCTAGAAAAACAAACCACTCCCCAAGGTCTGGACTGTGGACTCGGACTGGAAAGAGGAGCCAGGCCAAGTACCGCACACCCTGATAGACCCAGTCGGATAAGCTTTATGTGCGGCTTCAACACGTGATCCGACGACCGCGTTTGCCAGAGACTACAAGGCTATTTTCCACTTGAGTCTTGACAGCGAAAACCGCAACACCACAACCAGCTATTATCGCATCAAAAGACCAAAGAGCGGTTCTTAGCCAACTATTTCAAAGACGCCGCCGTGAAGATGATAATAATAAAGCATGCCGAGTAGTTAGCGTAATTTCTCGGATTCGCTAGAAGTTGGCATCAATGGGGTGGAATAGTGACTTGCAGAATGGATGTCTGGAGAGGAGGGGAGATAGCGGAATTTGCATTGCAGACAGAGATGGAGGAATGAGAATGGGGGAAAGTTATCTGCACCTCACAGACCTCGGGGGTTTTTTATTTTCCTATGCCGTCGCTTTAGGGGCTGTCAGTCTGACTGTCCTCCCAGAAGACAGCCTTTGCTCCTATATTCAGCCAGAACTATACTGTATAAGTGCCATCATCCCAGTTAATATTCTCATTTGTCTGCATTCTTTGCACGTTGTTGAGTTACTTCGGCCTTCAGCCCCTTACAATTCACAACCTCCATTCTTGTTATTCACGTATAGGAAAATACCTCCAACTATATTACGCATTCTATAGAGAAGAGAGAGAGGCTTTCTGTTAACGTCAGAGGGAAAGAATAGCATAAACTCTCAACCCTTGTACCAACATGAACGCTGCAAAAAATTATGAAATATCTGATAAAAAATGCTTGTATCGAGTGGTTTTTATCTTGAATTTAGTTTGTCTAAAAACAAGGTGCGCCTTTGGGACAAGTTTAGTCTTTTTCCAAGTGCTGTTGCAAGTGATCTCTCATCCCAATCGAGAATTTTCTTAAACTTTCTTATCGCTTTTAAAACAGGAAATTGTTGCTTGTCGCATCAGCAAATTTAATTCAAGATAAAAAACCACTTGATTTATTATCTTTTGCTGCGTTCATGGGTTAAGAATTTTTGCTATTCTTTCTCTCTGATGTTTTTAGGAAGCCTCTCTTTTAAGACGTTTTATACCTTGTTTGCACCATATACCAAAGAAAAGTGAAAGTTCGTAGTTCCTGTTTACATTACAATGGTTATACAAAAATAATTATGATTCTCTTATAGCTATTATTGACTCATTTTGTCACTTTTTGTAGTGAATGAAACAATTTAGACTATTTTGTTGGAGGACCGAAAACAAATCTTTCTAGATAGTAAATAAAAGTATCTCCTCCAAACAGTAGGCCTGTAATGTAATGTAGTCTATTTATTATTGATGGTTGTTTGGTATAGAACCATAGTCAGCTCTTTTGCCTATTTTATCCAGAAAAATTTCACAGGGCCATTTTGAGATTCATTTAAACACACATTTGTCTCACTTTGATACCAGCTGAAAAAACTTTCCTACAACGCTGCTTTGAAGCCTGTAAAATTAAGATCCTTTGTTTATGTTTGTAAAGAAAATCTGGCAACGTGGCTCAATAGAGAAAGCTTGTTTTTGTCTTGTGAATCTCCTTTTCTGTAGGCAGCCTTCAGACAATGCACACAGACATGGAGCACGGCCAATATCTGAGCTTTAGTGCACTTTTATGGTTTTCGCATACAGTCGATTAGAGATAAGTCTTGAAATGGGCGACATTACGAGAGTCAAGTTAAGCCTGAGGGTGCTACTTTCTTGTGAGCAATTGTTGTGGTGAAGTATTTTGTCTCTTTCAAGTGCTAACAGCTTTCTACTTCAACAATTCCCACATGATGGAATGGTCTTACGGTTTTTGAGCAAAGATGTACAAATGTGAGGATTAATCTTGCACCAGACAAACTACATATATTTCATCACCGCAGAAAGAGCAGAGAACGTACTTAAGTTTATAGTTACATGTTGTCTTACGCTCATACACAGCTTGTTTGTGGTTGAGGAGGCAATATTTCACTTCTGCCATTTCTTACTTTGTGCATTTAAGCATTCAGATGCTGTCGGTAATGTCTTGGGTTACATTTATTGTGCGGCTAAGCTCTTTCAGATGCCAGAGCTGCCAGGATGTCAAATGGCACCACAATTTTAGCCTGGCACTCGTTTCTCTGCCCACTCATATTTTCACTTGACCTTTTCATCGGCCGCACAAGACTTATTGAATGTCAATAGAAACTAGTTCTGTCATTTCTCCAGCACTGTGTTTTTGTCAAGGCCAGAATCTCATTCAAGGTTTTTCACAAGAAATGCTGTTCTGAAAGGCAATAGTGAGATAGATGTTAGTAATGGTGCAGCATCCATAACGTTGGAGATTATTAGACTTTCAAAACACTGTATTGTAGCTGAAATAAGCAGTATTTATTTCTGTAGAGCTATTTAACCTCTTTAAAGCAACCGGCGCGCCGGCGGCCGTTTTTATGTTTTTAAATGTTCTGCTGGCAATAGCAGATGTATTTTGAACACCAAACCCCAAAAGCTGTATATCATTTTAAAGCTTATTTTCTTATCTACATTTATATACAAGTGTTTTACTTCCGGGATTTACGATTGATATGTCCTTGTAGCCAATGAGGAAAGCTTTCGAACAAGGGGTGGGACAATGGTGTCCTGTCTTATGTTGGGCCTGGACAATTGTGCGTAATGGCAGCCAAAAGACGCTCTCGAAGCTGCAATGAATTTACACTCATAAAAAAATAACTTTGACATTTAAAAAAGAAAAACACACATAGATTATTAACTTATAAGTACCAATAATAAAAAATATTGTTTTTATGATGATTAAATGTAAGTAAAGATATTTGGCACAATTTGGCACACTTGTGCCAAATTGTGCCAAATGTGCACTACTTGATGAAAAGGAGAAACTGCATAAAAACTATAAAACTTAGAAGTCTGAAACTTTAGACAGTTGTTGACAACAACACAATGAACAGAGGGTTGGAATATTGTGAACTTATAATGAAGTATGCCTTTTTTAGGGCCTTTAGAAATTGAAAATGGTAGGCGAGGCTAAAAAAATTATTTTAGTGTTTTTTTACATAAACTAGAAGGCTCTAGCTTTAAAATGATGCATCACACAAGCATGTGAGATGTAAGATGTGTTTTTAAATGAGCAAAGACATTTGGGTATGCCAAACTTTTGTGCACAAGCCAAAATGAGGCGGGTGTTAAGAGGTTAAAGAAATCATGATGCAATACATTAATTGTGTCTGCCATAAAGCCTATGTGGCATTAAATGGCATTGCTCCTTCTTGGTTATTGGATCTTTTCCAGCCCCTTGTCCCTCTCTCGTCAGCATCTTCTGGTTGTCCCTGGGACCAGACTGAAGACCAGAGCACACAGGGCCTTTTCCGAGGTCGGTCCTCAGCTGTACGCTTGCACTTCAGAATAGCACAGTAACTCCAGCACTTAAAATCTCTCTTGAAGACGCATCTTTTCACGCTGGCTTTAGACACTTAGAGATTTATCATGGTTCTTGAATTTTATTGTTTTTATTTCTTTTGTATTTTGAAATATTTTTAATCTTCATCTTTTATGGACTTTATTGTGCAGCACTGTGGTTGTGTTTAAATGTGCTATTTAAATACCTTTGATTTGATTTTACTCTGACATCCATGGGAATAATTATTATACGTTTCAAACAAAAGGAGAAGAAATCTGAATATCTAATGAGAAGCTGAGTCGCCGCTCATATCAGCAGATCACATTAGTGAGTAGGTGCATATCACAGTTTAAGAAAATAGATGAATGGACCGTGATTCAACATTGTCCCGCGCCAAAAAAACAACCTGGAGTTGTTTTTAAGGAAAGGGGAATTTATTTATTAAGCACCATTCATGCAGAAGTAACCCAGAGTACTTAAAAACCCCAGATTGGACATTGGATAAAAAACGAGACATAGATAGATCCATCCACGCTAATATCAGGTGTTTCTTGCACAAACATCCGCCCCTTCAGTCTCAAAGCTCCTGTCTCAATCCTGTAATAGTATGATGTCTCTGTACCGCTGTGACATCACACACAAAAGTGAAAGTATCTGATATAAAACTAAAACCTACACTTTCCCCCTGCATTCATTTTTCCATATATTTTTCCATTGATGAGAACAGTTTGCTGGCTTTTAAAAATGAATGCCTATAAATAAGTTTTGGCAATAAATCACAGTGGGTTTGTACCGGGGCAAAATGAGGTCAGTTGGAGCAATGGAGAAAGCTAATTACTAGAATGTGAATATACTTTTATTTGTGTAAATGAGAAGAGAAGACAATACCTGACAATATGATCAGAGTCTGATCTGAATGCTCGGATCGGAAACTTTATTGATAAGTTCATGAAACGCACTGAGGACTCTTCATTATGAATGTTTTAACTTCTCACAGAGCAGTGTTAGTTCTGAACTCTGGAGGCAATGGAGAAACTGTCTTTACAGAATTTAGTAAATATTGTATGTTTGTGTGTTTTTTATGTTTGTGTGTTTTTTTGTCTGTATTTTTCTTGTCTGTTGTTGTGTTATATGGACTCTTCATGTCTCTGAAGGAAATAATACAGTAAAACTTACCTGTTATAAGGAGATTTTTAACATTACACACATTACAAACAGTCATATTCCCCCAGATTTAATGTTCAAATCAAACGGACTAAAATTGTAGAACCATAAGTGTTAAAGCTGCTTCTTATTATTTACCTGTGTCATCACGATCCAACCCGACAGAACAATATGGATGATTTCATAACGGCACATCTGAATCCAACGTGTTCCTGTGTCTGTAATTGTCAGGTTTTGATTCAGGATTTAGTAAAGCAATCAGCAACATGCAGCAGAAACAAGCCGGATTTAATTTAGATAACAGGCCTGTAGTTTTTATGCAGCGTTTAAAAGACAAAAGACTACATAAACGTGCTTGTGTGTCTCCCTTTATAAGCCGGCCTGCCCTCTCCTCGGCTTCAGAACAGCTGCGCACAACAGAAAATATCCTGCAAATTAAATACAGGAACAAAGAGCTTGTCCAAACATCGCAAACCAATAAAGTGGAGATTTAGAGGAAGGGGCTGCTAATTCCTGCTCGCCTTTTTTGTAATTTATTTTCCTCCTCGGCCACATGACTCCCACATCTTTGCTGAGAGCCTGCTTTTAGAATGTTAAATAAGTTGTATTGTGAGCTGTTGCTTTCAGGAATGAAATGTGCCGGCCTGTGTGTGGTTTTGAAAGTGAATGGAGAAATGGCGAAAATGCAGGAAAGATAAGAGGAGATGGAATGTGGCGGATAGTGGCTCATTTAGTAGAAGCCGTTTGTGTCCGATACCGAAGTGGAGATGAGATTGCACCTGAACATGTCTGTATTCGTATTTATTACATTACTTTATTGTAGAAATATCTTGATTCTCAGGTGTTTTCATGAACCGAAAGATGGTGGCAAACGTCTGTGTGTGGTCATTTCAGGCTTTAAAGTCATCCGTGGGTTTTTTAGGGATGTCTGGCCTTATTTTCTCAAGAACATTTTGTTTACTCCAAAGCAAGGGCGCCTCTTGTTATGATATTCGTTTCTAAAAGGTCTTCTTATTCCTTCACATGAGTCAGTTTGGCAGAAAAGCAACTCTGAGCTTTTTTGAGAGACGCACTTTTCTCTCAGCAATAACAACACATTCTACTGTTACATTACAGTATCTACAATTAGTCTCAATAACTCACTTTGACGGACTGCTTCTGCAATAAACAATAATATTGAATTAATTGTATTTATTTTTGTTTATTTGGATGGGACAGTGTATTCTAATAGACAGCAGTAACTGTAAATACACCACATCATAGCTTTTTTTTAGATTTTTGTTTGTAAATTCCATCTGGAGTCCCAAAGTCACACTCACAAAAACCCAGTCATTCACCCTGAACTATTGTACATGTGTTTAGTGGTAGGGGAAACCGTAGCACCCAGAGAAAACCTATACACAGACACGGGGAGAACATGCAATCTCCAGAGTACAATACAGCAGGATAATCTGAATGTATACAATTTCTTAAAAAGTATGCACTATGGAAATAATCTATAGAAGTAAGTCGTATTTAGTCATTCTGAACTGCTAAAACCTCAAACCTTTCCCCAAAGATTGCACATTTTTCTCAAAAGTTAAATATTGAGTCCCCTACGGTTTTCTCTATCAGTTAGTTCAGTTTTTTATCAGTTTATTTCAAACATGCACAAGCTATATAAACAATTATTCATAGAAAAATAATAAAGAACAAAACAAAAACCTGTACATGGTATAAAATGGGATTGGATGAAGCAAAAATCTTATAATAATCCAATCCCTTCCCGGCCATTCAGACACACACTACCATACGATACATACAAAAAAGAAGCAATACCCTACAGTACCCTTCAACAAGACACATGACAGCGATATGACACACACACACAAACACACACATATTAACACTGATGGCAAGAGACAAGACTAGACCAAGACACATACACACACACAGTCGATAGTAGTAATTATTGTGACTGATTTATCTACATTATCCGTCTCCATATTTCTCCTTCACTGTGGACACCTCCTGAGCATTCCTCTTGAGTTTCATATAAAAACCATGTTGGACATATGTATCGTTGAAGATTCTCCTCCTGGTTTACCCTGTGATAGTTGCCCCCTTCTGTGTGAGCAGGCAGACGGGGCCTCTGGAGTTTTGCCCTCAGTGGATTCTTGCACAAGTAGCTGTTTTTGTGCATGTCTTTTCCAGTTGGCCCCAGGCTACATCCCTATACCATAAAACCCAGTGCACACTTACAGATGTCAGTCAGTGCGCAGAAAGTGCTGTGAACATTTGTACCTGCCGGCGAGTCTGCTTCAAAGCAAATAAGAGTAATGTCAGTGTGTGCAGACACAAAAAAAAAGTGAGATACAATATTTTAGCTGCCTGGGTGTTTTGACTGAAAAGCTAAACTCAAATGCATTTGATTTGACTTTCATTATTCAGTTATTGGCGTCTTGTGATGGATTGTGGATCTCCTCCCTTTTAGAACTCGTTTCTCAGGATTCTAGCCCAAACTTGTGTGGGACGTATGCAAAGCAAGATGTGTTGACAATACGGTCGTAATATGAGTGCATGACTGGTCCAATAAAAAAAATACTCCCCTCAGCATTGACACACATCTGGAACATAGCGTTGAGCCAAGAGCCGACTTTTGGACCAGGCTTTAAACCGTTTTTGAGAGGAAAAAAAGCGTTGTAAGAATTCATTGGATTATTCTGTTTCCGGGCACACCCCCACCACCAAGGAGTCAGATTACAAGCATGTCAGCGCACGTGCTCATGGACCCTTTTGAGCAGGGATCTGTCCCCACTGATCCTAGCAGCCTACCCACTACAAACCAGTATTCAGGGAAATTCCTTGGTCACTATGGCTTCCAGCAGCACTCTGGACAGTCTATAAGAACACTTTAGTACCAGCTCGGCCTGGATAGAACGAGAGCATATACCCAGTACCAGTTAAACAGGACCAGTAGAAATGCTCCCAATTGGGGTAGAGTAGAGGCGAGTAGGGCCAAGTAGGGCCAGTGGAAACAGGGTTTTAGACAGACTAAAATGCTGTTGAGATATAATTTAAACAAGGAATCACCGATGGATAGCACTTTTCAAGGTACCCAAAGCACTTAACATTGAAATATTGATTCCTTGCACACTGGCCACCACCAATTACTCACTCACGCAGGAGAAAACTAAATTATGTATATATTAGGTGTTCCATAAAGACAGATTTCCATGGTCTGTACCTGCAGCCCTACGGTCGCCTTCTGCTCCCGAACTGCAGATTATGGCACTAATTAATCGCTCCAAGAAGTCTCCTGCCGCGCGGAGACACCAAGACAAGCGATGGCTGCTTTTTAATGAGAAGCTTTTAACTTGGGTCCACAGGGCAGCGTTGTTGTCGGCTACAAAGAGGTTTCATTTTAAAAGCTGTTATTGCAAAGACGGAAGGTGTAAGATGAGAAGATGTATTGAAATGAAGTAGAATGTGTTTGTTCCACAGGATTCATCTACACCGGGGATGTTGTTCACCGGATGCTCACGGCCACTCAGTACATCGCGCCTCTGATGGCCAACTTCGACCCCAGTGTCTCCAGGAACTCCACCGTCATCTACTTCGACAACGGTAACACCTCAAAATGCACCCATGCCATGCACATACCATCTTGTTTGAGTATACTGACATTTATATGTAGTTGTGGCACAGAATTCCTTATATGGCGCTAATGTAGCTGGTGAGAAAGTTCAGCCAGCTACAGCTCTGTCAAATCAAATCAATATCGTGGTCATTATTTTAAGCATACCTGACATACATTGTAATTTAAGGTGTTAACAATAGGCATTCCTGAAGTGTGTGCCATAAGCTTACACACTTATACATAACAATGATTATACCCAATTTTAGTCTCAAGTAAAATTACAGTTTTGGCTCTGAATAACTGTTATAAAAGCTCATAGACTAGCCTCGTCAGCCAGACCTTTGTTATCAGCATTGTAAATTGAGGCGGAAAATTAGTATTTTCATCATTCTTTCAGGCAATATTAATCAGATGACCCAGTTCACTTCCGCTTAACAGTCAGCCTCGTTCCAATGTGTTGTTTTATCAGAGCCGTCTCCCAGGACTATCATTCATCATGCCCGTCACATGACCGGCCCCTGAGCTGCCAAAGTGCCCCGTGTTTCTGAGGCTCGTAGAGTGACAGAAGTCGATTCAGGGCGGCTTGCTCTGCAGCGCACTGTCCATCCGTCTCTGTCCTGCCAATACCACACCCACATCGCACACATCCATTCTGTAGGTGCTGTGCAGTGGACGGGGCCTTTTGTGTTGATTAGAAAAGACCACATTGTTTCCTGTCATGCTGTAAGTCTAACATTATCATTTTGTGTCTGACTTTGGCCAGCAAGCAAAATGACACGCTGCTTTATGACCCGATGAGAGCAATTATCAAGGCTGCGCGAGTGAAGTCAAAAATTTTACATTTAATTTGAAATTAAGTGACAATGATGGCGACAGTTTCACACTTTACAGCCGCAGCCGCCTCACTGTGGCACCTGTATTTCCATGGGGTTCCCGCCCCAGTTTAGCTTCAAAGGTCTGTCAGGATCTGGCTCTCACACGCTGATGCTGGATGATATAGATTCATTACGTCAAAGTGACATATCGAAAACCTTTGTTATAATTTTGATGATTATGGGTTTTTATTTTTATTTGGGGTTTTTACAAGGTGTGTGCCATAATTATATATATATATTGTAACAAGTAGGTGTTTTACTGCAAATGGCAAATAAATGAATCTGAAGTAAAGGCTTGATGTCTTTTGATGTGTTACAAAAAAGTTACAAAAAACTCTATATGGGGTGGGAAAATCTCGATTTATGTTTTATCCCAGATTGCCCAGTCTTATATACAAGGCACATTTATACTGCACAGTTACAACACAAGAAAAGAAACAATAAAATTACAGTAGCCATTCAAATCATATATAATCACAGCACATTAAAAAGAGTGAATATAAACTGGTTCTAATGGTAAAACCTGCTACTGTCTCAAAAGCTCCACACCACAAGCTTTTCACCAGCGTAAAATTCTTCTGGAACAAAATATCAGCAAACACTAAAAGTCTATATTACAGAGCGGCTGCTGCAGACAGTCTTTCCACACTTCTCTCTGCGTTGTTTAAGCTAAACCATATAGAATGGATCTACCACAGACTGGAGGGTGGTCTATGGCTTTGCTTTGTTTGTTTTAGTGCAGACAAAAAATAATCTGTTTCTATGCCTCACCATCTTACTTGGACATTTAAGTCGGGGAACCCCAGATAGCAACATTAGGCGTTCTTATTTTAACGCAATAAAACCTGGTATTAAAGCAGCAACAATTTAACGCTCTGCTAAATCTTATCCTTATTGCACAGCGCAGCAATGCCACCGTTACTCATTTTATTTTATATTGTACGTCTCCTTCAAGATTAAGTGTCATTTTTACAGGGCTTCCAATCTTCAGTGTTAAAATTCAGATTCAGATTCAGATTCAGTTTATTTGCCATTTGCAGTAAAAAAACCACATTGGAATACATTAGCGAAAAGTCTCCAGTGTGCACACACAAATACAGACATAAAACAACATTAAAAGACAAAAATAAAACAAATAAAACAGTAAACAAATGTCACTGTGAAATCGATCGACTAAAACAGTTCAAAACAAGTGCAAATCATTAAAGTGCTCTGTTCACACTGATAACAGCTTGTGGATAAAAACTGTTAGCGTAACGAGATGTCCTGCATCTCAGAGAGCGATATCTTCTGCCAGAGGGAAGAAGCTGGAACATGGCTTTCCCAGGGTGGCCAGAAGAGTCATTAACAATCCTAAGAGCTTTGTTTAAAAGTCTGGATTTATAAAGAACCTCCAGAACAGGAAGTTCACAGCCCACGGTCCTCTTTGCAGAGCGGAGCACCTTGTTTAAAGCTCTCTTTTCTTTATCTGTGATGTTTCCAAACCACACAGACACAGAACCAACAAGTAAACTCTCAATGGTGCAGCGATAAAAGTTAAGCAGAATCTTAGAGTTAGTGGTAAATTCTCTAAGTTTACGCAGAAAGTAGAGACGCTGACGAGCTTTCTTAACGACTCGGTCAGTGTTTTTAACCCATTTCAGGTCGTTAGACAGAGTTAAACCCAGAAACTTGCACTCCTCTACGATCTGCACCTGGGAGTTGTCGATTACGACAGGCAAATGAGAACTATTGCGACTGAAGTCGTAGACCAGTTCACATGTTTTCGATGCGTTCAACTGGAGGTTGTTAGTTTTACTCCACTGAACCACATTTTGTATCTCTGCTCTATAAGAGGATTCATCGTTGTCACTGATGAGACCGATGATGGTGGTGTCATCAGCATATTTAATGATCAAGTTTGAGTCAGAGGAGGACACACAATCGTGAGTGTACAAAGTAAAAAGCAAAGGACTCAAAATACATCCCTGAGGAGAACCAGTGCTCACAGAAACAACATCAGAAAAACAGTCATTGATTTTCACTCTCTGAGATCTGTCAGTTAAAAAGCTAAAAATCCATTTACACATGGCAACACTTAAACCGAGAGACATGAGCTTTTCAATCAGTTTACTTGGGACAAGGCAGTTAAAAAATGCATAGTCTGTACTCAACAGCATGGAGTAGCTCTGTGATTTATGGCAGTATGTCTGTACAAAGTGACGGCTCGCATGCTCCAAAGTTCCTCGCCGGACAGGAGGTAAATCTCCACATCCCTCTAACCCTCTGAGTCTGGGGTGGGAGAGCTGTGCTGGGGGCAACACATGGATGAGTTGTGTTAACAAACCTTAATGCCCTGGATCTCGGCCAAATGACTGTAGCTCTAAGGGCTCAATAGGTTCCCTCAGGTCCACAGTAAATCTGCAAAGTGGGAAGAGAAATGCGCTGAGCCAGGAGTGAAGTGTCTCCGGGGACAATAGTGTTCATAAAGTTGTCTTAAATTGGCTTAAAAACACGCTGCCTCAAATCCGACACAATTCACTTTGCTTTTTTAAGACGTATCCGTTTTCAACATAAATAATTTTAATTTAATCACAAACTAATAAAATATTGAAATATTTTCCCTCTAATTAGTAGTTAGTGGTTCATTGTTTATTGAACCTTACATTACCTTAAACATGCTGAGGAGAGGTTTTGTGACTCAGATCATTCTGGAACAGTGGTAGGGAAACTCCGGCCCGTGGGCTCTCGTCACTGTGTAACAAGTCGTCTCTATGAAGATGTTCTCCAGGGGCACCATTGGAGCTTTGTTTTGGTCAAAAGCATAAGAGGCTCCTATATTCAAGTAGCTTTCAGGTCTAATCTAATCCAAAGAATAGTCTGCACAACATCTGTCTTGATATTTGTTTGTAAACACATGAAAAAAGCATAATATTAATGATTATTAATCTTATAATCTGCCTCTCACTTAACTAACGCATGTATTTATCCAAGAAAGCTATCAAAGACACAAACACTGACCAAAGAGTATATATCTTTGTCCTAACTTCTGACAGTAATTAATTGAGAAACACATATTGATAGCGAATTTGATGTCACAGTGAGGAGAGAAGAAATATCAACATTAAATAAAGTAATCTTTATTGTATGAATAAAGATCACTTACATAATTAATTAGAATGAGCTTCAAATGTTTTAAAATGATTCAGATCAAAACTTCTCAGAGAATCTCACATTTTGTTTTATCTCATTTGGAAATATATTTCTTTTAGTATCGTAATGCCTGATTTGTGATACTTTTGACAACCCTAGCATCCAACAACCACTATGCAATTTGAAACTTTCTTTATGAAAACAAAAGTCAAACAGCCATCACCAAATGAAAGTGTTTTCTTCCAATAACTTGTTGTTTTCTCCGCTCGCATCAACACTTCCACCGTTACCTTAAGCCGCGCAGTGTAATTTGTTTTCCTCACAGTCAGTGTCATTACTATCTCTGCTGAAGTGTTTCTGTATCTGATCCTTGGTGCGCTGCTGTCAGTCCCCTCACACCCACTGGAAATGTGACATCATCTTCCAAAAAGAGAACAAGTTACTTTGAAAATTCAACACACACACACACACATCCAGTTTAAGTAATTTAATACCTCACCCAGCACTTAGATGGGGCAACACGGTGGTGGAGTGGATAGGTCCTGGGCTTTTCTAAGTGGAGTTTGCATGTTCTCCCCGTGTCTGCATAAATATCCTCCCGGTGCTCCGGTTTCCCCTACCACTAAAAACATGCACAATAGGTCTGAACGTAACGAGTGAGTGAATGGATGGTGTTTGGTCAGAGGTTTTGATGCACCAGTGTGTTCTCGTCTAGCTTCGGTCAATCTGAACATTGTAAAGCGCTTTGGGTGACCTTGCTTTGTAAAAATGCGCTATATATATAAATATGACGTACTTAAATGAGTGTTTGTGTTTGGTTTTAGGCACTGCTCTGGTGGTGCAGTGGGATCACGTTCATCTACAGGACAACTACCACCTGGGCAGCTTCACGTTCCAGGCCACGCTGCACAACACCGGCCGCATCATATTTGCATATAAACAGGTATTTTTGCTTTGTATTTGAGGCTAACGTCTGCGAGGTTTTCATAATTGTTACGTCAGCTCGTGTCAAGGGAAGGCTCCGAGTTCTTTTGTTTCCTACTTTCAAAGCCAGTGGAGAAATTCAGGCTGATCGTTTTAGCTTGTAAACTGGACTAATAAAGATCTTTGATAACACCGTCCGTCCACTTTCTTTTAGCTTTGCCTGGGGCTTACACTTGTTCATCTGATTCACCTTAAAGCTGGGGTTTCCTACAGTTTTTGTTTCATATAAAATCCATGTTTTTTGTCTTGACAGAAAGAGACAAAAAAAGTACACATTTTGTGAACAAATGCTGTAGAAAACAAGTTATATTTTGTGTAAGAAAGAGCCCTGTGAGTCACTAATTCACACTTTGGGCTGAAAGCTGATTGACTGAGTGAGAGCTATCCTCACTTTTTCACTTTTCCGTCTGAAAAAGTTGATCTGAAGATATGACAAAAGCCAAAGAATACATGCCTGTTAAAACTAGTGAGAGAACAGATTAAAACAGATTCAAAAAGGAAAATTTGTCTTAAAAATGTATTTTTTCTAATTAGTACACAGGGTTATACACCTAACTTGTCTTTCAGCAGAGAAACAACAAAAAACAATAGAACCAAACTGTTTTTTTTTGGGTGAGGAACTATTTAGATAGATTCATTACATAGTTATATTTTTTGTTTGGCCTCAAGTGAACCAGAATTGGCCCAGCTAAAGTGAACCAGACCAACAAGTGTGAAGTAGCCCTGGACTTCCCTGGACTTCCTTGGACTTCCTTATCCACATCCACATTGTCCGTCTGGGTGAAGCTTTGATAGCTGCACCTCAGAATCCTTTTAATCATTCTATTAGATTCATTTTCATCATTCTATTCTTGTATCATATGTTTTTTACACAAATGAGAACTAGCATAATTGCCTGCCACTGACTGCTGTGTGCGTCGAATGCAAATGCTATCATTCCCATTCACTCTGCACACTGTACGAACGAAACAGAAATAAATTGCTTGGTTGAATCTTCATCTTCCCCTATTTCCCAGACTGAGCGGCAGAGCTGTGGTCACGGTAATTGATTTCTGCACATTGCTTTTTCAGATTCCCATCGAGGTGTCTCAGATCAGCTCCGTCAATCACCCGGTGAAGGTGGGCCTGTCTGACGCCTTTGTGGTGGTGCACAAGATTCAGCAGATTCCCAGTAAGTGTCACCTCAGCATGTTCTTGTATGTGTTAGTGAAGAGGAAGGACTCACTGGGAAAGCGGCTAATTATTATTATTTTCCTGCAGAAATATTTCACACATACATGTTATAGTGAAAAATGGAACTTGGAAGGTTAAAGAACATGATTTGTGTTAATTTTGATATGATTTTTATTGTTACAGATTTTTGTATTTCATTTTGGTTTCTGCCCTAGACCTGTGTGTGTTTACGTTTAAATTTGAAAGTCTAAAATGGCTACTCTTATTTAAGGAAGTTTCCAAAATTCATTCAGAGACAATACTTTTGTTTTAAAAGACAGAAAACAGTCAAGGATTTTGAAAAGTTTGAAACAGAGAATTTAGACAGAAGGGCGAAGGAGCGTGTTTGTGCCTGAAGTTCCTTATATTAGCATGGATGAAGCTAAAAACAAGTCCAAGTATGTTGTAACATGGTTGAAAGGTAAAAAAATACATGTGATATATATTTCAAACCACACAAAATTGAACTTCCAGTATGTAATAAAATCCATCTAACTAGTTCCTCGATCTCAAAACAGTTGGGTTTTATCACAAGCATTTATTTTTTGGCGTCACTCATTTAGATCAGCTTTTTCTGACAGAAAAGTGTAAAAGAGAGGACTACCTTCACTCAGCTCTGAGATCGTCCCACAGTGGGGAAATGTCAGTGTTGCATCACCAGTTGCAGAACAGTAGGGATGAGGATCACACAACACAAAAACAAATATAATCTATACATTTCGCTTAATGAACAGGATAAAGTTTCAAATAGGTATGCATGAGATTTTTTTTGTTTTTTGATGAAGATTGCTTGAAACTGCTTGAAATGCTTGAAACTGCTTGAAATGTGTTCAGAAAATGTTACTTTTATACTTTCCAACTTTAGAACAAAGACACATATAAGTCAGGTACCCCAGCTTTAAATGCATAACCAGCACAAAAACAAAGTGGTCTGTAATCTCAGGCTCTCGTCCCTGTTTCGTTTCCCCGAGAACCTCATCTGTTTTGCTTTAGCCCGGTCTGTCAGCACCTCCTCCCCCACATCGCTGCTCATCACCTGGGGAGAGTGGGCAGAGTTGTGGGCACCCCTCCAGAACTCCTCTCTCCAAACTCGCTACAGACTCACAAAGAGCTGCAATTTGAGCTATTAAATGAAAAGCAAATTCGAGTAACTTCGAGACACTTCACTCTCGCTCTTTTCCTGCAGCCCTGTTACAGTAATGAGGTGTCAGAAGTGATTTATTCTCTAATTTAGATAGCGTGTCTGTAACATGGGGAAGCATTTATTTGTCAGATTTAATATTGAACAAATGTAAGGAAGGGGCTACACTGTTTTTTGTTAAATTCTTGATTACGGTGACATTCCTCATCATCCTATTGTAAGTCTGTTTTTAGGACGTCATCAAACACATTGTATTAATTGTATTACATTGTTTTGAATATTTGCAGACTTTTCAAACATTCAATCTTTCACACGTTTTATGAGACTTGTTCTTTTTAGCCCAGCTTGACTCAAACTCTATAAAGCTGAGTTCTTTGATGACACAGTGTGATGAAATCGGCGTGTCCTGCTGCAGCTCGTGCGGTGATGAAATCTGGATGGAGACATATTGTCAATGTTGAAAGTCTGACAGTGTCTGAAATAGATTTAAAAGTTATTTTATGTCTTAAGTTAGTCGCCGTATGAATCCATTCTAAATAGAAGTGATCTCCCCAGACACAACACCTAGGTAAAGAAAAAATACACTATCCACTACACCCTGGCTGAGTGGTTAGCACAGTTGTTTCTCAGCCACATAGTCCTCGATGCGAACATGATATTTTGAGTAGAGTTTGCATGTTCTCCCCCGGTTTCTCCTACCACCAAAACTTGTACAATAGGTGAAATCCTTCAGCTCTGGCCCTAACCAAGCCTGGTATCATTAGGGTCCTGGGTCCTGGGCGCTGTACTATGGCTGCTCAGGATGGGTCAAATGCTGAAATGCAGAAATTTCCTTACGATAATAAAATACCACATGGTTGACATGGGATAAGGGCCACACGTATACTGAATAGTAACACACATATACACATGCAGGCACCATTGGCCTGAAGAAGCCTGTTGGGCCAAAACCTTGCTATTTCATACTATTTGCAAGGATTTATCAGCTGGCACAGTTCCCGTTCATCCGACACACCCAGTTGCCTTGATGTGTGAAATTCCTTGTTCTTCTGAAAAAAAAAATTAAATGAAAATACCTCCCCATGTAATAAAGAACTAAAATCAAGATGAGTTCTATCAGGTTTTGCAGTGTGAAGCTCATTTCAGAGCAGATTTACGGCCATCAACGTGTCTCAGAGCAAATATCAGAGGTTTCATCACTGTGGCGATTCCTGCAGTGATGCAAGCGGCCCATAATGGAGAGGTAATGGTTGAAAGAGAAGAGATAACCTTTAGAAAGAGCCTGGATCAGCAGTTTGGCTCTACATACAGGATGGTTTAGTGCTTTATCTCTCCAAAGGAAGTCTTTCACATTTCATTATCACATCATTCCTTTTATGGAATGGGTCGAGTTATTTTTTATTTCTATGTTATTTTGCTGTATCCATTAAAGTTTTTTGTCCACTTGGAAGAATTTAAATGAAGTATTGTTCTCTAGAGAATGGCACAGTTTTATTAAGACAGTTTTAATATTATGTTAATTTTTGATGTTTTGTTTTTCACACCGGGCCCAATCTGCAAACTCCATTTTTGCACTGGGTTTATTTATCTTTCACATGAATAATAATAATAACGCATAATACTTACTCCTACCTAATGACACTTCGCTCCACAGTCGATCCTGGTCTTCCCAGAGGTCTCCCATCACAGTAAAGCCAGACCCTGCCCTTATTAGTGTCTATGGTCTAGCAGTATCATGCTTTTTAGCTGTTTCAAGGTGATGTCTCAGTAATGCATATTTCTGACCAAGGGACACTGTACTTGGATGTAGAGTAAGTCATTTTCAATACTAATACTTAAAAATAGTATAGAATATTTAAAACAGTCCCTGCTATTAACATACCACTAGTTAGTTTGAACTAATTTAGGAGGAAAGCAGTTCATCCAATGACAAGGAGCCTCAAGGATTTGAATAATAATAATAATAATGCATCGGTTTTATATAGCGCTTTTTTGGACACTCAAAGACGCTTCACATGTGTCATTATTCATTCACTCCATACACGGTGGTGATAAACTACTACTGTAGCCACAGCTGCCCTGGGGCACACTGACAGAAGCGAGGCAACCAGTATGCGCCATCGGCCCCTCCGACCACCACCAGCCATTCACCCACACACCAGACTCATTCTAGGCAATGGGGGTGAAGTGTCTTGCCTAAGGACACAACGGCAGTTTGGCACTTTACAGCCGCAGCCGCCCCACTGTGGCTGGTGTTCCCAGAGGTTAAGTGTCTTGCCAAGGACACAACGACAGTAGTCAGTGGGAGTCGATGGTGAAAGTCTTGAGCAGGGCTTGAACCCACGACCTTCTGGCTCAAAGGCCAACACTCTACCAACTGAGCTACTGCCGCCTGAATCAATTTAGTCCAATCAGGAGGCAGCGACAGAAGGGTCTAACCATTGTGAGACGCCAAACACTCCAACCATCCCCAACTGCTTTCACTTATTATATTCTTATTATATATTATCCACCTATATCGCATATTTTTTGTTTTTGTTTTGGAGAAACCGGAGCACCCGGAGGAAACCTATATACATGTAGATACAGGGAGAACATCAAAACACACCGAAAGACCCGGTCTGGAGGGGGATCCTTTTGTTGGGCGAGATGGTGGCTGAGTGGATAGCGCTCTTGCGGGTCTAAGGTTTCTTCCAGATACTAAAAAACTGCCGTAGGTATGAATGTCATGAGTGAGTGAATGGATGGTGTTTGGTCAGAGGCTTTGATGCTCCAGTGTGCTCGGCGTCTCGCTTCCACCATCGTGTGTGGAGAGAGTGGAACAATCTCTGAACATTGTCAAGTGCTTTGGGTGACCTTGGTCTGTATAAATGCGTTATATTAATAAAGATTACTGCTTACTTCTTGCTGTGAATCTATAACGCTAAGTGCCCATTGACCGTTTTTTATCCTAGCCACCCATGTTCCTGTTTACATTCCTTCGTGTTTTGACGGTGTTTCGCATCTAACGGAGCTCTGTGTTGCTTCCATGGCAGCGAGAGGCACTGGGACCCGCTGGGAAGGAGGATGAGGACTTTTTGAGAGTGTGTGCTGGACATTACTGAGAGAGAGATGTGTCTTTCCGGTGGTCGGGTTTAATTAAGAGATCAGGAACAAGCGTGTGTGAAGACTCAGACTTCCCCAGACACATGTATCCGCTCCCGTCACTTATTCAATACCACCTCTGTGTCATTAGAGCTGCTCTGCCAGAGTGGATTAAAGTCCAGTCCCAAAGGAAAGTAATTTATCTACAGCTGACACATGAAATTATCTTTTATCTAAATAACAATCTAGTTCCGAAGGCGTTTTTAAAATAATAATACAAAAATAACAGTAGCGTTAGCATTAGCACCTGTGTTGTTAAGATAAAATACAGTAAGAAAAGGTAAGATAAGACTTTATTCATCCCACAGTGGAGAAATTTCAATGTCAATGGTTCATATCCGCTGCAGCTCAAAGCCAACACTTCAATGCCCAGGCTCTCTCTGCTTCCTCTCTGCTGTGTCCCGGGGCAGAGCAGGATGGGAGACCTGACCCTCTCCTGAACTCCCCCTGTGTCATTAGGCACCTGATCGCTCCTGCGCTGGAGGAGAGAGGAAATGGTTCACCAGGGGAGGCTCGAGGGGGAGAGGAAGGTGCTCTTTACACTTTGATCACTCGCCCCGGTGCTAATGAACACAAGCAGCTCCGCGAGGGAACAACATCCGTCCAGAGAAACACTTGGCAGCGTTTGGGAGGGAACCAGGAACAGTAGCAGGAGATTTTAATATGCGCCTATAAAGTCCGGTCTTTTTTACTTTTCATGTGATTTGACGACAGTGTAAAGGGCAAACCTGGAAGATTGGCAAAATGACTCGAATCTGTTTTCAGTTGATAAATGTATCCATATTTTTTTACTTTTATTTTGTTTTAATTTAATCTTATTTTATGCTTGTGAAACACTTTGGGCAGCCTGTGTTGTTATAAATGTGCCATACAAATAAAGCTGACGTTGACATTAATAATCAAGTTATATTTTGGCTGCTATGTTGTGTGTACGAGGTCAGGAGAGGTGAATATACACAGGAAATGTGAGGAATTTAAAGCAACAAGTTTCTTCAATTCCATGACGTATTACTTCCATGTAGAGTTAGTGTAGTGTGAACACCGTACTAACTTTTAAACACTTTTAAACACTTTTAAACCTATTTCAATACTACAGCGACTATTTCTAAATGTGAAATGTCATTTTTAACTCCACATAATACTTTTATGGGGCTACAAGGTACAAGTTATTTACAAGTTCTTCTTATATACAGTAGTTTAAAAATAATAATAATAATAATTGCTTAAGAAGTGACACATTCTGTTTTCTGTATGTACTTTTTTTTTTTACTTTTGAAAAAATCTACAATTTTTTCAGTATTTGACTTTCAATACTTTTGATCACCCTATAGTTGCCATTTATTGCTTGTCTAAATAATTCATTTCTTTTGAGATTGATGAAGAATATATAAAAAATGGTGGAGACCTCTATTCAGTCGTGTAGTGTAGAAAAACAAACGTCAAACACAAGTTGACTAGATCCACATAATCTCATGAAAGCCACATTACGAGACTTTCTGCAGGTGGAAAAATCAGTGTAATAATTCCATGGAAAGAGATAAAGTTAAACACATATGTTGAAATTCTCCTTCCTCCCATACTGTGGAAGATTATTGCTAAAGGAACCACACTTCAATGAAAACGAGTTGTGTATATTACGTCGTATGCAGTGGCCTGAATGTGTCTTTACCATCTCAAATCATAACAGTGTCAAAGCACGCACTGCTATTCACAAGAGTTATGATCACATCTGTTCTATTCACCTGGCATTTACAAACGATGCGTGTGTCCTTTGCAGCTGTCAGTGTCGAGAAGAGAGCCTGCTCCACACTGACAGAAGCAGTCCACACAATGAGGCCTGATGATGTGCCTTATCAATGGCTCCATCTTTGTCCCACTGATGAATTGATGTTGCTGATGGCTCATTCTTGTTTGGATTGATATCACCTCCCCAGAGAAAGCACCACTGTCCCCTGCCAAATTGTGGACTGACACTGCACATGGAGACAAAGAGAGAAAGAAAGTGTTACTGAGGCACAATCTGACCTCAATTTACTCTTGCCTCTTTTTTTCAAGGACTTCCTGGTCTTGGAAAAGGACAATTTGTCAAGAAGTTTGTCAGATTCTTTAAAGATTTTTTTTCTCATAGATGTGAGGCGGCGGACCATCTACGAATACCATCGCGTGGAGCTGACCAAGACCAAGATCACCAATTCTTCAGCGGCCGAAATCCTGCCTCTGCCCAGTAAGATTTTTACCTGTTTTACTGTTTTACCTACAGATGGTCTTCCTACAGTTATGGCATGCATTTCTAATTATCATGCAGTGCGTAAAGAGCCTTTAAAACGCACAGGATCTGTTTCTCAGAAAGGCCAGTCTAATTGGCTTTCTAATCTTTTGTGACCTTTCTCTCTTTGCAGCGTGTCTCCAGTTCACCAGCTGCAGCTCGTGCATCTCTTCGCAAATCAACTTCAACTGTAGCTGGTGCCACAAACTCAACAGGTTGGTCACCCCAGAGTCATGTCATATTTAGATGCCATTTTCTAGTTTAAAAAATAGATTTATCAGATATACAGTAAGTCCTATTTTAAGGCAAAAATTATAACATATGCAAGACAGCCCTGTGCTTCAGAAGAACGCCCTCTACAGCTGTAGTTTACTACCATTGTGTGTGGAGTGAATAATAAATAATGCTGTGTCTCTGGGCAACATGAAAAGTTTGTCCATCGAGCGTATCTGTGTTTGAAATTTTGATAGCATGAAAAGCAAACAGGATTATTGGTGTTATTATAATATAACTGGACACAGCCTGGCATCATGGGATGACCAGTCAGGGGTGGGTCAGACTTGCATAGCGACCCCTGCTGATCGGGGGGAACATTGCATCTGCGTAGCCGACTCCAGGAGGGAGAAGTTTGCTGTTCCCACTAGAGCTGAAGATCTTGGTCAGGCTCAGGTTCGGGTTGGGTTTTGGCAGATTCCTCTCGGGTACTGGCCAGGCGTGATATTTTAGTCCCGATTACAGCTCTAAGTCTCAGGGCTCTTTGCTGAAGCTTTTATTACTTAGATACATTTACACATACATACATTCAGAGCAGAATCGAGCAGACACTATGTAATGTAAGACAGTTTAGCCCCAGAAGAGGAAGTTGTTTGATGAAATACTCTGAGGGCTGTACCAGATCAGTTAAATCCTGAGTGCTCCATCTGCAGCTTATATTAAAGTGTGCAATCTCTTGACATCGCAGAAGTTATGTTTTAAAGCCGTACGTGTGAATATCAATTACACCCCAAAAGGTTGGTGTAAGCGTTACATCTGACTTGCCTTTTACAGTCTACTTTCCGATAAAGACATAATGTTCTCCTTTCCCTCCTCTGGCCCGTGTTGTGAGAGTGCGGTCCTCTCATTAGGCTGCTTTCTAATTGGACTCCTAACTGTGTTAATATATGCGTGTTCGGTTACTTTGGCTTCAGCCGCTCTCTGAAACAGCAGAGAGCACTTTTAACATGCACTAATTAAAGCTGTGGTGGCCTGTTGGCTCCAAGGTTAATGGCGTCAGGGCGGCTGACATTTGCAAAGACTAGTCCTGGTCAACTTCTCTGACAGCGGAGCGATGAAGGGGTGAGAGGGCGCCGCGTTCTCATACTCAAATTATTGACTAAATCCGGGGCTAATGTGTTCAGCCGCCACTGAATCAGGTTAATAAAGCATGACCGTGATCCCACCGTGGACCCGGACTATATGTACTACACAGATTATTCAGCCGTGGACAGAAAGCAGGGATCCAGGGCATTAGTACACAGTAAGAAATGGGGTATTAATATTTCAGAGTAAAGTTGTTTTCACTCAGAGTATTTTCAACATTATGAAGAGTAATCAGTGGAGTTAAAAATGAGGGTAAAAATGTGCAGAAACACCCTGAAAAATGAGACTACAGAAGTTTGGCCCAATATTGAGAAGAATTAAGTCAATTTAACTGTAACCAAAGAGTAAATTTTGCACTGATTTAGAGTGGGACTCTCATTATAGTTAAATTCAACTCTATAGATTATAGAAGACACATGAACACTTCTGGTTTTACTGTGTACGTGCTCTTTCATTGAGGGGAGGCTTGCAGTGGCTCAAAATCAATTAAAAATATACAATTGATCTTTTGTCAGACTGATAGACCATTGGTAAAATATACTCAAAACAATAAATAAAAGTAGGGATTTAAATGCACATCATAGTAATTCCCATTCATTTCCATTAATAGTTATAAGCACTTTTACTGAGGCCTTGTTTTTAGAGATAGTGTCTTTGGCCCCAACTTGAAATTGAAGTGAGCTTGCAAATGCAGCTCAGTAAACATTCTAGAGTCCAGATGGTTTTCAGTTTGTAAATGAGCCAACGAATCAATACTTCCTCCAGAAAGTGAGAGTAATTATGACCACGGAGATAGTTCTTCTTTCGGATTGCCTAAAATGACAAATCTCATCCCATTTCTCATTAAAAGTCTTTTGGCTCATTCATTTTCATGGGGACTGGCAGAGAGAGAAGTACCTCAGAGGGAAGTCATCAACAAGCCGTCTATGGGGACAGGTTAGAAAAGTCCTGATGTAAAATGGCGTCTCATCCTGCTTCTCATTTCTCGGGTCGAGCGACAATGTGCGGAAAAGGAGTGAGGGGGATTAAGCAGAAGATTCTGTCTCGCCTGATCGGACTGATGAGGCTGAGGTATTTTTCTGAAAATAATAGGAAGAGGTTGATTGAAAAGGTGCAAAGATGGCCATTATATGAAGCTATTACCATAACAATATAGGAGAAATAGAGGTCTGGGGGTCTCTGATGGCAATGGCATGAAACTTATCGTATCCATGGAGACTTCTGACTAAATTACTGGTCTGATCACTGGAGAGTTGACGCTTTTCCCAATTAAATGTCAAGTATTTTATTCAACAGCTCATTCTGCCGACATGAATCAATCAATGCGAGGTACATCATTTTAGAAGCGATTACGATACTGCTCCTGTGTCACTCTGGGCTCTTGTGGTTCCTGGTTTTGAAGGGTAAAATTAACAAGTCTGCATCATAACATTAACCAATCATTTATACAAAATAGCTTGCAGAGGGCTTTGGTACGCAGTGAGTCCAGGGCGGTCTGAGCTGCTGTCATCAGCTTTAACACTAGCTCCACATTCAGTCTGAGTTTGGCGTCAGACTGAGGTGCTTTTGAGTCGTGTTGCTCAGACATGTTGAAATGTCCCAGGTGTAGATGTTTACTGTTATGGAAGCTGTTTGGCGAGTTCACCAAGTTGTTTTTTCCCATAAAAAAGCAACCGCCCTGCTACCGACATGATTACTCGTTTAAATTCCCATGACCCTGTAAACTGACAGTTATTAAACTCTTCATGCACTTCTGAATAAACTATAGAGGGATCAATGTTCAAACTAAATACACTAATGATAACATAAACCACAACAACACACAACACACACTATATTGTGAGGAGCTGGTTTAGGATGAAAACAGCTTTTGAATAAACAGCTGTTTACTTGTGTGGGTTATTGGATTAGAACAAATTGTCTCTGAAAGCCACTTGAACACTTCTGTTGCAGACAATTCATTTGGAAAGCATGTTCATAATTAGTTTTGTGTCTTCAACAAGTTTTAGTTCCTCAACTTTAAAAACACTGTAAAACAAAAACTGGTGATGTCACGCCCCTAGTGTTCTCTGGTCATGGTCCAGGGGGAACTAAACTTCTATCTTTTCACATATTAAACGTCATATCAATTAGCTGAATAAACTGGCTCACCGATTTCCTTTTTATAACATAAGGTCCATCACATTTGCACAGTGCACGTCGACCTCCTGCAGATTTTTATCTAGGTGTTTTTGGTGTTAAAAGCAAAATGTATGATTTTAGGGAGGCACCAAAAATTGGTGGGAATAGGAGGTAAAAGCACGAGAATACAGGATTACTCAAACATTATTGATCAGACATACAGGTAAGTGCAGGTGATTCAAATGTTTTGAGGCTTAAAATTATTGCTACTTTCAATTTGTTACGTGGGAGTTTGAGCCTTTTTTTGGGGTCCCTGTCTGAAAGGTTTGGGGCCTTCGAGGTTAAAGTATGTCCTCTTTCATATGAATAATTTCCTCACGTTTAAACTTCCCCAAACATTGCAATGCCAACTAATATGTATCCAACAATAATGAGATGTATGATGTGTAATTCATTAACAGATGCTTGTGTCTCTGGTAGATGCTCCAGCGGCTTTGACCGTCACCGGCAGGACTGGGTGGACAACAGCTGTCCGGACGAGGTCAGATAGACAATTTCTAGTATAATTAATTACATTACGACTCCCATTAAAAATATAATAATTGCCTAATGTCCATGTTGTAGACCAAGGACAAGATGTGTGACCTCCTGGACACCACCAGCCAGTACCCCTTCACTACGTCCAAAACCACTCGAAATAAAGACGGGGCGGCTTCCACCTCTTTCCTGCCCACAAGTGTCCCGACTGAGGGTAAGGGCTGGAGCAGGGCCACAACACAACACCACACAACACAACACCACATCACACAACCTCTTTTTAAACAGTGAAGGATGTCTGCCGCCAAAAAGATGCTAATGAAATGTGTCTACTGGGAACTCCTCTCACTCGTGTTGATGAGCAGCTTTTTACAAGACGGCTTTGGCTTGTGCAGACAAAGTACCAGCCATCTTTTTTTATAGAACACTTTTTCAAGCTGATTTGAAAAAGAAATCATGAAGCTTTTAGCTGAATCTTCGGTTGTTAGAAGAAGACACATAAATGATAATACAGGCGAACTGTTCATGGGGAGGGTAAACTTTGAGAACACGTTGTGTGTTCCTGTAGATGAATTACTTGACTCTGTCACCACCACTGTTTTGAATGTTCTGGATACAATTGCTCCTGTAAAGGTTAAAATAGTTACAAACAAGCAAAAAGCGCCATGGACTAAAGCAGACTCGGTCAGGGCACAGAAGAGAGAGTGCCGGAAGGCCGAGCGGAAGTGGCGAAAGTCAAATCTCAAAGTTGACCATGAGATCTTCAAAGATGCGTTGTGCAATTTTAACAGGGAACTACGTAGAACGAGGGAAATGTACTTTTCTGAAACTATTGAAGGCTGTAGCAACAATCTACGTGTTCTGTTTTCAACAGTAAATAGATTGACAAATCCCCCTGTTAAGATGCCATCAGAACTTACTTCCAAATCTAAATGTAATGAGTTTGCTCAGTTCTTTAATGACAAAGTCCAAGGTATCAAAAACGCCATCACCTCCACGATAGAAATAATAATCCAACCGCCAGTGAGGCTTTTTGGGCTGACGCACTTTACACCAGTACAAATTGAAACTGTCCAGGAGATAATCACTAGTCTGAGTTCCTCCACATGCAGCCTGGATGTATTACCTCCTAGATTTCTCAAGTCAGTTCTGAGCAGTCTTTTACCTTCACTTACACAAATAGTTAATATGTCTCTTGAATCTGGAACATTCCCAATGGCCTTGAAAACGGCGGTCATCAGGCCCCTCCTAAAAAAGAGGAGTCTGGAAGCCCTGGCACTCAAAAATTATCGGCCCATTTCAAATCTGCCTTTCATGGGAAAAATTCTAGAAAAAGTTGCCTATCAACAACTTACAGAATTTTTAATAATCAATAACGCTTATGATATGTTCCAGTCAGGGTTTAGACCCCACCACAGCACTGAGACCGCGCTAATAAAGGTAACAAATGACATCAAACTAAACACTGACGCAGGAAAAGTCTCAGTCCTTTTTCTGTTAGATTTCTCTGCTGCTTTTGACACTATTGATCATGGCATCCTCATTCCGAGACTTGAGGACTGGGTTGGTGTTGCTGGCACCGCCCTAAGCTGGTTTAGGTCCTATTTACAAGACAGAAAGTTTTTTGTGGAGATCGAAAACTGTACCTCAGACCACTTGGCCCTGACCTGCGGAGTGCCACAGGGGTCAATCCTGGGTCCTCTTCTGTTTAATATTTACATGTTGCCTCTAGGTCAGTTGATTCACAGTAATAATGTCTCTTATCACAATTACGCTGACGATACTCAGGTCTATGTGTCCCTGACAGCAGGAGAGCATGAACCAGTGGACTCGCTCCTTCACTGTGTCCAGCAAATCGGTGATTGGATGCAAAATAACTTTCTCCAACTAAACACCGACAAAACTGAAATAATTGTTTTCGGACCCCAGAAACAAAGAGAGAGCGTTATTTGTCACCTCCAGGCTCTCTCTCTACAACCCTCAAATCAGGTCAGAAATCTAGGAGTGATAATGGACTCAGACTTACATTTCAAAAGCCACATAAAATCTGTAACATCAGCAGCTTATTACCACCTAAAAAACATTGCTAAAATTAAAAACATAGTGTCTAAGGCAGACTTGGAGACTCTTATACACGCTTTTGTCTCCAGTCGGTTAGACTATTGCAATGGCTTGTTCACAGGTCTCTCCAAACAGGCTGTAAAACAGCTGCAGTACATTCAACATGCAGCAGCTCGAGTCCTGACCAGAACTAGGAAGTGCGACCACATTAGTCCAGTTCTCAGGTCTCTGCACTGGCTTCCTGTTCCTCAGAGAATAGACTTCAAAGCAGCTTTACTTGTGTACAAGTCTCTCCATGGTCTCGCGCCAAGGTACATCCACGACATGTTTGTGCCATATGAACCGACCCGGACTCTGAGGAGCACAGGGACTGGACTACTGTTAGTGCCCAGAGTCGGTACTAGACATGGGCAAACTGCATTTCAGATTCATGCGGCTAGAGTCTGGAACCGTCTTCCTGAGAATGTGAGACAGGCGTCTACTCTGGCATCTTTTAAATCTAGGCTCAAAACAATTCTGTTTAGCTGCGCATATACAACTGAATTATTTTATCTTTTCATCTTTGTTTTTATCTTTAATCTTTTTAATGCACTGTGACTATTTATGATTTTAGTCCCATCTGTGATTTTAATGTTTAAAGGTTTTTAATTTTTGTGATTTTATTTTTAATGTTTTTAATATATCTTGTGCTCTTAATGTGTTTGATTTGTGCATGATGTGATAGGGGATGTGAAGCGCTTTGCGTTGCCTTGTGTAGGAAAGGCGCTCTACAAATAAACGTTGATTGATTGATTGATTGTGGACATCACTGGACAACTTGTAAAACAACATCGAGGTTTGAAAAAGTTGACAACAAATCTAACTAATGGATATAGTTTGGTGCAAGGCCATGGAGACACTGTACGCACCTCTGCTTGTGAACAAGTCTCTGCAAAAATCTGAAAAACAACTGAAGTATTTTCCAAATTCTGCAGCTTGACTGAGTCCTGACAAGAACCAGTAAGTCCAGTTATCAGGTCTCTGCACTGACTTATTGTGGCTCAGAGAATAGACTTTAAAGTAGCTCTGCTTGTTACAAGCCTCGCACCAAAGTCCATCTGTGACATGTTAGTGCCATATGAACCAAAGAGGACTCTGAGGAGCACAGGGACTGGACTCCTGCTCAGACCCTGCTGGGACTCAAACATGGGGAGGCAGCATTTCAGATATATGCAGCTCAAAACTGGACCAGTCTTCCTGAAAGTGTGAGGCATGCTTCTACTGACAATGTCAAAGTAGTTCTGCTTAGCTGTGCATACAACTGAGGGATTGAATCAATGTCTTAAATGTAATCATTTGTTTTTATGTTTCTTTATTTTATTTGTTAAAGACTTTCAGTTGGCTTTAGTATGAACTGTGCAATACAAATAAACTTTGCCTTGCCTAGTGTAATATTACTCCAGGCCTATTGTAAAAGCCCTCCATAATGTATCAAATACTATATACAAAAATCTTGACTGGAAGGGCAATTCCATTATTTTACATTTTTATTCAGCGTTTTGCTCAACAGTTGATTATCAGCTTTGTCGTCTCCACGTTCAAAGCCTACATGGATCGTACCACTTTACCTTTTCATATCTACAGGTCAGTTGTCTGCTGGTGCTAAGTGTACTGGGTGCAGCTCTCACTGCCACCCCCCATACCCAGAAATGGATTAAGGGGAAGAAAATGGATGGTTGGAGGTCAGATGTCTGCAGTTTTCTCAGAGAAATCTAATGCTCTTTAAATTGAATTATACTTAAAAACTCACATTTGATTCTTGAAAGTCGTTTTGAAAATCTGGATAAACACTGCAATGAGGAGGAACCAGGGCCGTGTCGTTGCACAAATATAAAGCAGGAAAACCCGGCCTTGCTACAGTGTATTCCTTTAAAATAGATCCTTATTTTTCCGCTGCACAAAGACAATGTTTATCTGTTCCCCATTACAGTTTTCAGGGTCCTTAGGGTGGCTCTGTTTTTGATCGTGCAGTGGAAAGTAGAGTTCTGAGCTCCAGCAGGAGGCCAGTCCCGATGATACAGTCGCATAAAGGCACAGACGGACTTACTGCTGATGAGGAGAAAAACATGTGACCTCCAAAGTTTGTTTACTTCCTGCATATGTTTACATTTCTTTCATCACATTAGTCACTCCAATGTTGATTATTTGCACAGCTCATTTCATAAAGTGTTGCCCCGACAGTATAGCATTAGTAGGAATAAATCACATTATTTTTTGACGAGGCGAGGCGGAGCGGAGCAGTGGTCATCTCCTGGGTTCGATTCCACCTCCAGACTAGCAAAGGCGAGGCAAGTTTATTAGGATAGCACAGTTCATACACAAGGCAACTCAAATTGCTGCAAAACAAGATATGGAGAATCACACAAGTCCAATCATAAATTATCACAGTACAGTCAAAAGATAAAATCAGTGGCGTTTCTGTGTGGACTTTGCATGTTCTCCATGTGTCTGCGTAGGTTTTCTCCAGGTGCTCCGGTTTCCCCTACCACTAAACATGTACTATAGGAAAGAATGGGATGAGAGAGTGACTGGATGCTGATGGTCAGAGAGGGCTCGGCATCTCGACTTTACTGATACACCAAAATGTCCTTTGTGTGTCTGTATTTTGTTTTAATATTTTGCCATTAGTAAACAAAAACAGTGATATAGAGTTTATATAGACACAACAGAAAAGGAAAGCATTGTAGAAGTCCTCCTCTGTCCCAGCCAAGACACACCGACAGGAGAGGCCTATTCTCAAACACCACTGGCCCCTCCCACTTGTCAATAAGATCACCAAATTAAAGTTTCTACGTTAATCACATGTCAATTTCTATAATACAAATATGGACAAAGCAGTACATGAATTACTCCTGCAATAGAGTATGTTCTGCACCTGTCGTGAACACAAGAAAAAAATTATGTCATACTTTTACAATAAAACCGTATTTTGTGATCAATCAATCAATCAATCAATCAATCCTTTATTATCTCACACAGATGGAGAAATTCAGTTCGATGAATAAACATCAAGGCCGGCCGCGTACTCTAATTTTCCGCGCTCCTTACGACAGTTATTCAACAGCAGAGAGCAAAACAGACACATATTTCAACAAACATGGGAGAGACACGGTACATGTGGATGTCTTCCATGTGCTCCTTAAAAAATAAAAAATCCTTATTTATGCTAATTTGTATTGTTTTGTCAGTCAGAAAAATACAGTTAAACGCAGTAGGTTCCTTGTGTGTTAATCTAATCCATGTTGTGCCGTGTGTCATCTTCGACATGTTGGGGGTGAGAAAAATGTGAAGCACTAATGGACGACCAATCATCACGGTCTGCACTCTTCCATTGAAGCCAATGTTTAACTCAATTTGCGATGACTTACAGCATGCCAGCACCTGCAAACATAACCTTGTTGTAGATTAATTTACTGCAGGCTTTTAGTGCCACGTCTGGAATTATGGTCATAACATTGTGAATAAAAAGAAGACATTAGAATTGGCATTGGTTGTGCTGAAGTGTGAGAATTCAGAGTCACTTGTTTTTTTCTATTATCAATTTGGTTTTGTCACAATCGATAGAATCTTGCAAATGTGAAATGTTGTGAACAAGTCAGACCGCAACAAAAATTGTGGTAGTAAAGGAGAAATTGTCTCTTGTGCAAACTGAGCCCTGTGAGGTTGTTTGGAGAGCTACGTTATAAAAAAAAAAAAAATTGGTAGCCCAGCTTTAAAGGGGGCATAAGACAAGGCAAGTATTATTTGTATTGCACAAGTCATACATAGGGTGCTTTACAAAACACCATTCATTTTAAATATTTCATTTGAAAAGAAAAATGGGTACAATCCTTTAGTTGTTGCTCAGCTAAACAGAACTCTTTTAACCTGCATTTGAACATTGTCAGAGAAGAAGTTTTTCTCAATTTTCAGGAAGACTGTACTAGATTTCAGCTGCATAATTCTGTAATGCTGCCTCCCCTTGAGTTTGGGCACCAACAGAAGGCCAGTCCCTGTGCTCCTCAAAGTCCCTTGGAAAGACTTATGTACACATTCTATATGGACTTTTACTGCTTTTGATCCATTTTAGTTAATTTCCTTCACCATTTATACTATATATCCAATCACTTACTTACTTTTTACTTACTTTGATTCATCGCTCGTCCCTGGCCTTTAAATATACTAAATCTAAAAAGACAAAGACAAGCAGTCAAAATGTATTCAAAAACTGAGGCCCCCCATCATTGGTTTGACTGTTCTCCTCCAGCAAATCTAATATCAAGGGGAGGGACTATTCTAAATATACTATTGTTGGAAAATACATAACAGTACAGTGTCTCATGGTTACCAATACGCATTAAGACAGTTCTGTAAACAAGACAGACCAGTGATAGGATCAAATTAATGTTCAGCCTAGCGTGTGTTGAATCAGTGGTGAATGTCTTGTGAACGATTCTTATCAAATTAAAATGTACTCATGTGTGCAACAATATTGGCTTTAAAAGTGTATAATATTAAAAAGCAGGCTGCATATCACAGTTTTATTTGAAATTGTTCTTATTCACGCACATTCAGAGGTGTCAGAACTAAATTTCTTATATATCTTGAGGTTTGCTATGGCCTCAGTTCATAAAACCGGCTACATACTGTACTTAATATGCGTGTGTGCTTTTGTGGCTCTCTGTTCTCAGAAGTCCATGTTGTACTAAGGTGTTTCCCTCTTTAATCACCATGTGAGGGCTGTGTTTACTTTGCCACTCAGTCCGGTCAGGGGTCCGTCCCGTCCTCTGAGATAAAGGTGTCTAATAGGAGTGTCGAAGCGCTCCCAGTTCTGGCCCTTCAGATCGCTACAGGGCGCGGAGGCAAAACTAACAAACTCGATATGCGCCTCCATATCCCCGGGTCACAAGGTCCCGCGTCGGTATTTGTTGTGAAGTTGACAGTAAAAACGGACAGGTTCTGACACGAACTCCGGATCGCTTTCTCTGTAATTTCAGCTGCAGGGGTCAATGGTCAGGGTGATGTGCAAAGTGGGGGGCCGTATGGGAGTATTGCATATGTGCAGCTGGACAAAACAAGGAGCAGTGATAATGTGTGTGGGGTAGAAAGCCTTTTTGATCTTTCATAGCTTCAGTTAACGCATATAAATTGCCTTAAAGAGAAAAACATATTTATATATATATGATACATAGATCCTTGTTTTCCCCAAGCAGCCACTGTGATTCATAGCCACTTCCCGAACGCTGGTGTGGGACTGAGGAATCCCAGCTGCTGCTTACTGTACTATGTCCAATATTACAATGAGTTTCAGGCGGAAAAATATGCTGGCGTTCACAACCAAAAACTATAATGGAATTTTGAATGCAGTGTTTCTTCAAGGCTCTGCACGCAATTTGCATAATGTGTGTATATGGTATGGTGTGTGTGTGTATTTCTGCTGGATAAGTGGGTCATTGTACATTTCCATTTTCCTATGGGTAACCCCAGACTGCTCCCTATGTGCTAAATTATGCATGATATCCCAGGCATTTATATTTAATCTGCTTAAGTGTGGAAAATTACACATTGAGAGTAATTTTACATTGAAACATTCTCAATCGTATTGGGATTTTTTGTCGAGGAAATCCAAGTATAAATAGAATATAGACTTTTATGACATATGAATATATTATTTTAGTTGTGCTGTATGCTCCTCACTCCTGCTGTTCTGTAACTGGGGATACAGCACTGGAATTTCCCCACTGCAGGACGAATAATGGATATCTTAATCTTAATCTTTTTTTAACAGATGACACCAAGATTGCTCTACATCTCAGAGACAACCAAGGTAAGGTTCAGACCCTCTGCCCCACAGTCTTTCAGTATATAGAGTCAGATAAAAGCCATCTAAAATGTCCTGTCTGTACAATGGTTTTTTAGATTTTAAGATGTTTTATAATCTTGATAAATACCGTTTTCATACATAAATTAGATATTTTTCTGGAATCATAGCCAGACACTCTGACACTCCTCTCTCACAGCTGTGCTCTTTCCCCTTTTGTAACAGCTGATAAAAGACAGTTGTTACATGTTGGACGCCAGCTGTCAGAAAGAACAATAGGAAATATTTAATCATCTCTGAAATAGCTGTAGATATTATTGTGTCTTGGGAAATACTGATATTTACGTGTTGGACTAGTAACTTATGTTTCAAACTGTTTGGAGAGACAATGTTGCGAATTATTTATTTCCATGTCGTGGCGAATAGGAAATGATCCATTGTTATCGCACTCTAAATAAAAGTGTGATAAAGAGTCCCATATGCACAGAAGCTGGAATACTTCCTTCTAAATGTTTTTTATCACAGTAATCTGGTGTGATCGTGACACACAGGCAGGTACAATGTAAAATAGATAGCTAACAACCCAAGAACCATTCAGTCTTACGGGCATTTATTACTGAGAGATTATTGTCAGTGGAACAAGGTCATCTCTGCAGGAGCAAGGATAGACGTAGCTGCTTTGTGAACGAGCCTTCGCTATCCATCAGTCTGCAGCCTCTTTTTTAATAGTCAGTGTCCACATCCTTTGGTCCCGTGAGAGAAGGAATGCAGTCATCTGTTATAGCCAATAATGCCCCACAAATAAACCACTCACTCCCATTTGATGCACGCTGTAGATGTACAGGGCTATTTGCTGGACTTGTAAGCGCACCTGTATACAAACAGCACCAGCTAAATTTGAAGAGAAAGTACATTTTGTCACATGTAGGCCGGGCTTGAATATAAGCCACAGGTTTTTTATGTTTTAATGTAACTTAACTATGACTATAACTACTGTAACTGACTATAGCCCAAATCACATTTAAGTCCTGTGCATTTCCCTGCACTCGCTCCTGTCTCTCTCTGCGGCCCACATAAAAACACCAGAAAGCAGGAAGAAGAATTATTTTTATTGCCATTGTAAGTAACAGTACGTCTTAAAAAAGGAATTTGCTTTGGCATATGGTGCAAAAAAGTTATAAAAAAGTGAAACATAGAAAATGATTTTAAAAACTCTAATATATATTTTTACACAATAGAGGTAGAATGTGTGCTTCGTCAACAGCTCTGGAGATCAACAGTTGATCGAGAGCTGTGTCAAAATCTCTGTTCTAACAAAATTTAAATTCATACATTGGTATTTAGGCCGCAGTTAAAATATTTAAAAGAAAAAAATCCAGCAAGTACTTTATGTCCATGTCCATAGATAAAATGCAGTCCAAATCCAGTATAAGATCAGGACACTCCTATCCCGATAATATCTCTTCAAAGACTGCTACAAACACCTGCTGTTTTACTGTGAATCCTTCAAAGGGCCCGCTGAAGGACAAACTTGTTATGTAGTTGTAGTCTCTGGAGTTAGCACAACCAAGGCTGAATGACAATTAATTTCAGTGTACTCATTATTTTTTTGTCTAATCGAAGCGTGCCTCCCTGCCTGTCCAAAAGAACCAAAAATTTTAATGTTGAGCAAACACATAAAAAATGCAGGACCATAATATTCTCACCTGCTCTCTTGTAATATAGATGCATGGTGAGCTCCTCCTGTTGGCAGGTGATGGCATTACAATAACACTGGAGTTATTCTCTTTCCACCAAACACCATCTCATGATATAACATGATACATATAATTGAAGTCCATCTACCAATCCAATCAACTGTAAAACCAATTCAAATGATATGGTGATTCAAATCATTTGATATCAAATGGCTCGAGCCCATATAGTTATTTAAATCTCAATTTCAGAGAAGACAACACTGTGGTTATAATGCTTGTGGATATTACTGGATTAGTCTTCAAAACTAGGATTCCAGGCACTCCTGAACAAATTGTGTGTAAACCACACAGGGACCTCTTAATTGAATAGCCTCTATTTAGCTGGTCACAACAGAGGGCATACTCTAGACCTTCATCATTTATTTTCACCAGGGGTCCATATTGGGATCCCGTTTCATAAATGCATATATATTTGTGATTTACATTTTCTGCGAAAGCTATATTAGTTATAGAATTATGTATTTGATGAGCAAAAATATATAAATAAGAGGAAAGGGACAGCAAAGCATTAATTTAAAATGAACATTATATGAGGTCAATAGCTGGAGAGTCCAGGGGTCATGTTTTCTCAGGTGTGGACTAGATTAGAACACAGGAAATGCAACAATGAAAAACACATTAGAGCCAATGCTCCATAGGGAAATAAACAATGTTCTGTAATTGTTCCTAAATGCTCATACATGTCATTTTGCAGCTGTTCCTGCTGAGAACACGGTGGACCGGAGTCTCGGCACACACCCCCAGCACACAGGCCTGATTCTGGGCATCCTGCTGGTGTCCCTGATCATGGTGGTGGGGGTTCTGGTCACTGTGTACATCTACCATCACCCCACGTCTGCAGCCAGCCTCTTCCTCATCGAGGTACTTGCTAATATCGCCTAATGCTAATAAAAGAGCTCTAGACAAAGCACCTTTTCTCCTGAAGACAGTAACTACGACACTGGTTGCTGTAAAACTAACTGTCTGTAAAGAGCTGTGTCTCTGGACAAAGCTCAGTGCGTTTTATTTTTCAGTTCATAAATATGTATTATGGTTTTCCGAGCATGGTGATGAAACTGCTGGTCTGTGCTTGGTAATGAATGAATGCAAGTCCCCAGAGAAGGAGTGGGAGCAGAAAGCAGAAGTAAACATGTTTAAAATAAGGAGGTTTTTTTACTAGATGAAAAAAAGAGAGAAGGTCTGTCTCATCATCCTCTCGGGACGCTGCACGCCCAACCAAACAAGAAATGTCGAATTGTTTACATTTTACTGCCACGGTCTGGGAATTAAAAAAAAGTTTTATACAAGAAAGGCAATTACAGTGGGAATAAATTGCTCCAGGGGCGTCTGCATATAAAGGCAGGAAAATAATGAAAATACTGGTACAGCTTCTGAAATAGTGGATCAGAGTGTGAAATCCAAAAGTTTTGTTAAATCAGTTCATGAATTACAGGTGTACAGTGTTGTCCCGACTCTCCCTTTTCCTTAAAGGAATAGTTCATCGTTTTTACATACTGACAAATGTTCTTACCTTACCTTAGACTAGTTAATACGTACCTGTCTGGTCTTAGTCCGTGCGCTCTGTCATGCAAACGGAGCAAAAACGGGAGCACAACCGCAGCCTCCTCTGTATATTTTGTAGCACCAAAAGGTAGCTCCCGCTAGAAGCTACCAAACTCTTCCAAGTGTTCCCTATTAAATGTATATAGTTACGTGACGTGTTACACTGCAAAGTATAGTAACACAGAAATGTAACAGTCGATTTTCTCAGCGGATAAAACGGGTACTATATTGTGAGGCGTAGTAATCTGAGGGGCGCTACGTCCGCGCACTAACTTCTCTCCGGAGACTTCTCTCTCGCTCACTTCCGTCAATAGAAGCAGCGTGTGACTTGTAGTACACACAGTAGCAGCGAGAGAGAAGTCTCCGGAGAGAAGTTAGTGCGCGGACGTAGCGCCCCTCAGATTACTACGCCTCACAATATAGTACCCGTTTTATCCGCTGAGAAAATCGACTGTTACATTTCTGTGTTACTATACTTTGCAGTGTAACACGTCACGTAACTATATACATTTAATAGGGAACACTTGGAAGAGTTTGGTAGCTTCTAGCGGGAGCTACCTTTTGGTGCTACAAAATATACAGAGGAGGCTGCGGTTGTGCTCCCGTTTTTGCTCCGTTTGCATGACAGAGCGCACGGACTAAGACCAGACAGGTACGTATTAACTAGTCTAAGGTAAGGTAAGAACATATGTCAGTATGTAAAAACGGTGAACTATTCCTTTAAGTGCATTAGAAGCGTGTCCTTGCCTCCGGTCAGACTCCAGAGAACGTGGTTCTTGCTTCTCTAATGACATCAGTGCCATCCTCAATCAATAGAACCTCTGGACGCTGTCTGTCTCACTTAGTCTTCTGAAGCTGCTCCTGAAAGCAGGAAACAAATACCCCTTCAAAGACCAGTGCGTGTCACTCAAACTCCAGATGTTTTAAAGCCCCTCCCTGTAATATGTACATAGGAGCCTGGACCTCATCACTTTTTACTTTGCTGTAATATACAATCGGATTATTTTTTTATTGAAGCGTAATAAACGTAACTTTTTTGGGTTCATAAATAGATATTGTTCGTCCCAACAGAAAGAGTCTTGTTTGTTAAGTAACAGTTTGTGAACAAATCAGACCTCAACATCTGTCTTTATCTGACTAGAAACATTTTATCTTTCACATACTGAGAGCTGGTTGGATCAGTGAGGGCTGGTTCTCTATTGTTCACTGAAAAAGCTGATCTAAAGATGTGACTGAGGCCAAAAATACATGCATGTGAAAACTAGTGACAGAACTGTTCTGAGTGCGAGGAGCTAGTTACGGGGATAAGTATTTATTGGATTTGGTTTATTTGAATGAGGACAGACTATGGTACTGTAGTCCAATGCATGCATCGTGGTGCTTATAAACACTTATAATTCGCTTTTGGCATACAGTAGGAGGAAAATGTTACAACATGACAAGCACATATGTCAAAATGTTTGTGGTCAATTCAAAGTTTGATACCCCAGATTATAAGACTGCTTTCACAACATCAACAAAACTTTTAAAATATTATTGACTGGCCGTCGCAGATTGAAACCAAACGGGAACTACTGAATAAATATAAAATCTTTACAAACCACTCCTTTCCATTCACAGAGACGTCCAAGCAAGTGGCCGGCCATGAAGTTCCGCCGCGGTTCGGGACATCCGGCCTACGCAGAGGTGGAGCCCGTGGGCCAGGAGAAAGACGTGTTTATCGAGTCCGAGCAGTGCTGAGAAACCTCCTGGAAACTCTACAACATTCACCTGCTCCTCCCAACAGCCCACTCTACAGACCCTCGTGGACCAGACTGACCCCGCAGTCCTTATCGCAGCGTGCAGTCTGATTCCACACGTGACATTCGGGACATTGGATGCAGTGGACAATAAACAATATAGGCTTGGAGCAGAGAAGGCGATACTAATGTCAGCTAATCATTTGTTGCCATTGGAGACAAGTGGGCAGGAGCCATTTTACAATATGTATCTTAAGAACTACTCCTGAACGGAAACTCTGACTTTATTGTCAGTGGGCGATACAGTTTAGGCTTTGGTTTTTTTCTTAGGGTTGGCACATGTTTCTGTATAGACCTCGCTGTGATTGACTTTCTACTGAAGCATTGACACATGACGTAGAGCTCTCCTGTCTCTGCAGCCCTGGCACTCTAGAGGACTTAGTAGTTTTTATTGTTTTTGGGTGATGGGCACACTATCTACTTTTACATAACTACTGTGCCATATCATATCCGATCTTTTGCACAATTTTGTCCATGCACATTTTAGTTTTTTATTATTTCTTTATACTATTTGACAGGTATTGCGGATAGACAAGACAGGCGCTTGTGAGCGGATGCGATTATATTTTCTATACATGAAGTTTGGGGCAGTGGTGACCTGGTGTCCTTAGTAATTCTGGTGCATTTCTTTGAGCTGGCTCTGCACAGGCGAACGCTTTTTCACGCACTGGCTGGCTTTGGTTTAGGGCAGGGGTGTCAGACTGGAGCTCAAAGGGCCGGTCTGGCTGCAGGTTTTCATTCTAACCAAGCCGGAGCACACCCGACTCCACCCATTTCTTCATGTGAGTCCAGTCTGAACCTGGAGGCTTGATGAAATGGGTGGTGTGTGCTCCTGCTTGGTTGGAATGAAAACCTGCAGCCACAATTGCCCTTTCCGGGACCAGTTTGACCCCCCTGGTTTAGGGTGTGGATGACTCTTTGAATATTCATTTTAACTTTATTATAATGTGTACATACATAGGCCAATGTTTGCAGATTCAGGTAATACATGGCAACCATCGTTCTGTTTAAGGGGCCTTTATTTTGCTACTTTTTTACATTTGAATGTGAATCATTGCTGTCATGCTTTTTCATTTTTAACATCTCAACACTTCAGACTAATTTTTTTTTTTTTACGCCATTTGTACGTCTTCGATATTCAGAAATGATTCAGAATGTGCAGTGTGATACCCATTCCCTTTTCTCAAATTCAACTTCATCCCAAAACCAAAGAACATTCAGTATTGGAGCAAGATAAAATATGTACCTCAACCGCAGACGCCGGGTCCATCAGTGTGAAATCTGAGTCTGTTCGCTGCAGTACGAAGACATTACTGATTCACACTCAGAGAACTCTTTGAACGTAAGGATTTAAAGCTGGGGTACCTTGTTTTATATAGTATGCAATCAAAATGTAAATAAAAATACATTTTGTTTGTTCCAACAGAAAGTGAAGGTGACTTTTTGGCAACCAATCAGACAACTCCATGATGCTACGTTTCTCTAATTTTCATCTTATTAGAGAAATGTAATCTTTTGTATGATCTGTGAGTCACTATTTGAGTTTAGTTATACTGTATTGTCCCCGTAGGGAAATTAGTCCTCTGCATTTGACCCATCGATCCAAGGCCTCAGTCCAGAGCAATGGTCAACATAATACAGAACCCAGCTTTTGAGTGTTAGGGGAAACCGGAGCACCCGCAAGGCACCAACACAAACATGGGAAGAACATGCAAACTCCACTCAGAAAGGCCCTGTTCTGACCGGGATTCTTGCTGAGAGGCTAACCACTCTGCCACCATGCCTATTTGCCGCTTTGGGCTTAATATATGCCAGAGAGTAAACGATTCATGAATGGGAAAAAGCTGAAGAACCAAACCGAAAGATACAGATTTCATTTTGTAGTTTTTTGGGTTTGAAAGTTAGGTACCCCAGCTTTAATGATCAGATTCAGTCATTTATGTTTTCTCAAAGACGCCCATTCCAGTTGATGGTTGTATTTTTACTTTATAAAACAACTCTATTGAGGGCAATGATTCACCGAGCGATGAGTGAAAGGAAAAGGTTCCGGAGACTTCTCTGTTGCTTTCGTAGGACACGCTGGTGATTTAAGTGAACTGGAAAACAAAGGTCCTGGATTATTCATGACGTTTCCCCAGAGCACAAAGCAGGAGTCAAATCTCACATCATCATGTCTGTAATTTGTGTAAATGTTTTTTTGATTACTTTGGGAAAAAAATAAATGTCTTTTCAAATCACGTTTTCTCGGTATCAAAGTACTGTGTTTTGAGTCTCTGCACGTGGATTTGTTTAATTGTATAGACATTGCACCAACACACATGAAGACTTATTCTGTAGATGATATTTATATAATCAAAATATGATTAAAGTGACTATTCAACCAAGGAATACACATAACTGCACAATATACAGTCATTCAAAATAAGATTTCATTGTTTTGTATAATCTGTATGTTACTGCCTCCCATATAAAAGTAAGTAACAAACTGATATAAATCTGTTTCAGAGCAAATACCTTTTTAAATCCTGGTCATAGAGACGTTCTTAACACGGTCTGTTACTGCCATCTGGTGGAAGAGACACGCAGCTGCAGCAGAAGTGAAACCGCACCTTTTCCAGCTTTGACCATTTTCTAAAGACAACTTTATTATTAATGAGACTTGTTATACAGGGTTTATTTAATAATTGGCGTGTTTTCTGTTTAACCAATATAATAGTGGATTTAAACACAGTGATCATGAAGCGATTATGAGTTTACTGGTTCCACAGTCTGTTCCTCTCAGACTGAAAACATAAACAGCACTTACAGTGCCTTGCGAAAGTATTCGACCCCCTTGAACCTTTCGCCACATTTCAGTCTTCAAACATAAAGATATACAATTTTAATTTTTTGTCATGAATCAACAACAAGTGGGACACAATCGTGAAGTGGAACAAAATTTATTGGATGATTTAAACTTTTTTAACAAATAAACTGAAAAGTGGGGCGTGCAATATTATTCGGCCCCTTTACTTTCAGTGCAGCAAACTCAGTCCAGAAGTTCAGTGAGGATCTTTGAATGATCCAATGTTGTCCTAAATGACTGATGATGATAAATAGAATGCACCTGTGTGTAATCAAGTCTCCGTATAAATGCACCTGCTCTTTGATAGTCTCAGGGTTCTGTTTAAAGCGCAGAGAGAACCATGAAGACAAAGGAACACACCAGGCAGGTCCGAGATACTGTTGTGGAGAAGTTTAAAGCCGGATTTGGATACAAAAAGATTTCCCAAGCTTTAAACACCTCAAGGAGCACTGTGCAAGCAATTATATTGAAATGGAAGGAGTATCAGACCACTGCAAATCTACCAAGACCCGGCCATCCCTCCAAACTTTCATCTCAAACAAGGAGAAGACTGATCAGAGATGCAGTCAAGAGGCCCATGATCACTCTGGATGAACTGCAGATAACTACAGCTGAGGTGGGAGAGTCTGTCCATAGGACAACAATCAGTCGTGCACTGCACAAATCTGGCCTTTATGGAAGAGTGGCAAGAAGAAAGCCATTTCTCAAAGATATCCATAAAAAGTCTCGTTTAAAGTTTGCCACAAGCCACCTGGGAGACACACCAAACATGTGGAAGAAGGTGCTCTGGTCAGATGAAACCAAAATCAAACTTTTTGGCCACAATGCAAAACGATATGTTTGGCGTAAAAGCAACACAGCTCATCACCCTGAACACACCATCCCCACCTCAGCTGTAGTTATCTGCAGTTCATCCAGAGTGATCATGGGCCTCTTGGCTGCATCTCTGATCAGTCTTCTCCTTGTTTGAAATGAAAGTTTGGAGGGACGGCCGGGTCTTGGTAGATTTGCAGTGGTCTGATACTCCTTCCATTTCAATATAATTGCGTGCACAGTGCTCCTTGAGATGTTTAAAGCTTGGGAAATCTTTTTGTATCCAAATCTGGCTTTAAACTTCTCCACAACAGTATCTCGGACCTGCCTGGTGTGTTCCTTTGTCTTCATGGTTCTCTCTGCGCTTTAAACAGAACCCTGTGACTATCAAAGAGCAGGTGCATTTATACGGAGACTTGATTACACACAGGTGCATTCTATTTATCATCATCAGTCATTTAGGACAACAGTGGATCATTCAAAGATCCTCACTGAACTTATGGAGTGAGTTTGCTGCACTGAAAGTAAAGGGGCCAAATAATATTGCACGCCCCACTTTTCAGTATTTTATTTGTTAAAAAAGTTTAAATTATCCAACAAATGTCATTCCACTTCACGATTGTGTCCCACTTGTTGTTGATTCATGGCAAAAAATTTAATTTGTATATCTTTATGTTTGAAGACTGAAATGTGGCAAAATGTTGAAAGGTTCAAGGGGGCCGAATACTTTCGCAAGGCACTGTATGTGTCCATAACAGCTGACAGCAGCACGAGGACTGGGGGAGCACAGGAGATCTCCTCTATCTCTTTATTATAGATGAGTTAAATAATAATAATATAAAATATGTTTCTATTTGATTCGTAATATAATGGTGATGAATAGTAGAAAGTTCAGTACACATTGTTTGATGTATTAAAATCTATTTTTAATAGAAATTTCAAACACAGACTTACAATGTAAACACATTGAATTGTATACACTTTTAATGTAATAAATAATGGAAGTTTGGTCATCAAAATAAGCAGTAACAGGTTCATTAGGGCGGTCGTTAACAATAATGTATAGTAGTAGTTTAGAATAGGGATTTTCATATTTATTATTTTGGCAAAAGGACTATTTCTATTGTTTTACTGAAATGAATTCAATATTTTTTCTATTGTGGCATTTTTAGAAGATGCCTGTTTTGTGTCTGTTGTATGTGTCGTACAACATGATGTTCAACATTTACAAATAACAAGAGTAGTTCATAGTGCATCTTTCCTCATAACACACTTCTTAGGAGTGTTCGATTCGGAAATGGTGTCAGTGTAACAGCGTGTGTTTGGAAAACTATCATTCATACATTCAGGATAATCAACATTACATCGGAATCTTTGATTAAAAAAATAAATATAGTCACACAGTTTTTTACAATCTTAACATATCGTGAATCTCCGATGTTGAACCAGCTGAAAGCAGAGACGAGCTGAGCCACAGTATCAGGTTAATCTGAAACCAGAAGAAAAGCTCCATTGTAATGGCTCAGAGGATACAAAAAGTGTTATTACACGTACTCACTGGAAACAGGTTCCACTTCCACTGCTTTCGACAGAGACAACCCAGAGTTCTGTTTGGGCCGCGCCCCGAGCTCCCGAACGTCTCTCTCTGGGTTTTTATTGTCATCCTTTACTTTCTTTTCCTCGACTATTTCTTGTGGGACAAAGTGGCCACCTTCTTCAGCCACCAGCCGCTCCACCCCCTCCATCAGGCGGCCCACCTGAGGATGCTCTCCAAATACACAGTTATTAATGATGAAGTATCTCTTCTTGCACTTGTCCACCACCCACTGAAGGTTCTGGCCCTCTCTCCGAATGTAGCGCTCGATAGTGATTTTCCTGAGGGCTTCCACCCAGGGGAACACCACAATAGTATGTCTCCAGACATTTTCACCAAAAAGACTCACGTGTTCCTCAATGCGGGCCCGGTCTATGTCTGTGAACATTCCCACTGGGATGACCAGGAGGAAGGCATGTGGCCCAGGGGGGCAGAGGGTGGCCCCTTTAACTAACTCCTGTTTGTAGGAGGGAGGAGTGTCCTGAGCAGAGAACCAGCCCGGAGTGTCCACGACAGTGACCTGCCTCCCCTTCACCTCCGTCTGTCTGGTCACACAGAACTCTGCAGCCCGCTCCAGTCTGAAGTCCTCTCTGCCCAGGATCGTGTTCCCCGTGAGGCTCTTCCCAGGCCACCTCCAGCCCAGCACCACCAGGCGGATCTCATCCAGGACGGGCGCAGTCCGAGCTGCTGCTGCAGTGTCCTGTTTAGTCTCCTCTGTGACGCCACAGGCAGCCTCTGTTGGCATACAGCATACATTATAATAGTTATAGATTTAGGAAATTCAGAGACACATAGCAATAACAGACCTAGAATCCAAAACCAAATCTCTCAAAGATATCCTTTGTCTGAAATGGATCACTATCGCGGACTAAATACAGATGGTCTTGCCGCTGTGAAGGTTCTCTGCATTCATGACAAACGTGTTACGTGCCACCTCTCCTACCGTGGCCTGTCCGCGTTACAGACGCGTTACAGACGCGTTACAGACGCGGGAAGAGCGGGGAGAGCTCCGGACAAAGACCGCGTCTCTCACCTTTAGTCTCGGCGCCGCTGCTGGACTCCATGACCCTCTGAACGGGACTTTACGAACTTGGATCAAGACGGATCTGAGAAAACTCAAGTTTGCTGTTTGGTGAACTTCCTGTACTTTCTTTTGACAGATCTCTCAATACTTTTGTGACAACTACGGAACTGCCGGTTTTTCAAAATAAAACGGAAACAATTGTTTATATCCAGAATAATTGTATTGTTATTACTATGTACATACACTGTACATTACTACTACAAATATTGCAATCATAAAAGTAGTACCATTTATTTATTGCATTATATTCGTTTATAGGGACTGTACCATAGAAGGTACACACATTAATTATGTGTAAATGTGCCAGTAATAGCTTGTTTCCAACTGTACCTTGGCTATTTATATAAAACATTCACAAGAATTGTACAAGAATTTGGATTTCTTGACACAATCCTCCACAATAAACACACTGCTGCATCTGTAAATGCGCTTCTTTCTAACTATGAAAGAATAAAAAGATTGTTCTGTAGTTATTTTATTGTTTGCATGTACAGTTCCACACCTTCATATGGCACACAAAATGAGTAAACATTTTATTACAATACTTACAGAATGCCAAATAACTATATACATTTATTGTTCATATTAAATGCCACAATGCAACTCATTTATTTACAGAAGTAGAAAACAATTATATCATTTTTCCATTTCATATAACAAAGCTATTTAAGCTTCACGATGTTTTATCTAGATGTAAGATGCAGAGATAACCCAGCATGGGGCATATAAATTCATTCTAACCCCTTTTTCCGATTCCTTCATTGTTAATTATAATTACACACAGGTCAATCTGAAATTTCCAGAAACCAGTAGTAGTGAAATAGTAGCTTCACTTTTCAATATACACACACTAGGTTCCCCACGATTCCAGCATACGCATATCGTCGTCTTCGTCAACCTTTCTTCTGGATGCTGCAAATACAACAACATATTAAACAAGTAATGTCAAAAGATCCTATTTTGCAAGTCGAAATCATAATAATTTGTACTCTGTGTTTTAATATGTCTGTGGACTTGTACAATTTGAGAGACAATGCAATTTGTTTGTTAATACATTTTTCAAATAGGAAATCTTTATGTGACAATTCGTAAAATGTAACGGGCCCAAAACATATCTCGTCAGAACTGCAGTGTTCTAGATTTTATGATATACTTACAGACACGCTGGCCATGCCGCTCTCTTGGTAATTTGGATGCAGGGACGCTCGGTAATGCACCCATAGTGTCCTCCATTTCTTCCTCCTCCAACTCGGCCAATTCTGCCAGTAGCTCATCCTAAAAATCGGATAAAGTTTAAGTTAAAGTCAACAGGAACAGAAAACATGTACATGGGAATACAGGAAATAATAGTTTAACATTTATGGTCATTGGTCTCTGCCCCTTATGGTTCTCCGAGGAAACTACTGTTGTGATTTAGCCGTATATAAAAATAAAGGGATTTTTTTGAATACACAAACCTCATCGAATGTTTCCCCAATAGGTCCAGAAATGGCCTCGCTGATCTCCCTCGCGATGTCTTGTTGCTCTCCAATATCCAACATCATGTCCTCAATATTGTTAATATCCCTGTGGAAAGATATTAGACAATTTAAATGTTAGGTTTTCACACATACGGAATTGTTGTGATGTTGTGAAGAATCTTACAAGCTCTCGTGAACGGTCTTCATGGCCTTTGCGGCGTAACCCATGTTTTTGAGGACTTCTGTGTTGGTGTGAGAGTTCTCCAGCGCTTCTCTCTGGAACTCAATCGTGGACAAGGTGCCGTCGATCTGTGTGAGCTGCTGTTCGTACCTCTTCTTCCTCTTCAGCGCCTGTAGAGCAGCTAAGAACACAAACAAATGCATTGATACAATCCTCCTGGTTGTCGGCCTGCCACTGCTGTCACCCAGGGCTCGGCATTCACCAACAATGGTCCCTCCCAAAACAGGTTTTTATTTTTAGGCTCACATGATTCACTGTGTACAGGTTGTCTAAAGCAGTAGATTCTCTCTCATGGAACAATAAATGATTTCTTTACTAGTAAATGACCTAGTAGTTTATTTTCAATATTTTCAATTCAAAGTCCCCTCAAATATAGTACCGTATATGTTATCCTTAATAATCCAGGAGTTTTGCATGGGTTTTCCAGAATGCCTATTTTATGTCAGTAGATATGGCATTCATGAAAGCAAATAATTCATTCAAGAACTAATTCTCTTCATCTGGAAACACATCCAAGTGCCTCCACCATATGGCATCATATTACCAAAGTGGTTCTCATACCCCTTGTAGGGAAAACATGTATATCTATCTACCAGTAATCATTAACCCAACTACCTGTAAAGTAGGAAAACAAGTGCACAGTCTTGACTCAGGTGAACCTTTACCTCGCTTGTTTTTTGTCCCATGCTTCTTTGCTGTTGCTATTTCCTGCTGTATCCTCTGTTCCAGGTAGGCTTGCTTCTTTGTCAGCATTTCCTCTGTTTCCCGGAGTTTGTGGATGGCCTCTTGGGGAGAAGGACCTCCTCCCCGCGACCGATGATGCTTGGACTTGGAGGAGTTCGACGAACTCGAGCTGGAGCTCCCCTTGAATAGTTTGGCAATCTTACTCATTTTTTGTAGATTCTATGGACCTAAAGCGCACAGGTAAAGCGCTCCTGCTGTCTCCTGCAGCGGGTGTGGACAGGCAGCAGATTTTCCAGCTCAACAGCTTTGTGCTTCAAACCAGCCAGTGAATTTAGTGAAAGCCTCCACCGCACCTTTCGCCCTTACCTCTATGACGTCACCCCCTCTGCCCCGCCCCTTGTGTAGGATTTTGTATTACTTGATTGTAGGCGCTAGAGAGAGCACGGCTTCCATCTTGCGTTTTTAAGCAATTATCATGAATCACATTACAGATATAAAGGAGGATTCTACTTCCGGGTGGATCATCAAGACTATTAGTCCTCCTAATTGCCAATCATTCTGGTGATAGGCAAGACTGTCACACAAAACAATCAGAACCAATCACACAAGGCATTAAAATTATAAATAATGTTATCTTCACTCATTGTAATGGACTAACATTACAGAATAAAGGGAATAATATCTGTTCTTATTAATAACTTTACATGGGTTGAATGTTCCACACTGTTTTCTGTCTCATCAGAGCTCTAAATGAACATACAGTAGAAATCATGAAAACGACGTACGAGCAAAAAGTAACACTGATTTGTTTGTATTTTAAAGCTAAAAAAAATAAATAAAGGTAAAAAAACAACCCCACTGTAAATATTACCAACGCGCATGCGCCGAAAGGTAAACGCCATCGTTCTCTTCCGGGTCAAAGCTTGTTGTGATTCTGCCGCTCGCGCTCGTGACACATGTGCATGTGTGTAACTTATTGTTCTTATTCAACTGTAACTAAAGCCATGGCTGAATTTGATATTGGGAAACACTGCCAGATTGAATCATGTAATCTGAAAGGTGGGTTGCCCCGTTTCTCTCTAATTAAATTGACATTTTAATTAATTGTGTCCAAAGTACAGTTGGCTAGTTGCTAAACATCCTCAACAGATCTGTCTATATTGTTCTTATAATAGTCAATGTATAACTTATGTTTTCAGTTCAAGTTTATATGTACATTATTGCGTTTTAGACTTTCTTCCTTTTGTCTGTGAATTCTGCAGTGGGGTTTTCTGGTATGTAATTACAGATGTTCTCATGTTGACATAAATTAGTAGTTTATTGATGATTTGATGTTTTCCAGTCTTGAGCACAGACACAGGGATTCCCATACTTGCAAAGAAGTAAGTACATGGGTATAGCACCATAGTACATTCAATTTACAGTTTTGTAAATAGAGTCTCTTATAGGAACCTTTGAAAAGAGAAATTGCAGCTTCCAAAGGCAGTACAAGTTATCCATGCTCATTTCCAGAATGTAGCGAAAAAGAGTTGTTGCCGGTTATATGCCCACAGTGCCAAAAACATTTCTGTTTGAAGTAAGTCTTCACAACAATGACGAGTGTTTTCCTAAATCAAAATCTAAAATGTTTTAAGATTTATGATTGAATGCTTTTCAGGCATCGGCATCAAAGTGATCATCAGTGTGAAAAGTTGGAGGTTGCTCAACCACGAATGGCAGCCACGAAAGAGCTGGTACAAAAAATTGTTGGTCAGTTCATTATTAATTTTTTGAGTTCTTACTTGTAGAGTTGTAATTTACTGTGATGATGATGACAATTATTGATTATTGATTTGATTATTGTTTTAATCACAAAAAAACACCAAATCGATTAATGAATTACAGTGGTATGAATAGTTTGGGCACCCCTTTCAATTTTTATGATTTTCCTTTTTAAATCATTGACTGTTTGGATAAGACATTTCAGTTCAATATATCATATAGGAGACAAACACTGTGATATTTGTGCATAGGGACAAGTTACAACAGTAGCTCAGTTGGTAGAGCATTGGGCTTTTTAGCCTGAAGGTTGTGGGTTTGAGCCCAGCCCCTCACTGAGAGTTGTTTTGAGGCTCTCATATATCCACTCTTTTAAAAAGATGCAAAGAGGGGAAACAATTAGAATTGGCAAACGTCCATAATCATGTTTGGATTCACCTGTGTATGGAGGTCACTGAGAAACCAATTTTGAGTTCCAATGATCTTGCTAAAGGTATTGAAATATAAACAAATGTAAAGGATGCCTGAATTTATGCACATGCCTTATTTCACTTCTAACATCACATTGCTTGTCTCCTATATGATATATTTCTCTGAAATGTCTTATCCATTCCAAACAGCCAATGAGTTATAAAGGGAGATCATAAAAAATTGCAGTATGAAAGTCTAAGAGTCAAAAGTCAGACCTTGTCGAATACTAACTTCTCTATAATCTTTGTCAGTACATATCAATTATGGAGAAAACATGCATGATGTTGGGAGGTGAACATTAAAATAATAGTTTGTGAATAACCAATAATACAACATGAAAGTGACCTATTTAGGACTACATTACATTAAGAAAATCTTAAAACGTTCATCTTTTTACCCATATTTTTCATTCTTCAATATTACAGTCCTTTCTCCTTTATGTCATGTTTTCATGTGGATGATCGACAACAACTTAAATCGATTAGTAATGATCTATCTTGTTTTAATTCATTTTTAATGAGTATGATTAATCTATTAACCTGTTAAGGAAAGGCAAGGCAAGTTTATTTATATAGCACAATTCATACACAAGGCAATTCAAAGTGCTGAACAAAACAAGAAAGCATTAAAATCATAAATAATCACAGAACATTAAAAAGAAAGCTAAAAATATAAAATCCCTCAGTTGTAGCACAGTTAAACAGAACTGTTTTTAACCTGGTTTTAAACATTGTCAGAGAGGAGGCCTGTCTCACATCTTCAGGAAGATTGTTCCAGATTTTAGCAGCATGAATCTGAAAAGCAGCCTCCCCATGTTTAGTTCTGACTCTGGGCACTAACAGGAGTCCAGTCCCTGTGCTCCTCAGAGTCCGGGCCGGTTCATATGGGACTAACATGTCACTAATATATTTTGGTGCGAGGCTATGGAGAGACTTGTACACAAGCAGAGCTGTTTTAAAGTCTATTCTCTGAGCCACAGGAAGCCAGTGCAGAGACCTGAGGACCGGACTAATATGGTCGTACTTCCTGGTTCTAGGCAGGACTCGAGCTGCTGCATTTTGAATGTACTGCAGCTGTTTTACATCCTGTTTGGAGAGACCTGTGAGCAGGCCATTGCAGTAGTCTAACCTACTGGAGACAAATGCATGGATAAGAATCTCCTGGTCTGCTTTAGACACTATGTTTTTGATGTTTTTGATGTTTTTGTTACAGCCCTACCTGCACAGTTGTGGTCTATGTCATAGACTCTATGGGGTCTATTGCCATGGTTTTCATTTGTTTAACATGTTTATTTGACAGAGTCAAAGGAAGGACAGAAACCTAAAGGACGTAGAGGAGCAAAGAACAGTGAGACTGCAGCTAAAGTAGCTTTAATGAAATTAAAACAACAGGCTGTTGGAGATAAAGGCCTTCCACAGGTAGGTACTTCATATTAGGTTTACTCTGTTCATGATTCATCAAATTATCATTACGCCATGTTAAAAAACCTTTTCAGACGGAGAGAACCTACTTTCAGGTATACCTTCCAAAAGAATCAAAAGATTCTTGCAAACCCATGTTCTTCTGCTCTAAATGGAGTGTAGGCAAAGTGGTTGACTATGCATCCTCTCTCGCAAGCCTAAAAAACAACAATAATGTTCTGTCAGCAAAGGTAAATATTTGTCATATTCAATATATTGCTGATCTAAAATTTTACAATGTTACCTTGTATTATATTATTTATATGTTTTTGGGTATTCACCTGAATCGACCCTTCAATCTGAACATTTGCTCACAACTTTTACTTTTGATTTGCAGAAACTGCGCCTTTGCCACCCCTCGACTGGAGAAGCTTTCCAGATGGAGGATACTATTCAATCCTTACTGGCTCTTCCAGAAACACCTCTTTACAATGGGGGGAATTTAATTTTAGAATATTTAGAAAATGACCATACCAGTCTGACTGATGTGTCTGAATACATCTCTCTTAAATAGGTCAAGAACTGTTGCTTATATTTTACTCCATTTTAAACATTCTATTAAAACATTCAGTAGTTGTTGTTGGCATAAAGCTCACATAGTATTACAGTGACTTTTGTTCGATGCAAGAACTTTGTTTACTATTAAATCGCCTATTGTGCAATAATGTTTGGCGTTCTGAGGTTTTCATCTTATTTTTCCCTAAACTCTTTGACAAATCTCCAAAAGGGGCGGGATGTTAGAAACGATAACCAATGACATCGCTTCAAACATCTATTGACGGGTGAAATAACCAATCCGCATAGAGCTTCAGGACAAGGGTGGGCGTGTCTGTCTTCTGGCCTATATAAATAAAAAGGGGGTTGGGCTTCATCACGGAGACGAGAGAGACCCTTGTTTTGAGCGGAATTGATAGATTTGGGCTGTCGACGAATTTTTATATTACTTTTCTCAACCAAAAACATTTTCCGTTCAGCTCGAGTAGCTTTTTGCTGCTTTACGATCGAGTCGCTGAGAAATCGCGGCTTGGTCTCACTGTACTAGTTGTTAAAATCAGGTCGTAAGGGATGCCTCTGCAGAAAGACTCCGACGTTCGCTCTTTGGATGTCATTTCTTCACATTTAATTGGACAGAGCAGTTTTTCTATAGTCTTAAAGCGTTTCAGTATGAGCCATTCTCGACCGAGTGCTTTTGTAAGAAGTTTAAGTTCTTGTTAAATGCGTAAAGGGAAGCCCCAGTCCTGAGCAGCTAACAGCTAGCTAATATTAGCAACAAAGAGGATATATTTTGTTTAATCTTATAAACCGTGATCCCAGGAACATTCACTATTACTGTTTATCATTTTTGGCGGCGCATCTTCGACATTGCAGCTGAAACAGGTAAGTGTTGGGCAATTTTATAACCAGGAAGACAATTGTATTTACCTAGTGACCAGAGTGGGGGAGGGGTAGGATTATTGCAAGCGGAAATTTTGTTTTGATCGTGAAGCGCCCCCCAGCGTCACTTTTGTTCAGAATTCAATATTTCTACATAAAATTCAGTGGAATTCACTTGCAGACGAATGCATAAAGACATTGACCCGGGTGGCATCTCATTGCTGCACCAGTGTAATAAGATGCATCCAACTAAACTGCTGATTTGTTTTGAGTTTTTCCTGTTTGCATATGCACTGTGTTCTAGCTTTATGTTCTGATTATTTCTTACTGGGATATATTCAAGCAACACTCTTCTGTATACTTTCTTAAAATACAGATTCATATGAATAATGCAGCATTTCGTATCCACGCAGGTCAAAATGAAGCTTTTGGAAAACTCCAGCTTTGAGGCCCTGAGCTCCCGGCTATGTGTGGAGACAGGAGAGTCTCACATTCTTGGCAGGTGAGTGTCTTGTATTGTATATGTCTGCACTTCAACAGCTGTTTGTGTATGTGTGAGAAAAACTATTTTTATGCAAAGGTGTTAATCTATTCTCCAAGGCATGGAACATGTTGAGACAGGTCAAAAGTCTGTTGTTGTTGCTTGTCTTGAAACTCACACGTCCAAAGTCATTAAAAAGTCATGTGTGGCCATCTTAAACTGGGAAGTGGAACTCTCACAGAAAAACCACTGTGATGTAATGGAAAAAAGGGTGACTTGGGGATAGGCGTGGGTTATACCAGTGCTCTAATAAAGGTTAGTAGAGTATACAGCTATCTGTGTGTTGTGTAACATTGTGATAAGCGCGTCTGTGTAGTTCAATTGTTAACTTATTTTCTCGTTGGGCTGGTTCGTAACTCTTTGATTGCACAAGGACTTTAAATATCCCTGCCGATGCATCAACAACTATGTTACAAAAAGCCACTTCTTGTATTCTGGTATTTCCCGCAGACAGTGGTGCAGAACAACCTCCCTCCCTGTGCCTGCTCATGTCAGCTGTGATATGGGGGTGTGTGTACGTACGTCACCCCGCCCCCTTATGCTATCTTGTTATTCCACTACTTTACTCCTCAGTGGGTTAGCAAGCTGGCATATAATTACTCCTTTTAATCTATTTTAAGCTTATATTTTTGATATGGTGTGCGAATAAAGCTGACACATGAGATAAGCTCTATCTGCTTCGCGAGTGAGAAGAGAGTTATTTGCGCTGTGTTCTCCAGACAGAGGGTTCTATATTTAGATCGGAAAGACCAGTGTGCGGTTCCTCTGCCATTAGTATTAAGTTGTACAACCTTTTGCACTTGCATAACGCTCTGGTGGACTGGAGCAAAATAAACATGCAGACGCAACAGGCATATCAGTAGTGTCTGACCCAGAAATATGAGGCAGCATGTAGGAAATGTGAAGGATGGCCCGGTCATGATGTGCGGTCATAGATATCGGGGACACAAAGTGCTCAGGGGTGTTTGATTTGTGACCAATTCATTAAAGATAACGATAAGTTTGAGTGTCTAAGCTAGCAGTAAGTAGATGTTGTTGTTTATTTAGTCATTAATAAACATGTAAACAAATCTTATTATACAACAGGGACAACAAATGTATGTGTATGTATATGTGTGCTATATGATGCCTAACTTCTACTGTCTAACCCCACAATTGTCCCCAAATATCCAAAGACGATACATTATACATTTACAGTTAGGATCCTTTTTTTATCCCACAATTGGGAAATTTCAGTGTCGTATCCACCAGTTACAGAACAGTAGGGATCGCGCGATACAAGATGAGCAATAACTTTATACTAAATTAAATAAAATCACTAGCTTCAGTATTATAAGAAACGAGTCTAAAAAGTATTGTTCTTGTTGTCGTCAGGATTGAGAGCTATTCCTGCAAAATGGCCGGGGATGATAAGCACATGTTCAAGCAGTTCTGCCAGGAGGGAGAGCCCCATGTCCTTGAGGCCCTATCTCCCCCCCAGTCCACCAGCACCATCAGTCCAAACCAGTAAGTGCCTAGGCGACAAGCTGTGAGCCTTTTAATGTTAGTTTTTTTTTTTTTTACCTCATATAAAGATGCATACATAGATGGATAGACTTGTATAAAGTTTGGAGTATTATAAAGGCATGTATTACAAATGTAGAGTTTTGTGTAAACAGGCACATATGTACGTGATAGGGAAAATTATAGAAAGACACCAGGAACTAGGCTAAGTAAAGAAATGTGTGGTGGGCACATTTTCTTTTTCCCTCTTTTTATTTATTTTTATTTTTTGTTGTTGAGCCAAACCATATAATAATAATAATAATAATAATATATAGAGATTCTCCATTCTGTAAATTTGTTGCGGGGTGTGGGTACAGAATGTTTTATTACGGCTCAATATAAAGCATTCAAATATCAACATTGTCTTTATTGTGTTCTGCAGACTGGCCAAGAGCAGTGAGGATGGGGACAACCCGCTGAGTGACAAGTGTTGCAGGAAGACCATATTCTACCTCATCACCACGCTCAACGAGTCCTTCAGACCGGACTACGACTTCAGTGCGGCGCGGGCCCACGAGTTCAGCAGAGAGCCGAGTCTCAACTGGGTCAGTGCACTCACCGGTGGTTTTCTTCAGAGCCTCAGACAAGAACGCACAGTAACTACAGCGTGTTTTATGCTCAGGTGGTGAACGCAGTAAACGGCAGCTTGTTCTCCGCTGTGGGAGAGGAGTTCAACTCGCTTGGACCGGAGCTCTGGAACTCCATAGATCAAGAGATCAACCTGCAGAGCTGTGACATTTACAGGTGTGCGCAGGTTTTTCCCAAGACTGAACTGAGTGCCATGGATTGTAGTTGATTCTTTCATTTTCATTTATTGTTTAGTCATTCAGTTTAAAGCAAAACGAAAGCAAAACCATAAATAAGTCTTCCTGCCCTTATAGTGGTAGTAAGTTTCTTTATGCGGTCATACAAAAACAATTTAGCTTATGTCAGTTAATGTCTATAATAATCTGGATTTGACATCTACTTTATCAAATCAAATTCATTGCTTTAACTGGTGCCTTTTTTATTTATTTTTTAGCTCATCACAGCAATGGTTCCTTAATTTTACTGGATTTACAATGTTCTCTTGAAGTAGTGCTTACATGTGGTCTATTACAAACACAAACTCTCCTTAAAATTCTATTGACGTTGCCTCTCGGTGAACACGGCCTGTAAAGACTGAGGGTTTTTCTTCTACTTGACTCCATACAGAATCAGAATACATGAACTTAGCCATAGAACTTCAGCATATGTTGTAAATGTTTTATTTTTATTTTTATACAGCTACAACCCTGATTTGGACTCTGACCCTTTTGGTGAAGAGGGAAGTCTCTGGTCCTTCAACTACTTTTTCTACAACAAAAAACTGAAGAGGATTGTGTTCTTCACCTGCCGCTCTGTGAGGTGAGGAACGATACTGTGGCAATAGCTGGATAAGTTTTGTATGATTTTGAACATGAAATGATTGTAAATATGAACGTTGTGTGTCTTCAGTGTTCTGAGCGGCTATGGCCTTGGATCTATGGACAATGAGCTGGACATGGAGCTTGATGAGGAGGAGATGGGCGGCTTCACTGAGGACAGGCCAGTGTCTACTTTTCACTTTGCATAAAATTGGTTTTAAAGCTTGTAGTTAACGTCCATGTGTTTCTACCCCAGGTTCCCCAGACCCCTGTGCGTGTAGGTGACATCTCGACTACGTCTTGCCTCTTCCTCGTTGTTGTAGGATTTTCCGCATCACTCAAATCTGTCTCACACCTAAGACTATATGCATGCCTGAAGCGTTCTCCTTTGTTGGCTCCGTTCGTGTAGCGTTGGTGGCAGATTTCAGTGAACCCTAAGCTCCTTCCAGTTTTCTTTTCCCATTCTCAGCGATGGCTCAAATGGCCATCTGTTTGACTGTTTTCACAAAGGAAGAGTATATTAAGAGGACAACAATACAGAGAAGTGTTTGTTCTACACCAGCATTGAGAGATGGACTTGTTTTCTATGATTGCTGTCTGACTTTTACAGTGTTTTAGCATTCAATGCTATGTTGGCGTTTAAGTGTGACATTTGTTACTGTGAGTTTTTGTTTATTACATCTTAATGTTATGGATGCTTACCTATATTTGTTTGCTTGGTAGCTTCTTCATCACAACCTGCATTCCTGCTATTCTGGTGTTACTATGTTTTAGCCCAGTTTGTTTTTAGGAGCATTTTAATCTTGGCCATTTGATTAGATGCTGAGGGCAGTGGTAGTAACTTACTGAACGTGTAAGATTGCTTTTAAAATGGTTTGAATTGTTCCAGTTAACAGGAATGTGAGCTTTTGACTGTTCAAATATATATTAATGTGATTAAACTGTTTCAGTCAATGTTATTTGAATAATTCACAACACATGAAGTTTTACTATTTATTATGAAGTTATATACATGAACCACTTGTATGCACTTGTTCCATCATAAAAATACGTTAATGCATGTATGCAATTATGGGCCAATCTTTATAATAATGTCAGATTTGCATAAAGGATGTAAGGTACAAAGTGGCCTGTGCGTATAGACCTATTAACCAAACATGGAAAGTACCAGCTTCATTAAGGCTGAGGTTTGTCTGAAAATTTGACAGGACCAAACCATAGTCAAAATCCATAATTCTTTACACGTTATGTTGCGCATTGCAGCAAGCAGTTAAAATTCAGACATTTGGAATTCATGTCTGAATGTCCGTCAAGTCATGTTTTTGGACAGAGCCACAGAGCAACATTTCGGAATACTAAAATCTGCATCCACATCACCTGCCATACAATAAAAATTAACACATTTAACTAAAACATTACACAGGCATTGTAATAACGCGGTTGCAGCCAGGTCATGCTTTGTTTAGTAGATTCCATTTGCTTTGGGGGAGATCATAAAATGTAACACAAACCACATGGTTCAATCATTTACAGGCTCGATGTTGAGCGCCTTTTCATTGCATTGTCTCGCCCACATTATCCTCGAACATTATTCTATCACAGTATAGCTTACGAACTTTTGTAACCACACGTATGAGAACTTTAAATGAATATGCATAATGTAACAGGAGTAGTGTCAAAATAAGCTTAAAAAAATACTGTTGCCTGAAAATCCATATCCCTTTCAACGTTTTTCCTGAATGAAAACAAACCCAGAGAACAGCAAAAAATATAAAAAGTCAAAGAATAAATGCATACAAAAAGGTAGAAGATGATATGTTTGAGGAGTTAATGGACCGTGTTCATTGCAGCTGGAAATCAAGATTCTGTAAAAACTGTTCCAAACCCCAGCTAATGACACTGATATTGGCAAGACATTGCTGAGGCAGTCTCACTGTGACATGATATTCAATGCTCTTGATTCAGTTCCAAGAGATCAAGGTCCATCAATGTCCATTATAAAACCAACAATGTAAAAACATCCATCTAGACGCTTGTGATGTCATCTTGCGAGCGGTGCAGGTAGGCAGGTATCGGCAAAGAGAAATGCTATCTCAGTCCAGCCCGCGAGGTCATCCACTCCAGGCCTTGGCACAAACTGAACAAAGCCAAAATCATGTTAGTCAGCCACTCAGTACACATATGTACCGCTACAGAATGTTAGGTGACAAATCTAATCGATGCCAATTACTGTGACACATGTCTAATTATAGAGTAAATGTTTGCATTTTAAAACAACCATGCGTGTTATTAACAAGGGAAAGCTGCATTAGCATTTTTACAACATGGATAGTGAAATTGTCTTACCCCTCTCCAGTAAGTGCACAACATGACTGTATATGCCAGGGGTGGTCTTTGATGGAGCTCAGAGTGAGGTATTTAGAAATCTCTGCTGCAGACATGCAGTTCTTCATGTCCTGTTTGTTTGCAAAGATCAACACAGCTGCTTTCCGGAGGTCCTTTGGGAAGTAGTAAAAAATGTCAGATGAACAATGTTAAATGTCTGTGCTACAAGTTAGTCTCAAAAGGAATATCAATGTTCATTACAAAAACATGTTCTGTATTGTATAGTCTACTTCCTCTGGTCCATTGAAGCAGGCATTTACCTCATGAGCCAGCATCCTGTAGAGCTCCTCTTTAGAAATGACCAGTCTCTCTCGGTCTGTGCTGTCCACCACCAAAATAATAAACTGTAGATGAGAAAATAATAAGTTGTTGAGGGTCAAGCAGACAAAAATGAGCCCTGTGGGTGGGCATATCCGGACACAAGACTGTTGCCAACGGCTATGTTAATAGAATCGTATGTATGTGCCCTTCCATGACAAAAGACCAAAGGCACAGTCTAAAGAGACACAGGGGACGGCAATTAAAAGTTAGCAAAGACCCAGTAAGAGCAGCCGCTCTACACATGAATGGCCTAAGTGCATTTTAGTGACCTACAAGCTTGTGGCTCTGTAATAGGTTTGTTAGTATTAGATAGCAATATGGCCTACGTGCAGGACTGTACAAGGACTCTACAAGGACTCCATGTTATGACTATGATTTGACTGTCTCTTTGTGACACGTATGTCTTTCGATGTGTGACGTGACAATGACTATATAAACTGTGTACTGCCTTTATTCTGTCTGGGAGAAAGAAACAGAGGAAAACAGTGGAACTTGAGAGAAACTTAAATAAACTTCCAGAGTTTGGCACACCACGATCCGTCTCTGTCTGCCTAAATCCTAACAGATTTGGTGGAGAATGCGCGGCTCCGTGTGTGCCATTCTCTGGATTGTTTTGAGGGAGTTTTCTCTGTTTCTTTTTTTCGGCGTGTGGGAGCGACAGCACGTTATCTGGAAGGGGAGAAATCCCAGCGGACGCTGAAAGGGCTCGCTTTTGGATGGGCTTGCTCTTGCTCCCTCACTTTCTCTGTTTTGTTTTTTAAATTGAATATTCCGACGCGGAAAAGAGGTTGGCAGACCTCTCGGACAGTCCTTGGAACCGGTTTGACAAGAATAAGGTAAGCAGACACCTTTTTTAATATGTAAAGTCTGCATAATTGGATATTAGCTAAATTTTGGTCTGTTTTTTGGGGTCTGTCAAACTCTCTAAATTGTATTTTGAAGAAGTCTCGGGGTTAAAGTCCCTTTGAGCCTCGGGGTTAAAGTCCCTTTGAGAAAGTCTCGGGGTTAAAGTCCCTTTGAGCCTCGGGGTTAAAGTCCCTTTGAGAAAGTCTCGGGGTTAAAGTCCCTTTGAGCCTCGGGGTTAAAGTCCCTTTGAGAAAGTCTCGGGGTTAAAGTCCCTTTGAGCCTCGGGGTTAAAGTCCCTTTGAGAAAGTCTCGGGGGTTAAAGTCCCTTTGAGCCTCGGGGTTAAAGTCCCTTTGAGCCTCGGGGTTAAAGTCCCTTTGAGAAAGTCTCGGGGTTAAAGTCCCTTTGAGAAAGTCTCGGGGTTAAAGTCCCTTTGAGAAAGTCTCGGGGTTAAAGTCCCTTTGAGAAAAGCCTCGGGGTTAAAGTCCCTTTGAGAAGAAGCTTCAGGGTTAAAGTCCCTTTGAGAGAAACCATGGTGTAGAATTAAAAGTAATTATAAAAAGGGAAACGTTAAACACTAAAGAGTGCCTTTTGTTACTAGTGTGGAAAGTGATCACTTCTAGATTTGGATGACAAAAGTATAAAGAACAACATCAGTTATATTCGCTTAACAAAGTAATCTTGAAAGTTATTCTTCTGTATCTTTTTGCCTGTGTGTGTGCGTCGCTCTATCTGCTGCCGTTGTCAGGGAAACGGCCCCCTCCTTCGCTGCTCTGGCTGTGAATCTGAAGCAAAGCTACTGCTTTAGGACTTTTGGCTTTTCATAGTTGTTATTCCGTTAAATTTGCGAAATTTGCCATTTGAACATTGTGTTAGACACAGTTAAACGTTTTTAAACACCATTAGTGAATAAGTTTTGAATATTATATGTTTTTGAAACCCAGAGATTAGTACAAAAAGCTGTGCTTTTCCTTTTAAATCTGCTGCTTATTTCTTAACTTTTTGTGAGTTGTGTTTGTTTTTATGTTTTTATTTTAGTTACAAAAGCCGTTTTTCAAACATTTAAATTAGAATCTGTTAAAAGTGATTATTGATTATAGACTTATCTAAAAAGAAAGAGGGAATTAGGCTGTAAAAGTATTATTAAGTTAAACTACCCAATTCACATGCAAGTGGTGACTTTTGTTTTTGTTTTGACTACACGCCTGACCTTGTTGCTCCTGCTGATGCCACAGCAGAGGAGACTGGTCTAAAATGTGCTCCAATTCATACTGACTTCATTTGAAAAATGCTGCAATTATTTTAAATTAGTAGAATAGATGCTGAGATAAATAAGTGTAAAAGGGAAAGTCCATAAAGTGAAACCCAAGATGTTCAAGATTAAAAACATCACACAGTACAAAAGTACATAATACATATTTTAAAGTTTGAAGGTTTAAGAGATTTGAGTCTTGTTTTTTTATATTGAGAGTTTCTGGTTTTAAAATGTCATCATTAGTAAGATAATAAGTAATCTCAAAATTGTTTTGACTTCAGAGAGAAAAACAATCTCATTCGCATACTGATATCTATTGTTTTTTTAAATTGGCCGTTTCAAGGATTGTTTTTCAGACTCTGCCTCACTGTACGAGAGGTCACTGCTGGACACTGGACAGCGCAAAGCCCACCCAGCCACAGGTCACAGATCAAAGAGCAAAGGGAAATGCCACCTCCTTGCCCCTCCCCACGCCACTCCAGATCTGAATGGGTGTGAGAGAGACCGGGGTAGAGAGAGGTTTCTGGAGACGTGATGGGTGGAGCGTCAGGGAGAGACCTGAATGAGAGTTGAGAGTGTGTCCAGTTGGTTTGCATCACCACAGTGTGACCTTTGACACCTACAGATGGTTCGAGGAGTCTTGAGACACAACCCCAAAATTCACATACACACATACACACACATTCACATTTACATATAGATACATGAAAAAGCAGAACATGAGAAAAAAGCAGGCGACAGTAGCTCAGTTGGTAGAGCATTGGCCTTAAGCCCAGAAGGTCGTGGGTTCAATTCCCACCTCTGCACCTTCTCCACCGACTCCCACTGATGACTGCTGTCGTTGTGTCCTTGGGCAAGACACTTAACCCCACTTTGCCCAAAAGCCCCAACTGAAAGATCAAGGCTATGCTCACACTCAGAGAGCAGCCGTCCTCCTGTGGACTCACCACCTGCAGAGGGTCAGTGAGGGGCTGGTGCTATGAGACTTGGGTGGCATCTCTGACTGTCACCCCCCTGACCCAGAAATGGATTAAAGGGTAGAAAATGGATGGATGGATGGATGGAGAAAAAAGCATTTTAAAAGTTTACTCCAATGTAAACACATTTTTAATTGTCTATCACTTGAGTCTTTAGTTGAATCAGTATTTTTTGAGACCAGAAATGTTCATTTGAATTCTATATTGTCATGGACATAATTGACGTCTGTCCTGACACTTTTGATTTGTTGATTTTGTACTGTGTGAAGTAATTACATTGATGAGAATTAGATCTGATAAAAACAAAATTAGAGAAGTAAACTGCGCTTGCTTTTGTCTGAGGGACATTAGCAACAGCATGAATAGAAATTGTGTTACAGTAGAATCAAAATGACTTAACCATAGAGAGTAACTATTGCATAACAAGCTGTGTACAGGAACTGAGACACTGCACCATTGACCAGAAGTGCATCGCAAATGACCTGATGTGCTTCAAGTGAAAAGACTGTATCTGGAGATCTGATGTGCATCTGGACCAGAACCATGGCTTGGACCCTACTGATGTCCAAGATAACATCTCTCTCTATGACCTGACCTGATGACGACTGAGACTCACCCTCAGAGGACCTGAGGACCTGAGAGAGAAAAACCGGGGAGTGATGTTTATATTATTGAAATCATACATTGATGAGTGCTAAATGAGACAGATACTCATGATTCTTTCTTTTGTTTTTGTTTGTCCCTAGCTTCTGGACATCTGATGATCTATTGGACACAGCCATTTGCAGAACAAGAACCAGCCAATGAAAACGTCTATTGCTGATGCTATTGCTACAACCAGAACCACAACTGTGACCAAATGCAATATACATGTTAAGTATTCAGACATCTGACAGACAAAAACTTTGAAAATGATAAAGTATAAGTATTGTAGCGTTTTAGTAGATGTTAAATAGTAGTAAAAGAGTAGAATTTGACTTCCTTTGTTTTTCATAAACACATTTCCACATAAGAGTTAAAATAGTACCCTACAATGTTATCCTTTTGATAGATCAGCTATAATATTAGAATCAGAATAATGTTACAGCCATTGAAAGTGACAGAAGTCACAAATTAGGAATATGCCTTTGCTCAAACTGCAGCCAAACTTTGGAGTCACAATAGTGTAAAAATAGAGATAAATAGATGCATCAACCATAGATGCTTTCAAAAATAGAGAATATTCTTAGCCAGTGCTAATATCAAATGGTAAAGGGACCATTTCACAAGCATTTACTTCAAAAGTAGATAAAGTTACTTACAGTTTATGTACAGTTTTATTAGATACTTGCCAAATTCACTTGTGTTCACACATGAGTGAATGTTGACAATGCAAAAAGTTCATATGAGTGTAGCCTAGATTAATGCCTAGATCAATGAGATAGATTACAACCAACAGAGATTCAAAAGCATTTAAAAGCATTTTGATGTATTTGGGTGTAGCACAAAAACACAATAGTAGATATTTAGATATTGAGAAGTTTCCAGCACAAACACCATTGTAGAATAACTGACCCCAACCCCAAACCTGCTAAAGTAGATTAGCTCTTGTAAGGATAGTTCTAATTTGATTAAAGATGTACATTCATCCCAAATGCCTGACAATAATATCTTTAGATAATAAAAAGTAATAAATCACTGACCACTATAGAAGTGTAAATGTTGACCATTTGCCTTACTGTGTTCACAGTTTTATTCCTGAGAATGAGAATAGGTGGAGCAAAATCCCACAAGCACAAAGCCACTGATAATGAGAGTATAATACCACAGAGAGATTTATTAGATTAAAATGTATGTTTAAGAATATGGCTCAATAGAAGCAAATATGCAAACATATTTGTAAATAGGTTAGAATAGTTTAAACTATAGTGAATAGAGAGTAAAGTACACAGTCTAAGATTAAAAAGTGAAAATAATACAGTGAAATAAGTGAAGTGTAGTGTAAACAATTAGCATTAGAATAAAAGTATAGAGTAAGAAAAGTTAAATTAGCTTCTAATTTGAGACTCAGCTCGTTTTTGTCTGTGTTTTGACTGAATCTGCTGAGTTCTTGTGTGTCCAATAGTTTTTGTTTGTTTTTATTTTTGATTTGTTTTTTGTTTGTTTATTTACTTTATTTTTGTTTTTTGTTTTTTCCCAGGATAGAGGATAAAATCCACTGATATTGATTTGATGATTATGAGTTTAATGCATACATTTTCTTTGTTTTTAATAATTTTTTGAAGTTTTTTTTTGGAATTTTTTTTTTTTCTTTTTCCATTTTATTGATTGATCGATTTGAGTGATCACATGTGATTATGTGATCAAAGGGGAGGGTGTTAGTATTAGATAGCAATATGGCCTACGTGCAGGACTCTACAAGGACTCCATGTTATGACTATGATTTGACTGTCTCTTTGTGACACGTATGTCTTTCGATGTGTGACGTGACAATGACTATATAAACTGTGTACTGCCTTTATTCTGTCTGGGAGAAAGAAACAGAGGAAAACAGTGGAACTTGAGAGAAACTTAAATAAACTTCCAGAGTTTGGCACACCACGATCCGTCTCTGTCTGCCTAAATCCTAACAGGTTCACACAAATAGTCTACATAGACATACACATTCATTATTACTGGATACAACTGTACTTTGAAACATAAATAAAAATACTTTACCAAAACCTTTCTTGCGTTAATTACTAAAAGTAATAGAAAGAATCTTAGGCGCCAAAGTAGCAGAGTGGTTTCACAAGATGCAGGACACTTTCTATACTGAGATCATAGTTCCCGAATTTTCCCCCTTTTATTTATGTTATTGATTTCAGCTCCCTCAGGATGGAACTAAGTACTGCTGCTACCACAATCTGTTCATTTTCATTTGAAAGCAGAGGAGTTGAACTTAGGCTTTAATGCGAGCCTTTGTGTAAGACTGACCTCTGACATGGGTGGCCCCTGCTTCGTCTATGCTCTAAACACACACACACCAGCTGCCATGCTCATGGACAGGCAGCTGGACAATGCCAGGGTAGCAACACTTTCCTTGTGCCCAGTAATGATCACTGTATAGTACCTCACCTCTGTATTGGAGTAATAGGTGTTCCAGGATGAGCGGAGAGACTCCTGCCCTCCAATATCCCACATCAAAAAGTGAGTGTTTTTCACCACTATTTCCTCCACATTGCTTCCGATGGTGGGAGATGTGTGGACAACTTCATTCATTAGGCTAAAAGCAAACAAAAACATACAAATACAAAACATATATATTAAAAAGTATTTACATATATATTATCATGTTGGTAACAGAGTCCAAAAAGTATAAATAAAACCAGGGACAGAAAAGGTTTTTTTTGCCTGCGAGTGAACATGAGCATTGAGTGGATGTAAATAAAAAAATAAAATAAAACTTACAACTGGTAAAGGATGGTTGTTTTCCCTGCATTGTCAAGTCCTACAATGATGACTTTGTGCTCTGCAAAAAACAAATTCAAGTTATAAATGTGGTATTTCAAAATAACTTCTTTATTACAACAACCAGACAAAGAAAGTGAGTGAATCACACAGTTGGTTCTCAGCATTGGAGCTGGTGTTGACGGCTGATAAACTTTATGTGTGAGCTAACATGTCCATGTCAAAATGTACCTCACAGCAGCTGGACTTTTCCACCCCCCTGGAAGCTACTTTTGGACACAGGGAAGGAAATCTAGTCAAAGTGCTCACAATTAAGACCACCAGGTCACACTGAACTGGGGCAAAGAGGAAGCACGAAGCACAAAAACAATTGCTTTGATTACAACCACGTCATACAGTTATCCCAGGGAAGCTGTGGATGTGTAACTAACACTGAGCAAGTACGACGACATGATTAACAGGCCTTCAAAACATGTAATCTCTTAAGTGAGAGAAACACTGAAAACCATGTCATTCTGAAATCATGAATGAATGTGGGAATCCTTTGTCACCCTCCAGCGTTTCCACACAGGCCACCAGAGAGGTTTAACATTTATGTTAGAAAAAAAGATCCACATTGAACGATAGTTTTGTATGTGCATCAACACCATGTATCGTTTATTGCCACACACAGAAACAGGTATTTCAAATAGAAAAAGCATATACGGCATAGTAAATACTTAAATGGGATTAAGTGATTTAGGACAATTACGATGTCAACGACGTCAATGACTTTATCATCAACCTGGGACAGTTATAAATGACCTTCTTTTAAATAATGAGGAGAAGCCACAAAAGAGCAGGGGCTGCCACAGATCTGATACATGGGGCTTGTTGTTCTCTCTCCGGGGGCTACGGTATCACGGATTACGAAATCACATTGATTGTAATCCGCTCTGGCAGATACACTCACCTTGATTACAGAAGAAGCTCCACAATTTGGCAAATATGAGCCCCATTCTCTGTGCCCAGTCCGGTCCTGTGCTCCTCTGTGCGGGCTTGCCCTCAGTCCTCCCAGCTCTTCCCAAAGCTACACTGTTAGCAGCATTAGCTGGATCAGCTTTTGCCAACGAAACACCTCCAACCCGCTCAGAGCCGACTCCATGCGGCACAAGTGCATTCACGGTGAGGTAGATTTACGGTAACATTTGGCTCAAACACCTTGTTGCTGTTCCCGTGAGAGACTGAGTTGTTGAACACAAAGGGGAACGTAAACGCCGCCTCTGGCTCCTGCTCCTGCAGCTGCAGCCCGTTATTCTGCTGCTGCGGGGAAAAAACATAAAAGGCTCAGCTAATTATCTTCCGGTTACGTGATGACGTAGACTGTTTCAGGGCGGTACAAAACATACATATCCATAACGCGATAATATTGTACTCACGAATAATAGTTATTTATGAGTGTATTCAGTTTCACTCCCCTCAAAAGTAAGTGGTAACTTTAGGTGTAGAATGACACAAGAACGTGCGTGTAAATTTGAGCAACTTTAATCACGTGACCAGTGACGTACGAGGAAAAGTGTCCTACAAAAACAACACCCCAGAAGCACCAAACGTGGGTCTGTCAGAATTCGTTTATAGGGAGTGATATATAGCTTGTTTTCTATAAAGTCTGTGCAGATTAACTCCCTCGACACGACTCACTTAAGATCGTCGTCTACTTATTACTGGTTTTTTCAAGATCATTCTCATAAAATGCCAATTTTTCCAAGAATTTCTCTGAAACCTGAAGTCACTGCTTATCTCAGGAGCGTGTTCCTAAATAAAGAGGTACACTGCCGCTCAATGTTAAAGAGTGTGTTGTTAATACTGATTATAAATCCTTTCAGTTGTTGACTGTTGTTGGGCACCAAGCAGCAGAAGAGCGTTTTGAGAGGCTGCTCTCATGTCTATCACACCCTCCTTCACACACATGTGTCCGAGCTAGTACTCACCTGGCCCCCCTGGAGGAGATCAGACAAAGACTAGAACAAGAACTGAATAAGGTGATATCAACAAACGTGTTAAGCGCAAACGTGGGTAATCTGACTCTTTGGTCTTTCTAAAAACAGCACCTGTGTGGCTCATCAGCTGTGCCCCCCGTGGAGATGGTTCCACACCCATGCATTCCAGATGTGCTGCTGCTTCCTGTGGATGGACCCAGGTATGCGAGGAATGCCAGATCAGCTTTCAATCCAATAATGACATTTTATTTCTTGTGTTTGTGTTTGTAGATGTGTCCAGCCGCTGGAGTTGGAGGTGGTCGTAGGTGCACAGTGTGGGAGTGCTGTTCTGAGAGGGGCTCATGTTTTTGCCCCTGGCGTAGTTTCCAGCCCAAAATGTATTTTCAGTTTTTTCAAGTTAATGTTATCAAAACATTTTCTAACTGCTGTCTGCCTATTTCAGTCATGAAAGCTGGAGATGTAGTTTCTATATTTTCTGATATTGATGGAAAATGCACGCGAGGAGCCACAAGCTTCCAAGGAAATAAAGTGTTTGTGGGAAATGGTGTTGCACAAATGGATCGCTCAACAATATTTTGCACCAATGAACCAAAGAAGTGAGTTTATTTTCCTTGTTAATACTTTGTATTGTCACACTTGACATCTCCAGTTAGGAGTAATGGGCCAGTAGAAAGTCTACTCTACTACAGTATATGTATGGTGTATGTTAACTTCCCATTTGCATTTACTGTAAACACTTTTTGTGTATGATAATTTTGTTTACTCACCCAGAGGTGTGGCAGTTTGTATGACAGAGCCACTTTATCAAAGTCCTTCTTTTGATGGAGTTCTCCCCAGCCTTGCATTCTTACAGGTGAAATATGAACTGCTTCCATGTTACTACTTGGTAAATGGTGCAATAGAACTCGATAGTATGCTCTTGTTGATGACAGAATCTCCCCTCTGTGGTGGTGGGACATGTCCTTGGGCCTCGTCCGGGTGAGCGTGTTCTGGATATGTGTGCAGCCCCAGGGGGAAAGACCTGCCACATCGCTTCTCTCATGAAAGACCAGGTGCCATCTGTTGTTTATACTGTGCTTATGTGTGCTTTTTTATTTCAGTCCAGCCTTATGTCTACTAAAACTAGCCTAGTACTAATATACGACTCATTATCCTGCACTAATAACAGTGTGTTACACACAGGGGGAGGTTGTGGCACTTGACAAAATCCGAAACAAAATTGATCGTATTCGTCAAAATGCACAAATGCTGCATCTGGATTCAATCACAGCAATTTGCTTTGACAGTGTAAAAGCAGTGACCAGTGACACTGACAGACTAAAGGCTCCTGAAGGTATTTTGGGAATGCTTTTGAATTATGCATGTTTTGTTAATGAAGAAGTAGATTATTTAGATAAAATCTATTCATTATAAGTAACATGATTTTGTTCCTACCATGACAGGTCCTCCCTTTCCTCCTGAGTACTTTGATCGTGTTTTACTGGATGCTCCTTGTAGTGGACTTGGACAGAGACCTTCCATGGCCAGTTCATGGAGCCTGAAGGAGATCTGCTCCTATCAGCCTCTTCAACGCAAACTACTTCACGCTGTAGGTTAAACCCAGATATTTACTGTTCTTAAAGGAGGTTTCCAGTCACCTGCCAGTACATCTTTTCACATTATCACACCATGACAGGATTTGTCACTAGAGGGCAGTAAAAACACGCCATTGCGGACACCTCTTGGTTTTACTTCTTCAGTCATAACATGTTAAAGTTACAGATATTTGTGAAACTTATCTCTAACATTAGTCCACAATATAATAATAGTTGTGTATGAGAATCATTCATTTTCTTCTGCTTCATTCTTTGCTGGGTTGCGACAATATTTAAACATTTTGATATTATTTTGTATTATCGTTTCTATTGTCTATATCATTAATAATTTATTTGTTGGGTGAAAATAACTCTACATGGAGCAATAATTCCAGTAGAGGTATTTCCTCCCCAGATAACATATTGCACTCAATCTACCAGGTACCTGTCTACCTGGTTAACCTTAATGCAACATTTTAGGAGAAAAATTGCCTGACTGAACACATAAAAGCTCATGACATCCTTTCACCACTGTGTACAAATACAGGCAGTGAGTTTATTGAAGAAAGGGGGCGTCCTGGTGTACAGCACTTGCACTGTGACCCTAGCTGAGAATGAGGAGCAAGTTGCCTGGGCGCTCAAAACCTTCCCATGTCTGTCTCTTGTGCCTCAGGTAAAAACACAGATAGACGTTAATGAAGTGTAAGTATTTGATTGTGACGGCTGCTGCGCTTGTTTCCAGGAGCCTCATATCGGTGCAGGAGGCATGCCTGGAGCCGGTCTGTCACATGATCAACTGTGCCTTCTCCAGAGGTTCAGCCCTGAGCTCAGCTGGGGACAAACTCCACCCGATTCTCTGTTTCCCCATAGCGCAAACACAAACACTATAGGTTTTTTTATTGCCAAATTCCTGAAAAACTAAACCAGGGAAGTGACGGTGTGAACTGAACAAGTGGGACCTCGCACACGACTGTTGGCACTATGGTGTTTATATTAAAGCAGCTTTGATGGCAGTGTTGACAAAGATGCTCACAGTGGAGTTCACAGCATCTGTTTCTGGCAGCTGCTCTGTGAGACCGCGGGCCATATAGGGATAAGCTTTTATAAACAGTCTGAGCAGCAGAAAGGGGCGCTGACAGGACGGGAGGGGCCGGCACGTGGGGAAGCAGCGCACTACACACTCGCAGCGAATGCAGCAAGGCTAGCGTCGCCATAACAACAGTGACGACACAGCTGCCATGACGACCGAAGATTCAGTGGATGTGCATGAGCCGGAAGTAGCGCACGAGAACTATCATTTCTATGTATTTCAGGGGTGGGACAAGTGAGACATTGGTAAAAGTCATTAAATATGTCTTTGAATCTAGAATTGAATAAACTGTTTTTATTTGTTTCATAAATACATGTTGTTTTTCTAGACAAAAAGTATTTTTAAAGTAACGTTGTGGCCCAATCAGACGACCTAAAGCTGTCTTTATCTTATGAAAGAACCAAAGTGGTTTGAGAGTTATTTAATAGTTAATAGTTATTAAAAAGTTAGTACTCCAGCTTTAACTGTATGTATATATGTATATGTGTATATATATAAAAAAAAAATTGTCCACTCACCTTTGGCCCTCCGCGGGCGGTTATCCCTCTCTAAGCTCGGGTCCTCTACCAGAGGCCAGGGAGCTTGAGGGTTCTGCGCAGTATCTTTGCTGTTCCTAGCACTGCACATTTCTGGACCGAGATGTCCGAGGTTGTTCCGGGGATCCGCTGTAACCACTCATCTAGCTTCGGGGTCACTGCCCCGAGTGCACCGATCACCACGGGCACTACTGTCACCTTTACCCTCCAGGCCCTCTCCAGCTCCTCTCTGAGACCTTGGTATTTCTCAAGCTTTTCATGTTCTTTTTTCCGGATGTTACCATCGCTTGGAATTGCCACGTCCACCACCACGGCTGTCCTCTGCCCTTTGTCTACCACCACGATGTCAGGTTGGTTTGCCATTACCATTCGGTCGGTCTGTATCTGGAAGTCCCACAGGATCTTCGCACGCTCATTTTCCACCACCTTTGGAGGAGTTTCCCACTTAGACCTTGGGGTTTCCAGCCCATACTCTCCACAGATGTTTCTGTACACTATGCCAGCCACTTGGTTATGGCGTTCCATGTAGGCCTTCCCTGCCAGCATCTTGCACCCTGCAGTTATGTGTTGGATCGTCTCAGGTGCCTCTTTGCACAACCGACACCTTGGGTCTTGTCTGGTGTGGTATATCTGGGCCTCTATCGCTCTGGTGCTCAGTGCCTGTTCCTGTGCAGCCATGATGAGTGCCTCTGTGCTGTCCTGTAGGCCAGCCCTTTCTAGCCATTGGTAGGACTTCTTGAGATCAGCCACGTCTGTTATGCTCCGGTGGTACATGCCGTGTAGGGGCTTGTTCTCCCATGATGGGCTCTCCTCCAGCACCTCCTCATCTCGCCACTGCCTGAGACATTCACTGAGTACGTCATCCGTTTTGGCCTTCTCCATGATGTAGTTATGGAGTTTGGATGTTTCGTCCTGGACAGTGGCTCTCACACTCACTAGTCCTCGGCCTCCTTCTTTACGGCTTACGTACAGTCTCAGGGTGCTGGATTTGGGATGGAACCCGCCATGCATGGTAAGGAGCTTTCGAGTTTTAACATCCGTGGTCTGAATCTCTTCCTTTGGCCACCTGATTATTCCTGCAGGGTATCTGATCACTGGCAGGGCGTAGCTGTTAATTGCCCGGGCCTTGTTCTTGCCATTGAGCCGGCTTCTTAGGACCTGCCTTACTCGCTGGAGGTATTTGGCAGTTGCCGCTTTCCTCGTCACCTGTTCGAGGTTGCCATTTGCCTGTGGTATACCGAGATACTTGTAACTGTCCTCAACGTCTGCTATTGTTCCCTCTGGGAGTGAGATCCCTTCTGTGTGGACTACCTTGCCTCTCCGAGTCACCATCCTGCTACATTTCTCGAGCCCGAATGACATCCCGATGTCATGGCTGTAGATCCTGGTTGTTTGGATCAGAGAGTCGATGTCTTTCTCGCTCTTGGCGTACAGCTTGATGTCATCCATGTAGAGGAGGTGACTGATCTTTGCTCCGTTCCTGAGGCGGTATCCATAGCCAGTCTGGTCAATTACTTGGCTTAGAGGGTTGAGGCCTATGCAGAACAGTAGTGGGGACAGAGCATCTCCTTGGTAGATACCACATTTGATGGTCACTTGTGCGAGCGGCTTGCCATTTGCCTCAAGGGTGGTCTTCCACATTCCCATCGAGTTTGCAACGAAGTCCCTTAGAGCCCTGTTGATATTGTACAACTTCAAGCATTCCATGATCCATGTGTGTGGCATTGAGTCGTAGGCTTTCTGGTAATCAATCCAGGCTGTGCACAGGTTGGTGTGTCGTGACCGGCAGTCTTGGGCGACTGTTCTGTCAACCAGGAGCTGGTGTTTGGCTCCTCTGGTGTCCCTACCAATGCCCTTCTGTGCTGTGCTCATGAATTGTTCCATATGCCCACTTATCTTAGCCGCAATGATGCCTGACATGAGCTTCCATGTTGTGGAGAGACAGGTTATTGGCCGGTAGTTGGAGGGGACTGCACCCTTGACAGGGTCCTTCATGATCAGGACCGTTCGCCCTTCGGTTAGCCATTCTGGGTGAGTCCCATCTCTCAGCAGCTGGTTCATTTGTGCTGCTAGGCGCTCATGGAGTGATGTGAGTGTCCTTAGCCAGTAGGCATGGACCATATCAGGGCCAGGTGCTGTCCAGTTTTTCATACCTGAGACTCTTTCTCGGATGTCTGCCTCTGTGATGGTAACTGAGTTCTGTTCTGGGAGGTGGCTGTGCTCCTCTCTCAGGGACACCAGCCATTGTGCACTTCTGTTATGTGCTGCATCCTTCTCCCATATGTTCCTCCAGAACTGTTCAGTTTCCAGCCTCGGTGGATCTGCTCCCCTGTTGTTACCCTGCCACTGAGCGTACACCTTCGCAGGTTGTGTTGCGAACAGCCTGTTCACCCTTCTGGCTTCATTCTCTTTAGTGTACCTCTGTAGGCGGCTGGCCAGGGCTTGGAGCCTTTGTTTGGCAGTTTCGAGTGCTTCAGGTATGGTCATCTGGCTGTACTTTCTGGGTACTGGTCTTTTCATTGCACCTCTCTGGGCCTCTGTTAATTGACTCACTTCTCTCCGAGCCGCCTTGATCTTAGCCTCCAACCGTCTTTTCCATGGTGGGTACTGTCCATGGCTCCCATGGTTGCTCTTATAGCCAAGCATCTCTAGGATCACTGCTGCTGAAGTGTATATCAGCTCATTGGTTTCAGTGATTGTGGTGGTAGGTATTGCCCTCACTGCTGCATTCACGCTTTCTATGAGATCCTTAGGTGGTACTTCACACAACCGCTGTAACCGGTGTCTTTGCCCTGTGCCCATTCTAGCCATGATCTTAGCTTTCAGGTCAGTCGCTGCCTCGTTCAGCGTTATCGGTTCCATTGGGGCTATGTACCCAATATCTGGTTGGGGAGTTGCAGTTGGTGGGATCTCCCCTGTGACCTCGGCCACTGTGGCATCATATATGTGTTGTACTTCATCAATCTCAAGCTGTGATAGCAGTTGCCGTTTGTGGATGTTGGAGCATTGAGCTACCAGTTGTTTCGGGGTCAACTGTGACTGTGGGTTTCGAAGTAACCATTCAGCCCACATTCTCTGCATGTAACCTCTTTGGCCAGGGTTACTCGAGTAGTAGCATTCCAACAGAGTCCTGTTATCGCATCTCGCCCACTTTCGCCTTGTTCCAGTAGCCCACTTTTCATCAAGGTGCTCTGGTTCCCCAGCACCTGACGCAGACCTTGTTTGGCCGGGCGACGGCTGATCCGGCATCTCATTGCTTATTTGTACCTTCATATATATATATATATATATATATATATATATATATATATATATATATATATATATATACTGTATAATGCATGTCATTGTAACAGTATGGGCAGTATGGGAACAGCAATCCCATATTTGGTAAATATATTTCTTCTGTTTTACATGGCAGTTAGAAGCTAGAAAGCAGTAGAAGGTTTCACAATCAAGACATGTATGTTCAGACGCTGATTCCTCTTTTAGACTTGTCTTCTCAATATTGTCTTTCATGTCAATGTAGTCATGACAACCAAGATGGAGGCCAACGGATATACCAAAGATCTTTTGTGGAGTTTAAAGCACTATATATAGACGTGGTCTCGAAACACATCAAATACTCTGCACCATTCTATTGCTGCCAACTTTATTTATATATGACATTTTATGTACATATCATGTACATGTACAATGTTCAAAACCTGTGGCGCAGCATAGAAACGAGTCAGGATTTAAGTGCAATTGTCGGGTAAAACAGAGGGCCAGTGCAGTCAAACTTGTGTCATGTCTGGTTTATGTGTCGGTGTTGTGTGACCTGTCCGATCTCTGCCGTGATACTTTTTGAAGACGCTACTATTGTTTGGTCGTTGTATATTAACCTTAAAATATTTAGAGATTCCAAGAAACAAATACTGTTTAGTGAATAACTTGGGATTAAAAGAGAAAGGGACTTAAACATCATTACAAAGGGGATTGACTGAATAAAAGATTAACCTAAATTGAGATTTAGTAGTGGACCAGCTGTAAGTAGCAGTAGCTATTAAGTTTGTATCAAATCCTAGTCACTGATTACACAATGTAAAAGTGCAGAGTCACGTCTAAATCAATGTTATTAAATATGTGGTTCCTTTATGTAAAAGGGTCATAGAGTTTAGTTTGTATTGTCTCGCAAGACTAAGGTGCACCTCAGAGGAGGCAGCAAGATAGAAATGCAAATAGGGGTGGGTGATTGACAGAAATTAAAATCATGATAAAGATATTCATCTGATAGAGTTGCTCCATCCATCATACTTGTACTAAAATATGTTATTCAACGTTTAAAGGTTCGAGTATAGCAGCAAAATACAAATCACAAAATTAGAAATATATCTGCACATTTGTTGGAAAGTTGTATTCTTTAGTTTCATTAGAATAATTTCTGTCACTTTTTACTACTGAAAATGTAATAAATATTCAAAATGTCTCAAAAACAACTTTAATTTTTTTTCAATATATTACCCACCTCTAATTGCAAAATCAAACCAGCCCCAGTAGTAGTCTGAAGGAACAAATGATTCAAGTGATAGCAAGCAGAACATAAGTTGCCTAATCACAAAACGGCTTCAGAAAAATATTTGCCTTTGTCATGCCTTGTCCAACACAGGTTAAGATGCATATTTGATAAAAGTCATGCATACCCACACATAAACGTTGTCTATGCATAGATACACATCCATACATTTATATTTGTAACTATGTTACCAAAACGTCTGATGAAAAACTGCATTTACAAAGGTGTACATAAATAGGATGCTGTGGTTTCGGGGTGTAGCAGCACAATTGGACGAGAAAATGGTCTCTGGAAGAAACCCAGTTTGTGATTCAGGGTTTTTGTCTGTTTGGATGGATGTACGTGTCTCTGGCCCATTCCCCTGTGTCACCCCTCTTTTTGGGTGCCACCTCCCCCTCTCGGTCCCTGTCTCTGTCCCGGTCGTAGTAGTGGTGGTGGTGGTCCCGCGGGGGCCGGTGGTGATGGTGTGAGCGCTGCTTGTTGCGCTCGTTATGGTCCTGCTCGCGCTCTTTGGACCTGTGCTGTCCGGTGCCGTGTCCGGCCTCGTCCCCTGCTCTGTTGTGGTGGTGGTGATGGTGGTGGTTGTGGTCCCGGTGGGGCACTGGCTCATAGCGCTGCTGCTGCTGTGGATGCCCCTCCCCTAAATCCTCTTCCTCTTCCTCCTCCTCCTCCTCCTCCTCCTCTTCCTCCTCCTCTTCCCGACGGAGGAGCTGTGTCCGCTGCTCTGTGTAAGCTGATTCTTTGCTCTCCCTGCTCTCTGGCGTCTCGGAGTCCAGAGTCTCTTGCCGGGACAGGCCCCTGCCGCGGCTGCTGTGGTGGTGGTGGTGGTGATGGTGGTGGTTGTGGTGCTCAGTCCTGGTGGAAGACGATCTGTGGTGGACGTGCTGAGGTCTCCGTGATGAAGGCTCAGTGCGCTCCTCCTCCGGCTCCTCCTCTGCGTCGTTGTGGTGCTCCTGGCCCGGATGGTGGTGGTGATGCTGGTGGTCTTCTTTCGAGCTCTTTCTCTCCACCAGAGCCTTGTCACTCCTCTGCTCAGGGACGCCTCCCTGTGGTCCGTGAAATATCAGTTAATACGAGAGAAAATAGAGGCGTAACACAGACACCCCATGCACAGAGAAGAAACCACACAGAATAAATATAAATCACACACCCAGGAAGAAAAGTCATTGTTTTGAACATATTTAGGCGATTATGAATGATAACACAAATACTTATTGTCAATTAAAAGTTTTTTCTATTTTCGCATTCTAATAACTTAATTGAGCCACTCTGAGGAGCTCTCAAATGTGTGGTTCGTGCAAGGCGCCCCAGGAATGTACAGAGAGTTGAGGCAATTAGCCGAAAAGAACGGACAACAGCTTCCTGGTCTGAGAGGATAGATATTGTGAAAACTGGGATATGGAAACTTCTGATCAGGGCCAGAAGAGCAGATTCTGTTGTCATTATGCATTGAAAATAGAAAACAAGTTTATATGACAATACAGAACTTCACACAACCACTAACAATGAGTGTTGTTAGCTGTAGCCTTATCATTCATCACCGAAACATTGCATGGGAATAGTGTGTAAAGCATCGGTGTATATGAAATAAAATCAAACTTGATCTTAAAAACAGTATCACACACAGCAAAAGGAGATCATTAAAGTACCATTGTCAGTATCCCCAGACTGCACTTCACCTTCAGATTTCACTCACTCACCACTTTACTATCACAGCTCAATCCTCCTCTTCTGACAGCTCAGCATTTGTCTCATTAAGTATCCACTTGTGGCATTAAATGATATTCAAATGAGGAAAGCAGGACAACCAATAGTATTAATATATACTATACTAATATATAGTCGTAAGTAAGTAAGTAAGTAATCTTTATTTATATACAGCCTTTCACAGACCAGAGTCACAAAGCGGTTTACAATTGTTATTTTTGGGCATTTGTCCTCTCACTCCACACAGAGATGGGAGCGGGGTCGCCAGTACAGGAGGCGCATGCCAGACCTATTGTGCACTGTATCTTGGATTTTAACTACATTTGAATCTACTCCAGACCATACTAGATATACCAACAATGAAGCTGCAAAGTGGGTGGAGATTTCAAAAAAACGTATTAAGCGCTGTGTGTAAACTTGGTATAAAGCAACGATCAGCAATCTGGTGAGATTTTTAATGCTTTTATGTTGTTCAACACATTTGGTTTCATGTATTTCAGAATCAGAATCAGAATCATTTTTATTGCCACGTAAGTAACAGGAGGTCACAGACTAGGAAATTGCTTTGGCTCAGTGCAACAGTCAACAAGAGATAATAAAAATAAGAATAAAAAACACTTCTAAAGAATAAATTTAAATTTAAAATAGAGTTACAGTTACTATTTACAATATACAAGTGCACATGGTGCACACAATGTAAGGTGACAGCAGTACAGTGAAGTAAAGTGACGTATGATGGGCAGTAAAGTTACTTTATAAAGGGCGGGGGGACAGGTTAAGAAGTGTTCAAGAGTCCAACAGCAGAGGGGAAGAAACTGTTCTTGTGAATGAAAACAAACAAATTACCATTAATGACCACGAGATCTACATACATAGAGTATATATAACATTCATATACAACATGGAAAAAAAAAACGCAAAGTAGTGGGGACGTTTTGCCATAATTTATGTTTGACTTGCGTTTATTTCTCGGCAGAAATCCCTGCGTTGTTGATAGTAGTTAGCAAATAGAAGTTAGCCTCAGTCATGTCTTGATATATAGATTCTGAATGGAGAATTTTACTTCTGAACCCAGGAAAACTACCCACTTCCAAGCTCCATAACTAAAAACTGTTTGCAAATTGTATTAGTTATATTGACAGTTTTTCAGTACTAGTCTTACCTGTAAAGCGGGGAGAGGGGCTGTGCTGGTGGCTAGAGGGGCTGAGGGCGTCTGGGTCAGGACTGGCTCAGGCGGGCTACAGCTGCTGGGGTGAGTGCTTTTCCAGTAGGCCTCCAGGTAATCAGCCATGTGCTCACAAGCGTCCTCCAGCTGGTTTTCATCCAGAATTATGTCAAACATTTCCTGAGACAGAAGAAAAGGAAACCAGTCAAGACAACAGCGCTGCACTAGTTTGTGAAGCAGCACATACAATATTTAAGCAAAAAGAAAACAGTCACTGCTTCAGAGATAAATACTAGAATGTCATCACTTAGGCAAATGCACAATACATACATTGGATAAAAGCACTTCCTCAGCTTGCATAACAATTTCTAAATTATTCAAAAGAAAGGACAGTTAATTCATTTATTAGTTTGGATCATAGACTGTATATAAATGGACAACGCTAACCCCCGAGCTCAATGAAGCCCAATAGGGAAGTGCTCATGGAGTTTTACTCCAACTCTCTCTGGCTTCTATGGACTTACATTGAAAAGTAATCTCCTTTAGCTCAATAACTGTTTGTGCCACACTCACCATTTTGTGCTTAAAAAATCTGTGGTTTAGCGTTTTCTGAAATCCTGGCGTTATTATTTTGACATAGTCTTTGCTAATCCTGCTATGAGCCATATAAGGATTGACCAATCAGTTTGCCATAGCAACCGTCTTAGCAACATGTCTACCTCGGAACAAATGCCCATTTAGGGAACAAAGAAGAAAAATAAAAATCAGATCTTTGCCTCATTGTTTCCCGCATTATTTTTCCCACAATCCTCAAAGAGCACCTGATCTCACACCTTAATCTTTTTTTTTTGATCCCCCTATGCACTTGCTTGTTTTGTAATGTTGCAGACCCATACAAGGAAATTGGCTCCAGGTTGCTTATGTTCAAATCGGCCTTTTCCGCATTCAGCTAACACTAAGGTGACCTCAGCACTCTGTCAGTCCACTCCTAATATAGTCTGTGGTCTCTTATGTGCTTTTCTCTATTGTGGTAATAATTGTTTTGCATGGTATGTTGTGAGCAGTGTTGTGCCAGTTCACAGCTTTTCTGAACTAGTTCAAGTTCAGTTCATACATGCTCAAAGTGAACAGTTCACGTTCAAAGTTCACATTTTTAATTATAAACTAGTTCAAAGTTCAGTTCATTTTACTTTTTTCGCGAGATACTTAAATACATATGTTTTTCACACTACGAGCTATATATATATATATATATATATATATATATATATATATATATAATCTCCTGTGCACCCACAGGAGGAGAGCCTTTTGACTACAAAACAGACTAGATTTACATGGTTTTCAATGGGAGCAAAACGGAGTTGCCCCATCTCTGCTCATAAACTACAGACAGTAATGCGCTGCAGTGCGTGTGTCTATACTTTATGTCAAATGTAAACGGTGTAAACTTTGTCGCTAACTCACCCTGTGTTTTCATCACGACTCGGGCACATGTGAAAAGCACCAGCTCACAGCGCCGCACCACAACACGGAGTCGGGGTGCGTTCACAGACGGTGGAAACCGTAGGAATTTTTAGATTTCAGCGGAAAAAGTGCGAGAATACAGGAGGGAGGAACTTTCTCTCGTTGCGTTTCAAAAGAGAAAACAGATTCCAACGTTCAAAGTGATGTCTGCCGTTCATGACACATAAAATGAGCTAATTCACGTTCAAGTTATTTTTTTAAAAATGTGTTGCGTTCAGTTCAACGTTCACAAAAAAATGAGCGTGTTCAATGAACGCGTTCTTTTGAACTCGTTCACGCACAACACTGGTTATGAGGTTATGTATGTTTTCCCGTTTGTTTTTTTGAGAAATAAAACGTTTTTGAGAGTATATTCATATCACTGCAGAGATTATATAAAGGGATAATATTGAACTGGCAGCACTGATAAAGCTTCTGAAATGTGACTTATGAGATATGCACTAAGCCCGGAGCTCCAGGGGCAGAACTGTCGGGGTTCGGCACGTGGGACTCACAGGAGTGCACTGAGCCAGCTTGTCGGCCGCCACCATCTGCACATTTAGGTGTTTGGCCTGGGACTTGCCTCTGGATTTGATGAGACGCTGCAGCACCTACACAAACACAACAGTGCAAAAAAAGGCAAAGAAATGTTCAGTTTAGAATCTATATCAAGATAATACTAAATGCCAGAACACAGGCTTGGAACTTATAGGGGACAGGGCCATGGCTTCACACAAACATTTCTGAACATTTTTCATCTATGATATTGCTTTTATTGATTTTAGTAGTCCTCTATCTCAGCGTTTTCAGATGTTGTTTGTTGAGCCTTTGAAAATGATCCAATATCACCACATTGGTCAAAATAATGTAAAAATAAAATAACGTGAAAAGATTAGAAGGACTTTTTTGCGCTTTGATTTTCTATATTATAGACGGATGAGACTTGTATAATACAATTGTACAATACCTGTGTTGATGGAGGAGTATGTACATTTATATACAGTGGAACCTGGTGTTTTTTCTCATGTCTGAAATAACACTTGAAGATAGCAATATAAAGATTTCAGATTTTTATCCTGAATAACGTGCATTGAGCCGATAGAAATAATTTAGCCAAAAATAACAGATTAAAAACAGGCAAGAAAAGAAAATGATTACACCAACTTCCGGTATCTAATGTATAACAGGACACTGCGAATATGTTCTGACAAATATACACAGACACACACATACACACACAGACACACTTCACAGCGGTGAGTGTATTTACCTTGGGAGAGGTGATCTTGACGTAGACTACAATGGGTGCGAGCGACGTCTTCCCCAGTTGAGACGGATGATTTATCGTATCAGCGTCGAGGACCACTAATTGTAACGTCCGCGCCAGTTCGAAAATACGCTCTATCTCACTCTGGACTTCAGCTGGAAACACAGGATCAGTAAATACACCTACAATTACATACATTTGGAAATCTACTTTTTTTAGCCTCATTCCAGACTGAACGAAACAGGCTGTGGCGAACTTATCATTAGTAAAGCCAAAAGTTTCTGTCAAATGTTTGCTTCCGTTTCCACACGAGCATAATCTCTTTGAAAACATCACCAAATCCAAACAGCAGATGTTTCGCAGCCTCACAGTGATTCTAGACAAACATACCCAAGTTGGAGCGCGTGTTGGAGCGCTCGATGATGGCGTGCTTGCTGGGGTTGTTGAGGACCGAGCGCTTGGCAAGAGAAATGTCTGCAGTAACACGAGTTATTGATATTCTGCCACAAGAGACAAGAGAGAACAGCATGTTAACAGAAACATATGCTTCTCCCGGGATGCACTATTCACGAATAAAGCCATCACTTTAAAAATCATTATCAAGTTATGACTTTACAAGACTCAGACGTAGCGAAGGTTCTGGTGTTAGCTGCAAACTAACTCCAGAGCCACTACAGAGAAACGGTCACGATCAGAGTCATTATGAGTTTAGAGACGTGTTTGTAAAGCAAAAAATTAGCACTAATGTAATGAAATGTTTATCTGTGAGAGGATGGCTAACTGGAACGGACGCACGAATTAACTTAAATCATGTAATTCACTTTTCCACTTTAAAAGGATGTTTAAAACTATCATTTTGAACGGCTACCTGAACTCTGAATTTTGGTGTTGATACAGTTTCTTATGTAAATCCTCTTGTATACATTCACTTTTACTAATTGCACTTGTAAAAAGCATAGGCAAAACTAGCATTAGCTTCAGCCTGCTCCTTTTCGGTCTTTCTCTCTGCGGTAAATGTACTGTTCTGTAACAATGAGTAAAGATGTTCAAGGGACTGAAATAAACTTAACTCAACTAATTCATTCATAACTTGAAAAAGAGGTGACTGGATCAGAATCAGAATCAGATTCTGATAGAAAAATAAGCAAGTATTATAGAAAAGTAAAAGCCAGTGCAAGTAAAGGTGAAGGAGACATGATATGAAGTCCCCAAGAAAACTGAAAAAAGGTTTAATGATTTTGACAGACTGGAAATGATAAATGACATGTTTATAATTGATGTAGTTATTTGTTTGTGTGGATGGATGTGTTTCTGAATTTCTCCAACAGGGATCTATCTATGTATCCATTTTCTTCCCCTTGATCCATATCTGGGTCAGGGGGGTGGCAGTCAGAGCTGCACTCAGCCCCTCACTGATCCTCCTGCAGGTAGTGAGTCCACAGGAGCCTTGATTTTTCAGCGGGGGCTTTAGGCAAAGTGGGGTTAATTGTCTTGCCCAAGGACACAAAGACAGCAGACATCAGTGGGAGTCGTGAAGTAGGTCTTGTGATGGGCTCGAACCCACAACCTTCAGGCTCAAAGGCTAATGCTCTACCAACTAAGCTACTGTCACATGTATCTATGTATCTATCTAGAAATCCTCACCATGTACTGTAGTAGCCTAAGAACTGAGGAAAATAAAAAGCATGTTTGATTTCATTCTTCTTTGCCTTGAACCCGTTCTTTAGCGCTGAGAAAGATCAGTAGAATGAGATGTTCCCTTCAAATCATATCGTTTATATTACTGTCAGACATTTCTTGTGGTTAATCGTAAGTTAATTTGATGTGTTTTAATGTTTTTTTATGCCCTGTGCTGCCCAAACGAATTGCCCCTGGTGGGATGAGTAAAGTAGCCGGACCCTGAATCTGAATGTTCTTCCCTTGTCGTTTTGAGCAGAGCAGTAATGTATGGCCACATTCTTTGCGTTGTGTAACTTTAACTGGCCATACGACAAGAGACCTGGACAGCGGGACGACAAAGTAAAGGACTCGACATTGTGAAGGAGAATCCGCTCTAGAGTTCTCCATTATGGCCTATTAAGGACATGCAGAGGGCCTATTTAAAGCAGCAGCAGCACACATCTCCAGGCCAAACAAACTTGTTACACACTCTCTCGGCTAACCTCTCGGGACGCATAAATACCAGCCTATAGAGCGGGAACCAGGAATGAGGAAGGAAGCATGAGCCTGCAAAGTCACTATGTACTCACCTTCCCTCGAATCTGTGTTTTAAAAAGTCAAAGAGAGCTTTTTGCATCATGTCCGTCACCTGTAAAAACATGCAACCAGATAAGGCAACATTTTAACCCTTTAGCATTCACTCCTTGTTTTTTTTTTTTTTTGAGGGGGGGATTTTCCAAGATGTAGGACACTGATAACACACATAATTTGTTTTTACATGTAGTTTTTTCAATCATAGGCCTTTACCAAATGGTTGAGATGCTGATGGTACAACAACAACAAAACCATTGAAATCACCAACACAGATCAGAGAATCAACAGTTAAGACATGTTTTTTTGTTTTGTTAGTTTGTTGGTGAAAATTGTACCATGTGAAAGGCTATGGTTATGGATATGGTTTTGAAAAGGGCAGAAAAATATAAGAATTGTATTCTTCTTTTCTGCTCCTTTCCTTCATGTAAATGTTTATAATATATAATGTAACTACTATTATAGGAACAAAGCATTTTCATGAAATAAACACATAAATAAATACAATACAAAAAACCAAGTGAGATGCCCTAAACAGGTATATTTCAGTTTCAAGCATACTTAAAGTAGATATATGTTTGTATATGGACTCAAAAGGTGCTGCCAATGCTAAATATGAGCTTAATTTGACGGTCTTAAAATAAGATTTGCCAATGGGACAAAGCCATTTATTCTTATTTTAAGAACTGTTGCTTTATTTTCCTCATTCCAAGAGGGACATTTCTTGTATATTTTCAAAACAAGATAATTTTGCTTGTCCTTTTGGCATATCTCGTTTTAAGTCAGTCAAATTAAATGTGCTCAAATCAAAATACATTGTGCCAACTTAGAGTAATTATTTACTTATTTGTCATCACTTCTTGCTGTGTACCATTAAAAGGATTAAGTTTGGGGCAGAAGTTGAAATAAGTGGAAATGTACCTCGTAGCCCTTCAGCGATGGTCCGACCAGAACCACGGGCCGCATGGAAGGCACAACATCGTACGGGGGGACGTGCTCCGTCTTCAGTAAAGAGAAGAGAGGAAAACATTAAAGATTGGCTCACGTTTATGGAGACGGAGAGCATCACAAATCACAACAAGGTTAGAGCAACATCGAGGCACAGACGAGACGCTTAGGAAAACACGCTGAACCATGGCATGTTGGTCTAAGCCGTTCACAAACAGAACACTGAGATTTGATTTACGCCAGATTTGGATATATTCTCATAGTGTCAACATCGTATTGTTGAAATTAGGCTAGAGTCGACTACCAAAGTGCTTTTAAATGAAGTGAGTAAAGAGTGCCATGTCATGGTTCAGAAACTAAAAGTAAAGTGTTAGTTCAACCATCACAGGATGTGGAGGGATGATATCTGGATAGTGAGACATCAATGTATTTTATTATCAATTGATTTGACTTTGTTGTTGAGTTTTCACAGCTCGAACCTGTCACACTGTCAGGGCTTTGTGCTTCGCAGTCCACCACACCACAGATCATTTGTGCTTTTGTTGTTTGCTGCCGTCATAAGCCCTCCACCCGGGAGGTTATGGGAACTGATGCACACTGTGGATGTAGCACGCAAGCTACATAGACAGCTGTGCGGCGCTACTGGTGCTGTTAGCTATCGTTTACTATGTTACAGGACACAGCAAAGGCAAAGCAAACAAGACAGAGTTCAAGACATGAATGAATACATAATTGAGAATTTAACTCCCCGTTATTCTTTTTTAAGGAAATAATATGAATGTATGGTTCCAAAAGATCAATTCAACTATTCTATTCTAGTATTCTAGCTCCGATTTGAATGGCCATACCTGGGCAAACCTGAGATCCAAGTGGAGGCCTGGTCAGTACTTTCCCATCTGATTAGAACAACTTAGGGAGAGAGACTGGGTAGTAAGTGCAAGCCGTGTCTGTCCTTAGGCAAGACAAGGTCCAAGGCGGCAATGGTTCTGAATCGGCCCCTTGAACTGCCCCAGGGCATAATTTAGCGCCACCATGTATGAAGTAATAAAGTGAAGGAATAATGCCCTGTGCAGCATCTCTGGATGTCATGAAAAGCACTATATTATCATTCTTATCATCTGTATGTATTTGTTAGGTCCATAGACAATAAGGTAGTTTGAATCATTATTATTACACCACTAATTAAACATGAAGATGACGTAAACATACGGAGTGCAATAATCTGCTTCTGATAAGAATTCTTTAATCTTATTTTTGTTTGAATAGATTGATGTCACACTGACACAGGAACACAGGTTTAACACAAACACAGCAGCTCAGTTTGGGGGCATTGAAAAGGTGAGGACAGAACAGGTCAGGAGCCTGCGCTGAGTGTGCAGCGTTCTCGACGACTTACCGACTTTTGCTTCTGTTTAGCTTTGTGGGGAGGACAGAGACAGAGGTTAAGAACAGGCATGCATGCTCACGGCTGTGGTGTTATGGACAGGACAGAGAGCAGCCACGGGCGGTCAGTGAGAGCAGTGTGCGCACTCCCATTACCTTCTTAAAGAAAGGCATTCGTTTCTCTTTTGCTAGGGGTGTGACAGTGTTTGGACTGGCTTTAGGGGAGCGCAGGTTGGCTGGGACCTCATTGTCCTCTGGGTCTAAGCCTGTGGCGTCTATGTCACAGGCTACGCACACACACAAGAGCACCGTCACTCTGAGGAGAAATGATATGTCTCCGGAGGACACTTTAATTGTACTTGTATACATACAGTGTAGGCAACTACATATCGAACAAGCAGAGGTGGGTAGTCAAAACTTGTACTCAGGTAAAAGTAATGTTACTTCAACAAAGCCAAGAACAAGTATTTGGAGGAAAATCAAGAGTAGATGTATTGAGTAAGTCTCTGGAATTTTTCTATGAACAAAACATAAAAAATAGCAACATCTGGAATTGAACTTGACAAACCAAATAATTTCACATTGGCAACATAAAAGCTTTGTCATCCAAAATGGAGAAGAGTCGCCAAAGAATTTACAAAAGGATATCATACTGTTGTCTTTGAAATATGAATAAGAAGTAAAAGTAACTGTATGTTGTCATCAAACTGAATATTACCCACCTCTGGAAACATGTACAAAGATGAAAAAAGCATGATTAGAATGAACTAGAATGTACAGGCCTCAGATTATCTACGATACTTTACCTTAAATGTGAGGGAAATCTTAAATATCTTTCAAATACTCACCAGAGGACGGAGGAGTAGATTTCCGTGAGTTAGGAACCACGTCACCTAAACTAGAGGAGGAATTTGCTCCCAATTTACTGGAGATAGAAAAAGAGAGAATATAAGAAAGTTGAAAACTTTATGTGAGGGGGTCAGCTGAGGTGGTCGTACCTGAACTTTCCCTGCTTGGATCGCTGATCCTGGAAGATACGTGTGTGCTCAAGCTTCACTGGACTGGGGATGAAACCGATTTCACAGCCTTCTTTCACAAGACGACCGATCCACCAGTCGTTATTGAATTTCTATCACATAAAAATGAACGAGGGTCAGCCAGCTCAGAGCTCACGTAACTGTTTTGAATGTTGCGTGATTGGGATTTACCTCTTTGACATGCAGGAAGTCTTTAGCCTCAAAGGAGACGGCCATGCCTGGTACAGGGACATCATCGTCGAGGCTGGAGCTGTAGCTGACATTTGTGCGAACAGCGAATGCGACTGGTTTGGTCTGAAACAGATTAATATAATTTTTTATTCACACTAGCATAATTAATTAGGTGACATCACCAACCAGACAATAAACAGCAACAAAAGGCCCTGAATATGAACAGCTATCCAATTCAATTCAATGAAATTTTTTTTGCATAGCCCTAAATCACAACAGTGGTTATCTGGGAGGACTTTATAAAGCTGTCGATTCGCAGACACAGATCAGAGAACCAAAGCGTTCACAGGGAATGCAATGATAAAAAACACAAAGAGCCATTGGTCCATAAGAAGCGGAAGACCAACGTCCATAAATGTTGTCGATAAATGTCGAATGTCCTGGATCATTCCCACTGTCCTTAGACTCTCCTGTATCAGCAAGGAAGAACTCTAAAAACCCAGTGGGAGAATATGAGATCAGTTTGTTCATATTGTAGATGAAGTCATTTGTGCAAGTGGTCGTTCAAACATCCTGATTTTCCATGCTACTGCTACAGAAGTTTGTTTGTGTTCTGAGCTTGTGTGTATGTGTGCCGCACCCTGACATTTCCCCGTTTTTTATCCAAATACTAATTTGTTTACGTTCATAATTCCTTCAAATGTTGAAAGGAACACGGTTGAATCTGGCCCGGACCCACCTCTCCAGCCGAGAGGCAGGATTGGATTGTGCATTCAGCCGTCTGCTCCGACAGTGTTCAAATCAAGGCTCAGTTTGCCTCTGCACACAATCGAAGGACTGTATCTTTACTCTTTTGAATGCACTGTGGTTATCTGTGATTTGAATCCCTTGTGTGATTTGTTTTTTTATTATCTGTGTGATCTAAATTGTTATGTCTTTAATACCTTGCGTGATCTTAATGTTTGTTGCAGTATGCTTTTCTGTGTTAATCTGTATGTTGTTTAATGCCGTGTTTTGAATGTTTATGATTGACAAGGTTGATTGATTGATTCATAATCACACAAACCAATGGCACTAACAGAAAATGTGGCCTTACTATCCTCCAGGGCTGCACAATATATAGATAAAATATTGTCATACGGATATTGGTACGTGGGTTATTCATATCAAAATGATGCGCAATCATTTTGAAATAGTTATGTATGCATTTCTTGTTCGCGCACTTTGACGAATCTGTTGCAACCTAGTGCCGCCACTGTGATTGGTCTTGATTCACAAGCCAATCACAGAAACAAGTCATTTGCAAGTCATACCAAAAATAGTTGTTACGTAAAAGGGAAACCGGACAAATGCATTTTTAGGTAAAAGACAAAAATATCGCAATAATATCGTTATCGAAAGACTAAACACCCATTTCCAATATCGTGCAGCCCTACTATCCTCCCACTTAAAGTCCTACTATTAAAACAAAGTTATTTCTAGACTTAGTGCCTGTGCAGAGAGCTTCAAATTGCATTAGCCACGTTTATGTAGAAATATACTCTGGGTAAATCTTACTGTAATGCATATCAATCATATCCAATTTAGAAAAACAGTCAAATCTCAATGCGTGGACCTGGTTTTTTACGAGTTAACAGTATAGCCATGAAAGACTCACGTGCTTCAGAATTACATAAAATGCTTTGGGACATAATCGTGGAGTCAGGCTGGCAGCGCTGGCAGCAACAGTTGGACATGCCCACAACCAGATTACATTCAGTGGGCCTTAGAGAGTGTGTGCAAGCTGACAGGAGGCCAGTGCAAGCCAAAACCAATGCACAGGAACGTGGCTTAGAGTAATCTCCCAACATAGATTTATACGCTCAATATTCACCTGGACATGAACGAGGCCCGAGAGAGAGCGAGACCGTTAGCCAGAGGTGCAATATATTTAAGGTGGAACTAAGCAGGATCTGAGCTTTGATGTCCCGGGAGATGAATATACACGGTTCAAAATATTAGCTGCAACAACAAACCATTATACTGTAGATAGGTGTAATGTCTGAGTTTATGTTTTAAGTATCTATTTTAATTCACAAATTTACATTTTGAGTTAGCGCAAATATCTAATTACACTTTTGGTTTGTTCACACATTTATAACAACTCATATAAACTGTAATATTAACTCAAATATGTCTAATTCTAGGGAGAAAATAAAACTTAAGGTTACTTAACTTAACCCTGGTTCTTTGATAACAGAGAAATACTATTCTTAAACTAAACCTCTTCTACTTTAACATATATATTATTACTGTGGTTGTGAGGTTTGGGTTGAAGATGTTGATATAGAAGATACCTTTTAACATGTGCTGAATAAATAAATACTTTGTGGCGCCAATAATGATCCTGTCACAGTATGAGACACAAACCGAGGAAGGAAACATATAGTAAGTTGTTTAAAGCTGAGGTACCGAACTGTCAAGTCACAATACCTTGAAATTCCACAAAATAATAATTGAATCGCTCTGAAAACAGTTGAGTTGTATGGGTTTTCTCTGGGTATTTTTGGTCTTTTTAAAAGTGAAAAAGAGAGGAACACCTTCACTCAGCCAATCAGCTCTCAGCTTAAATAATCAGATAATGACTCATAGGTCTCTTTCTTATGCAAGATTCTTTCTGTTGGGACAAACACGTGTTATTTAAGAAAACAAAAACAGTTTTGTGTCCAAGACTAAGCAGAGTCTCAATATCATTATCAAATCAACATAGTTTCCCCATGTTTACATTATTTAAGGTACATATCAATTGTAACTTTTGAACCAAACACCTTGAAGAAGTCCATACATCAGCCAAACATCAAACCCATTAGGCAATGTGTCTTACATGCAATTTGTGCAAAGTATGAGACCAATTCACCCTTAACATCGTAAGATAGAACTGTAAGAGGATTCTATTGATTGACTGGATAGAGTGTAATTCATCAATGGGGTTTTGAAAGCTTCTTGCTAAGAGCCAGCGGTTTACTCTCCCGGAACAGAAATCTCTCGCTCTAAGTAAACCCAACATTATTACAGATATTTTCCATTTGACCTCCTCCACAGATAGGTGGTGATTGGATTTGTTTGGATCGATCTCCGGCAGGTTTTAAGAGCCAAGGGGGGAATGTGCACTCGGGCTGTCGTTAATCAGAGCTTTCCAAGAGCGCCTTACATGGGACAAGTGTCTGCCTTTCACGGCCTTCTCTGCTGCAGCCTGAGTTACAACAGGTGAGATAAACTAGCCGAGATTATGGCTGTAATTCATGAGAGAAAGCCCTCTTCCTGCTGTATAAATATTCTCTGGCTGGTGGAAGCTGTTTGTTAGTGACATTCATCAAGAAAGAGGCGTGGAGGTCGCAGAGGACGGGCTGACCTTGTGAGTCACGTGGCGTTGGAGGTGTACTGCACGAGGCCATTAGAGTCTGTGTGGGGTAAACGTATTCTCACGCATCTCTCTGGCTTCTCCCACAGCTGCTCCACGGGGGAGGCCTGTCATATTACACGGCTTAATTGCATTTTTCAGCCAATCCCACGCAGACATGGTCAAAGTTTACATAGCGCACGCTGAATATGTAAAACCACCCTGGGCCTGTGATGATCGTTACGTAACGCGGGCCTTCATTATGGATGGGGACAGAACGGCGGGGACGGGGAGGAAGCCGTTGGAAGAAGGTTATCGGGAAAGTTTGACTGGGAAGTAAATTATGCAAGCGTGAAAACAAAGGGGAAAATGGAATACATCAGGAGATTGCTTATCAATTATGGCGACCCAGGGACACCGAGCAACGGACCACAGCCAATTAACACGCCACGATGATATCAAAGCTCCATATGAATATTTTATTGTCTAATACCTTCATGGCCTCTTTGTTGTATGCTCCGACTGATGTGCTGGCCTTGTGGCTGTTGATTTGCCACCTTACATCCCTCTGCCTCCCCATTAGCTGCTCTAGTTGCTTCTTGGCGGCTATAAATCTGTGATCCACATTGTTTCTCCTGGATGTTGGAAATCGATGGGAAATGAATCCAACGCAGCTTTGTGAGCCTTAGGCAGCACACGGAGGCACGTCAAATGGATTTTGTATGGTGAGAATACAGCCATGACTTCATTAATTTATTATGAGATGATTCTATTTTATTTTTTTTAATTACAGTGTTAGCAGAAGCAGTGATGAGAAACTAAGACAGCAACACTATCTGTGGGTTTCAGCATCCTCTATACATGAAGAATATCGTTTAAAAGTTAATTTATTTCTGATATTCAACGTTCAGTGTTTAAGTGACATATCCCAAGCCTTTCTTTGTTATATTATTTATCTTGTGTTGTGTGCTCCTCAATCCTACTGTTCTGCAGCCGGTGATGCAACACTGAAATTTCCCCACAAATAAAGGATCTCTTTATATAGAGATATATTCTTTTTAGGGTTTTTACAAGCTGTAAGAAATACTTAAATGAGGCCATATATAAGTTTCACATTGTCAGTAAATTACATAAATAAATGGACTGTTGAACAATATTCTAATATTCCCAAGTTTCACCTGTATGTGACATTTTTTTGACTTTTAACCATTCAAAGTGCTGTAATTGTCAGGCAACAACTAGTTAAGTTTATTATTGTTTGTCATATACACAATACATGTAGCAGATGTTCAATACAAATTTGGAACACACAATAACAGAATAACACAGAAACCGAGACAGAGTTAGGCCTGGTTTAGTTTTACGGCCTTCTCATCCTCTCATCCTCTCATTACCAATCATTCTGAATCCCACAGATAGGTGAGATGTTTGTATTACATCTAATGAAGCGATGTATCAAATGTGATGTGGTTGCGCAGATGAATTAGAGCAGAAGATTGGATTGGTGTGCGTCGTCTGCACTGAAGCTGGAGGTGACAGACTGAAACGTGAGAGCCAGTGTTTCAGAGAAAGCCGACAGCGAATCAGTTACAGCTGAGCCTCTTCATTACCTCAACCACTGGTCAAAACTCATCTATATTAACACCGTCATATTAGTCCAACAGACACACAAGACACACTTATTCATATTAAATTACATGGGCTGACTTTGTTATGATGTTATCTACAGTCAGAAAGTTTGAAACCAAGAATAGAAACATGTTCTTGATGAAGTTGAAAATCCTGGTTAGTGTGGCATTAAGTGTAATCATTGATAAGTAATGCTCTCCACTATTTATTGGATTTTATTTTTGTACTGATAATTTGGTTGAGACATGTTAATGAACACACCTCTCCAGATGGTAGTTTGTGTCCGTTGTCCCAAAGTCGCACTCACAAACACACACTCATTCACCTTGAACTAACCGGAGCACCTGGACGAAACCTATGCAGACACAGGAAGAACATGCAAACTCCACACAGAAAGGTCTTGTCTGGAAGTGGAATCAAACCCAGCTCTAACCACAGTGCTCTATGCTGTTGATATAAGTCATTCAAAGCCTGACAGCCAACCTACATCACATGGCACCGGCATAGCAAAACAAAAGAAAGCCACACTTAAAAATTTAACACTTAAAATTACGATCGCAAATAAATCTCTACAAGTCTTAGTGTCAGTTTCTTCATTCTCAGTCTCAGTGTCTTCATTTTGTCTTTCATATATTGATGCTTCAGCCCCAGCACGCCACACCATACAGGATACAAAACATGCAGGTCGGAATGCCCAGGTCCTATTCAGGTCAAAATCTACCATTTACTCTGCTGTCCTCACTTCACCACATTTGCAAAAAGTTTGGAGCAGTGCGTAAAGCAGATGGAATGCCAACTTGAGATTGAGATGTAAACAGACGGGACATATTGTGGCCTGGAGGAGACAAATACGAGTGATACGCAGCAGCTGAAGTCAAATAGTGCTTTTAAAGACTTCCTCTGGCCTCATCATGCTCTCCACTTTCCAAGGACGTGCTAAAGAGCAGATCATACGACTGTTTTACAAGTCGTCCGGAAATTGTATGGGTAAAGAGGCCAAATCATACAGGCCAGGAGGTTTTAGTGATGCTGGGTTTAAAGTGTGTACTCAGTGTGTCCCAGCTCGTCAGTGTATTATTTGCTCATAGCCCTGTGCAATATACACTCAGGGGTATATTGCACAGGGCTGCTTCTCACTTCAAGGAGGTTCTATGCAAGATGAAGACATTAGAGTCACTAGACTCTAATGTGGGATGGCAAACAGTGATCTGTATTTATAGTCACGACTTGTAGGAAAAGACATGTACCTCTTGCCAGTCCTTTGAAGCACAATGTGTTATTCTAACATGAATCTCCCACAAAGCCTGACCACATGAATCATTCCTATGACAGCCTGCTCTATTTGGGAGCTCCAGGACTCTGCGGGGTGCCGGCCGACACAGTACAGACCTTGGCCTTGTCGAGCTGTGCCTGGGCCTGGCGCTCTGCCTCTCTGCGCACTGCCTCCTTATCCTCTTCCAGGGACACATCCGAGTCGGACGGGCGGCTGGTGTACGAGTCGGCCGAACCCTGAAACACAACACATCCACAGTGACAATCTACTCACAGGAAATGCTCAGTGCAAGTACGTCACGACTAAATGTCTTATTCTTTGAGCTGTGAGTTCATCTCCATCTGTCGCCGGTGAGTAAGTCATCATGACATCCATGACAAATGGCACAATATGTTGCTACTATTTCCGGACTGTTTGATTCAGAAATAGTTGACAAAATTAACAAAAGAATGAGAATTACAGTGTTTCCCACACATAGACTAATCTGTGGCGCACCGCCACAGATTAGAGACCGCCGCCACAAATTGCGTTTCGTATTATTATATATATTTTTTTTTTGTTACGCTATTTAAAACATGCATCGTCTAGTGCCGCCGCAGCGGTCAATTTGACAGCGGGGAGGGGCGTTTAAAATGTGGCGGCCCTTCGTAACTCTCACTCAAGCTACGCGTCTCTCCCACATACAGAGACCTACACACACACAGCCCCTCCCCTTCGTGCACACCGTGTGTCTCCGTCTCCATCAGCGATCATCGCTGTAAGCAGCTGTGTCTATTAATTTTGGTGCAGAGAAGACGGCTGGTGAAGTTCACTAAAGGTTGGTATCCCGTGATCTCGTAAATCACACATTAAAAAGTGCTGAATGTTCAGTGTCAATGTTGAATTTCCGTCCCGACTCCCTTAACAAGCGATGCCGCTTTCTTTATAAAGTTAATTAGTCGCAAGTTTGCGGTATGTAGTTGGGTTGTCGGGGTCAAAACACTATGTAGCAGCTGTAGCAAGAAATAAAGTTATAAGTAACGTTATGTCATTTTTTTACTCTTACACTGAATGTTTGCTGCTTCAATCCAGATGAGTATTGAACAATATTTATATGAACCATATCATTACAGGGATATTCAAGGTCAGTGAATTGACCTGACACACACACACACTAATGCCATGACAAACCCTTATCTTTCAAGAACAAGAACCAGGAGGAGCTCTTGTGTTTACTGGCAAGTGAGTTTGATGAGTGGGCCAACCTCTACCCCTGCCTGAGCCTTCTGGCAAGCATTGCTTTGGTTATCCCTGTTTCCTCTGTGAACTGTGAACGGGATTTCTCTGCAATGAACAGGGTAATAGCAATAAAAAATTCCCATTGTCTTTATATTGGTGCATTTTGCATTGATAATAATTTATCATTTTGCTTTATCTCCAGGTGAAAACAGACCTCAGGAACAAACTGCAAGGAGAACACCTGGCAGCTTGCTTGAGGATCTCCATCAATGGACCCTGTCCTGAGGACTTCCCTTATGATATGGCATTAAAATCTTTTTTTCGCCAGCCCCGAAAAATCAGGTGCTCTGATAAAACATGCAAACTTTGCAACAAGTAGGTTTATACAGCGTTAACAGTATTTATAGTGTAATATAGTGTTTATACAGCGTGTGAATAATGTTATTTTTTGCAACAAGTAGGTTTATACAGCGTTAACAGTATTTATAGTGTAATATACAGCGTGTGAATAATGTTTGATATTTTGATCAGTCCAATAACCCCCCCCCCCCCCCCCCCCCCCCGCCGACGACCACCACACATTGCCTTCAAACCTGTGGGAAACACTGAATTATTTTCATTGCTATTGTTTGTAACAGGAAGTCACAAACCAGGAAATTGCTTTGACGCTCAGTGAAAGTTATAAAAGTACAAATAAAATAAGGCATGCATAAAAAGAAATACAAAATCTACGTAACATTTATTAAAATTACTACTATATACAAATGTATTAATTACACAATGGACATAGTTAGGACCAAATGGTTATCTGGTTTAAGAATACATGACTTCATCACACTCCATGTCCTCATGGTTTCACAGAGGCCAGAGGTTTTCACACATGCCTTTTTATGTGGAAAAAAATGGAAGCAAAGATACACAAATCTATCGATAATAAACTTTGGGTAAACTAACAACAGGTTAAAAGTAAATGATACATTAGCAGGGAATGTTTTATATCATACAATCTGTGGATGTTCTCTCTCTGATAAGAAACGTGTTAAAATGACGTGTCCAAAGAAATAGCACGATCGCCTCGTCTCTCCCTCGCTCTGTCTCTATGAGGCTGCAGATTTGTTTTGATCCTTTTACGACAAATACAGGACGTATCGCTCAAGAACAGCATGTCCAAATATGTATCCTTATAAATGGAAACAAATACAGGATAGAACCTTCTGTGTGCACTCCTCATGCGTTCTGCCATATAAAGAGGCTTCATAAATAATTGTTGAGCACAAAGTAAAGCTTGTGGATTCAGTGCTTTTTAAATATACATGATGACAATGTTACATCAGAGGGCCACCCATAAATGTTGTCAAGCCTCATGCTTCCCTTCCTTACCTGCACACTACTACACTACCCACACCAGCTCGTTCATTCATCCCACTGCACCATAACATTGCCGTCTGAGTTAAAAATAGCCCCCTTCACTTGCTCCTGATTAGAATTACCAAAGCGTCGCACACAAAGACATATCATACCGTTCTACTGTCTATGGTTCCTCACCACTTTTCCACCTGACTGATGGTACAAATGTCCTCATATAGTAATGCTTCACAATACAAGGTTATCCATGTTTATGTCAAAAGAAGCATGCAGCATATCAATCATCATGCACTGCTTTTTCTTTGCTTGTGCCGTGCTTGAATAATTCAATAACAAGAGCGTTGGTGGACAGTTTGTAAACTGTTTAGGCTGTTTTGTTTTCTAGGCAGCTTTGCAACATGAGATGATTTAGAATAAGGTAATGAGGTAAAAAGCAAGATGACTGACAGATGCTTTGTAAAGTGTAAAGACACAAGATGATTTCACTGAAGCTAAGACATGAGGAAGAGCACAGATCCAGCGGGTCAGGGGGAGGAAAGTGGAGCTCTGCCCAGAATCTGACAGTTCACTGATAACAACTGCTGGTGTGTGGTAATAACTGTCAAATAACCAGCCTGACCCCACGACAGCCTGATGGATACCTTTACACTCACAACACACAATAACTTTCACCCGCACTGAGCTGCTTACACAGGCATCGGAGTTCTTGACACGACCTCCCTTGGCTTGTTTCAGCAGGCGGATCCAGGTGGCCTTCATCAGCCACACTGGTCATTCACCTGAGGACACCCTCGCTCCGGCCCCGGGCTCCACTCCAGCTACAGGTACATTCAACAGCGCTACATCCACAGCCTATGCACAGTGTCACTGCTCCCGCACAGACACTACGCTCATGTCGGGAAGAACGGGAACTGCCGGAGTTTAGGCTCCTTGTTTTGCTGCAGTTGCAGCTAGCTCTTCTGCTACGACTCCTGATACTCCTGCTGCTGCTGCTACTGCAAAAGATGGGGACTCCACAGGAGCTCTCTGCCCCACGCATAATCTCAGCAGCGCTCTGCTTGTCCGCCCAGTCTCCTTGATGCTCTGCCTGCTGCAGGTGCTCCGGTCTGAAATCAGTCAGGGGGTAGTGCAGAGCCTCATCTCTCTCTCTCCTCCTCACTGCTGATATGCTTCAGTTGTACTACTCCAGTCCGTGTGCGTGTGCTCCTGATGTAAGCGCTCTCTCAGTCAGAGATGTGTCCCTCTGCCTCAGTCTGCCTCCACCCCTCCTCCTCCTGTCATTCCCTCACTGTCTCACTGGTACCCCTCACACTCTCTGTCTACTTCTTGCGCCTTTGCAGTGATCACTACAACACGTGCCAGATCCTAGCATGCTTTCAATTCATGCATTCAAATAGACATTCAGCGAGATGGTCTATGAGTCATCCATGGGAGGGCTGCACAATCTCAATAATTGTAAACAACACCATGTGCCCATAGTATTAAGAGTGGGGATGCATCAAAAGCATAACAAGATAATTGCTACCATCTGGAGCAAGAAGGTATTATTTTGGGGGAAATTATGTTTGATAACATTTCAAATATGGCACTGTCCAACAGCCAACTGAGATGCAGTAATGCTATGAACATTTCTTCTTTATTGCATATGGTGCTTTGCTGATCCATGAAGCCCCACTGGAGCGGTGGTTGCCGGAGGGCAGCAGGGAGGAGACTCACTCCCTGAGGAGCACTAAGTGTAGATCTAGAAATGACATGGTTGATCAGTGCTGGTTATAAAATCCAATCAATGACACGCCCCCATCTTCCAGAGCATCTTTACCAATGAGCGTGTGACTAAAAATGACACATCTTACATGAAAGGAAGGAGGGCCATGATATAATGTGATTTGAGCTCATTAAGAACTATTAGCATAATGAGACATTATAACTTGTTGGAAAATGACTTTGAATAGACATTATACTTGGTGGAAAATGACTTTGATCAGTTGGTGATATAAGACATTGTTCTCTCCAACAGAGGTATGCAGTTTGTGCAGTTACTGATAAATTAGATCAGAAACAATACGTCTCAATTTATTATTCTGCCGTTCAATAAGTCCATAGTTACAGTTTATTATTGAATTTACTATTGACTGCATCAAGAAAGTTAGTTTGCTTTACGTTTATATAGGGCTGGGCAATAAATCGAATTTAGGCAATTAATCGGCTTTAGAAAAAAATCGAATTTGTGAATAGTGTGAAAATTGAGAAATCGAATGAAGGATATTCTGAGAGTTCCAGCAGCACATGAATTATACTTGCAATATCAGCACAGTCTGTACATAGACTTTTATAATACGTATTGGGGTAAACAAAATAAAAATGGTTTTGAAACTTGATTATTGAGCAGAAATATTTTTAAGGGCAAACTTTAATGAAAATATATTTAAAATCAAAATTGTCCAAAGCAGGAAATAAAATTGCCCAGCCCTACGTTTATAACACAATATAAAGAAATAATATTAGAAGATTATGAACTCATTATGAACTATTATAACATCTTGCAATCATGAGATTTAAAAGTAACAAAAAAAACAATAGTGATAACAATGCTATAACAACAATAGATACATCACTGCTCTTGCTGCTGATAGTAACTAGTAAGTATTTATTACCCTGCCAGGGGGTAGGTAATAGGGTGGCCTCTGTGGACAACACTAAAACTAATGGACGGATTGAGCTGAAATGTGGTGTGTAGATCGGATGAGATCGTAGGAAGTTAGGAGTAATGGTGTAGTAGTTACACATAATCTAATTATAGTAATTACAGTGAGTATGTGTAAGTTACACCCAACACTGGTTACCTAAATAAACAAAACAACTGCCTTCCCTTCTTTCATTGTCCTGTCACTACTATGGATTTATTCTTAAAGCAGTTCCTCTCTGTTTTAGCCAGGCATGTATTGGACACATATGCACAGGGCTATGAGGCCTATGGTGCTCTCGGGGCAGTGCACAGATGCTCTGAAGTGTGGAAGCCATGGAGCAAGTGGAGCCGTGAGGTGAAGCAGCACTGATGCAGACACAGGCAGACAGACCAGACCCCCAGCTAATGCCCACCACCACAATCTGTCACAGCACTCACCAGCAGACAATAGAGACATGACACTGTGGCCTGGTCTCATGTATAGTCCCAAAACAAACAATCCAAATCTTCCTGTTTTCAAAGGGGAAAAAACATTCACATCTATTTGATTTGTATGTGCAGTAAAAAGTAAAAGATAAAAAATCAGTCAGCGAGCACTTTTTCTTTGCTGCAATAATTCATCCTACCTGACAGGTGTGGGATATTAAGATAGTGATTTGACAGCCTGAAAATCCATTTAAGATGTTCTTTACATTACCACATTACAAATGACCACTGCCATTCCTCTGGTGGATCGTCTGGAGTGCTGTGCTGCTGCTGTAGGAAACAGCTCCAGAAGAAGCTCCTTATGTTCTGAAAGTACTGATAATTTTAGTTGAAAAGAGGGAGGGAGGTGAGAGAAATCTGCATTTTGGAGATCTGTCATTTAAAGTAGTCATATTACAATGAACTGTACTCATATCTTGTTTTTTAATTTAAGTTCGAATTGAAGTTTTAGTTTGTATTTAAAGACTTTCTCTTAGCAGATAATGTGTAAATTATTTCTGAATGAAGATAGAAAAGTTGACAAACCTATGGGCACAAACGACAAGCTGAAAGTGTCCATGGTGATGTTAGTGCAGAGAGGACATGCTAAATTGTGGTCTAGGTTTTATAGGAGACAAAATAACAAGGCAAGGTGTCGCCCACAGCGAGACTTCATCACCATCTTAGAAACACCACTATTTATGTGGACCCACTGAACCCTTTAGAGAAGGTCAGTTACACATAACCTACAGTCAGTGAAAAGTGAATGAATTAATAAAGTGAGTATCTGAAAAAAGTGCATTCTAATTACAAACCAGTTAATTGTGTTTCCACCAAAGAGATATTCTTTTGGATGGTATCAGACCTGTTTCCACTTTGGGTCAGGCTGGTAGGCTTGCACAGGCTACAGTTTCATATGACATACACTATGAAAAGACGTGTGTGGCTTGTGGTTTTAATCACTGCCCACTCAAACAAACAGATTGAAAGATACAAAGCCTGCACTGAGTCTCTGTGTTGTCGTGTGGTCAGTGCCGCTCTCACATGTTTGAGTGAAGAACATTTGCTCATGCCCAAGCAGGTCCTGCAGAGCCTGCTGCTGAGGCTGTGAGGCCCAGGTTCAGACTTTAGTGACTCACTCTTGGCTCAAACCAAAGCCTTTAGCTTCACCTCCATCTGTCCATCACTGTCTCATCACTCGGCACAACAAGAACTCAATTAAATCAATGGTCAGCAAAGTGGTCATGGTCAAGTGAAGCACACGGAGCTGTACTTTGTATCATCAGCTGCAGATATTAAAATAAAACATATATTGGAAAAGACAGAATGTAGAGTATGAAGTATAATACGCAAGTAAAATGCTGAGGGTGGGGTAGAGCACAGGGATTGGCTGCATCGCCGTCAAGGTGACACTGACAGGGCAGTGAAAAAAGTGTTTACCCAGCATTCCATGTGCCAGTGCATTAGATAAATGCATTATCCCAACGAGGGGATGGACTTTCACTGGCTGTCAATCACATGACTATATCCTACTATGCAACTGGCAAGATGACAAAGATCTGATGGCAAACCCTCATCATAAAGAACAATAGTACATAGAAGAAACAATACAAGGACAACATCCATGGACTCTGAGGCTTGCCTTTGATGTCAAGCACAGATTATATTGCAGGGGGATAGATTATTTACATACTGTATACTTATAGCTTGTCGGTACTCAAATCTGCCCTTATTTCTTGAGGAGTCGGTTCCTCTGTCGCTAACCAGTGGACCAGAGGATTCCAAGCCGTGTACGGGATGATGGTCCGTCATGTGGATACAGTAATGGAGGCAGTTCTGGTCCCTTCTGGGTTGTGCTTGCGTCATCAAAACTGTGGCAGTTTACTGGTGTATGGAGCAGAATGTGGATGATTGATGACGATTGGCCAAAAGGGGAGAGGGAGCCACTAGCCAGCTCCACTGAAGCAAAACATCACTTCTCACAAATGGGACTGGGCTGGACCAAAGTTATCAAGGACCATTCATTTTATCATATGGAAAAAGTTAAAGGTGACTATAAAGCATCATCTCATTCATTTACACTGAAGAATGCCTCTTTGTAAGTTGTATAACATGTATTTAGGTATTGACTGAAAATTAGCCATGCTTTGTGAATCCATTGAGAAAAAAATACAAAATAAATCTCTGTAATCCAACAATGCTCTGTCCGCACCAGGCCGTGTAAACAATGCCACATATCTCAATACACCACTTCATAGTCACTCCACAAATCACAGGCAAACACTCCAGGCCGTCACGGGAGATACAGTAGGTGTTGGTTGAAGAATAAGCACATGTTCCAAGCTCAAATAATCCCAAATATGAGAAACAGTTACAGAGGAGACTATGACCTTAAAGCTAGTGGTATTGCTATTGTGTTATTGGCAGTGTACGTGACAAATAAGTCTATCTATTTATGTATTTATGTGAGCAAAACACGTAACTAATGTATTCGATCCAAATATTTCACAGATCACACTCATCAGTTCAGAACTTAATGAGTCATGTACTGCTCTGAGTGCGCGTTTAATGCTCGTAAGTGGCCCCTCTGTTTGGTTTTATGGCTTTGATAAATGTGGTGCTTGAATAGTGTGCTAAGGCAAAGCTTTCAAAAGTTGGCCAGTTGTAGGAATTCTCTCAGTCTCTCAGTCTGAGCTTCAGAACTAGCGTAGCGTGGAGTGGCCTGTGCCAGTTCAAAAGTTTCAACCAATGAACGCTTTTCCCCCGTCTTCACAAAGTTGAACGCAAAGTGTGTGTCTGCTCCTCTTATAACCGTGCACTGATATGCTTTTCTCCAGTTGCTGCTCTTTGTTCGGAGTGAGAGAAAAGTGTGCAGGACTCACCAGATCTGAGTCCTCACTGGCGGAGTGGTACATTGTGCCCAGTCGAGGCCGGTCAGACCCTCCTCAGCTGCAGCCCATCTCCTCTGCAGGAACTCCCTCCAGCCTAAACACTTCCCCTGACAAATCCCCTTGTCTGCCTCCGTCTCTGACTCTGTCCCGGCGCTGGGGAGAAGTTCCAATGTCCGGCCCGCTTTACTCCGTGAGAGGCAGGGGAGAGGCGGGCGTCTTTCCCACGCTGGGAGAAGACTCACGACGCGCAACCGTCCTCCAGCTCCAAAAACAAGCCCCCCTGCCCCCTGGCCCTCTCCCCTCCCACATACACACATGTAGCCCCGCACACACATACTTGGAGGAAGTGGAGTTTCTTGCCAACACGGCAGGCCTGAAAATTCCAGAAAGCTCCAAAAGCAGCAGCAGAAGTTTCTTAAGTCCGTGCAGTGTTTGATTTGGGCGTTTTACACATGTTGCTGCACTGAAAGGGAGAGGGAGACTTAACCTTAGCCTACTTCCAAGCTCCACACATGCTTTTGAGAGCCAGACGGCAGGAAGCAATCATCTGCAAAAACTCAGCTTAAAGACATATTTGCTTTGAGATCTGCCGGACAAGCCAAACAAAATGGGGCACATTAAGGTATAGAAAAAAGGAAGTGGTAAACGGTGTAACAAAATACACTACAGCTATAAAATTAAAGCTGTATAAAAGCAATCCACAGACAGATGTCGGGGACTTGTCAAAGCTTTCCAAGTGCTTTCCAGCTGCACTGTCTGGAGCAAGAAGTGGTTAAATCCAAGACACTTTATGAGACACTTTGTTCTGAACTGTGATGTGCCTTATATTACGTCACAGAGGAAGGTCACAAGCTCAAATGTGTGCGCCACAGCTAATGTACATTTCACACCACACACAAGTAATACTGTTTCTTAATTACACTACAGGAATAAAGGGATTTAGCCAGAGATGACAAAAGTACTTGTCCTAGGTACTTAAGTAGGTTTATTTGTATAGAAGAGATCATACACAAGGCAACTCAAAGTGCTTAACAAAACAAGATAGAGACATCAATAAATAATCACAGTGCATTAAAAAGAATGAAGACACAATCCTTCAGTTTGATGCACAGCTAAACAGAACTGTTTCTAATCTGGATTTGAACAACGTGCAAGATGACAAATATCTAATAAAACCTGCCACCTTACTTCCCACCTCTAAAGTAAGCAGCATGGAGTTTAACATTCACAAAAACACACGTTTTTACGGAGATGTAAGCAGTCAACATGGCAGATAATACATGGCACATGTTAATAATAGTTTTAGACTACTATATTGTTTAGGACTGTAATGACAGACAATCGGGATCTATTGTATGGGCACTTAGTGCATCACTGGTCAACAAAAAGGTGATGTGAAGGTGATGTGGTGCTTAAGAAATCTCTATGATCTATAATCTAATCCAAGTCAACTTTTAAGACTCCCTACAAGCAAAACGTCTCTGAGGGTTAGTGTCAATAAAAAATATAGCATGTTAATCAGAAAAAAAAACAACTTAAACATTAGCTACGCGCCCCAACAGCAAGACAATTGTATTGAAATCAGCTGAAAAAGACCATTCTTGAAAAGTATAAGTCCACTAATGCAATTCTGGTCCATAAGACACCATCAACTGACTGATTCTTTAACGCCGGGCGTACACAGATTCACAGACTCTGACTTCTGTGCAGACTTGTGCTTAAAACCAAAGAGCTGACGTCCACTCACCTCGGAGCGCGGCGAGCCCGAGTGTGGGTGTGTGGGTCTATTCTTGCCGGACTGTGCAGCGGCCTGCTCTGGTCTCATTATGATGAACAGCTGACTTTATGTTGATCTCTGTGAACCCACGTTGTTTTGGGTGAAACCAAACCGCAACTTTGAGTGGAGTCAGTGTACGCCACAGTCCGCAGAGTGAATCAGTAGTTATGTCCTTGACCACAATCAGAATGCATATTCCCACAAGGAGGTAATATGAGGTCAGGCTAAAGGAAGGTGAAGTTCAGCCTGCAGCAGAACATGAGGAGGATCCTGTCAGCTGATGTGGACTATAACAGATCTCATTTTACACTAATGTTTTTATATGTGAAGCTAAGGTCTCAAACAACTTGAGATGTCTTGTCTTTTATTGTAAAAGCCAGTACAATTTGACTCAAATGTCTATAGAGCTGCGTTTTCAATGAGGATCCCCAAAAATAGGAAGGAAATGACCTCACGTCGCCTCATAACTGAATAAAATGTAGATTAGAACAAGGAAAATCCGCTGTAGTGTTTTTACTGTCGTCATTTGTTGATATATTGTTGTAATTAATCTGGATTTCACTGCTGTAGAGGATGTTTTTTATTAACAAAAGCTAATTACAAATTCTTCTAAGCATGAAACATAATAAGTAAGAGATTTATGTTGAAAGATAAACTATAGAAACTTTTATTGAATGGATGAACTTGACCTGACATGAAATTGTATATTTAGATATAGATCTCTATGACTGTTTAAATGATTCTCCCCTCATGGACCATACAATAGGTGGAATTGAAGAGATGGTAGAGTGTCAGTAAAGTGCTGACCACAATCATCGTTCTCTCTTAAAGGACTTGGACTCAGATTTAACTGATCAGTCCGGTTTCTGCCAGCTCGGGGAAATCAGTGGCTCTATTGCCTTTGCTTTATTGACCAGTGCATGCACCGAGAGTGACGTCAGCCATTCACACTGACAGACGCACAAAGGCCAACAAGCCCGACTCACAAAACCAGTATAGAGTAATTGGCCCACAAGCAAAGATCAATACAACATTGTAACACTGTGTGGGTTAGAAGAGGGATGACATTGACAACACTAGATCTTTCATTAGATAAGTCACCTTGCACAAAGACGGAACTGCTAGTATTGGATTTTCCGTCAGATAATTAAATCCCCCCAAAAAAAACTAATATTCACCAGACGGCGATGCTTCATCACTGCAGTCATTACTCATAAAAAATGTGTTATGAACATTTAGTCAACTTAAGACAGCCAGGATTGGGCCAAAACAGCACACAATTAGATCTTTGGAGGTCTGACAAAACGGCACCTCTCGAGGCCTTTCACTCTGCCAAGAATGCTATTACCCAAATGAAAGTCTCCAACAAGACTCAAACTTCTGCTGGATGAATCTCTTTATTTCCCTAGTAACTGGGCACACTCAAGCTGTTGGCCATGAGACTATATGTACTGAATACAGCCTGTAAAGAGGCACCGGCAAATCCTAGGAGTCGCTGGATAGATGTAGACCATTCTGGAGGATCCACACTGGCCCTTGTGGCTTTGATTCCCTCCTAATGAAAGCCCCAGGGCCAAAGACGGCATCTGACGGAGGTTACCTAGCTACAGCACATGCCCCGGGACCAGTTCTAATTACACCTACCAGAGTGAGAAAGTGAGGAGAGGGAAAGAGGGATGAAGGAGTGATGTAGGTGATGTGAGCCACAGCTGTTCTGTTCCGTTCAGCTCCAGGGCTTCTACTTGTATTTCACATTTATGTCTCTCATACAATATATGGGGACAAGATAACATACACAATATGTCTATAGGGATGAATGATGTGGAAACAACTGTATAATACAACCTTTTTAACAAGCAAACTTTCACAGTTGAAGCCCAAGAGTAAACAAACAGACTCAAACGTAACAAGGTGTCGAAATGGAATCATGTCATCCGGAATGCACACCATGCCGAGCTGACCTCAGTGTCAGAACAATGCAGTAACAGTGGCAGGAAAAAGTCTTATCCATAACAGTAATATGCTGGACTAGTGCTGTAAATAAAACAATTTTGCTAAGTCCAAATTTGGCAAAGATTTTGACTTGCATTTGGTGCATGCTTGGGTCGAAAATGAAAACATACATAACTGATCATTTGGATGCATTTCTTTTTGCCAGCATGAAAAATGAAATGGCAACGGTCTTCACAACGTGTGCAACGCTAAGATCCCAGAGTGTTTCAAACAAACAAATCTGAAAAAAACATTTAACAAATCTCCAGAAGAGCCCCAAACAGATTTAAACGTCCTATATGAGATAAAACAACAGAAATGTGCCAGATGTCTTTGTGAGTCTGGGTCTAGTTGTAAATGTTTAAACTAATACTTTATGAGCCTAAATTACTCAGTCACAAACCAACTAAAGTGAAAGAAAGACAAAAGGCTCAGTACAGGGACATATCAGCAAATATTAAGAACCATTGCCATAAGCCTATATTCAACAAATGAACACTCTAAAAGTTAACCCAATCTTACCAATGTGAGGTGTACAGGCCTCGGAGATAACGGAAGCACACTCAAAGGAATAAAAAGCATGAATGCAGATGCAGCGGGCGTCTCCTGGACACAGCGACCGGTGCAGTCCTGACTTGTGCTAACAGAATCTCTTCACGCTCACTTCACAAATCACTACATCAGCTGTCCCACATGGCGTCATAGAGAAATGCATGGGTCAACATTCATCTGTCAATTCGAATGTGTGCTGTCTATGCGTGCACTGTGCTGCTTGCGATACACAATACACAAGAAAGGAGAGTGGAGAGAGAGCTGACGCAAAAGAAAAGAATAGAAATTAAACTATAACTTAAAGTACATAACAAAGATCACACTAAAGTAGTTGTAATGCGGCATGTACTGTACAGGCAACACACACAAGCCACCAGTGTTTGGTTACTAATACATACAATACAACAGGGTTTCTTAACTTACATCTGTATAAATAAAAGTATTTGGTTCTTCTACATCAGACAATAAGATCGTAGACGTAATAATACTTTTTACTGACTTCATTATGCTAAAGTCAGAGGTATTTGGACATAAATCTTGCTTCTTCATCATGCTAAAGTTGGAGATTATAGGTCTATTTCCTTATAATGCAATAGAGATTTTATTTTATTTTATTTTATTTTATTTAGTACAGAGTTAGTATTACCGGTGTGCTATTTATCTGTGTGCTCCTCATTCCTACTGTCTCTAACTTGTAATGCAACACTGAAATTTCGCCACCGTGGGACGAATACATCTCTTAATCTTATTGTCTGGTATAAAAGAACCAAATGCTTTTATTTCAACTAAGAAGACAGAATGAACCTTCCTAAACTCTGTATTGAGTAGACTGTATTATTCAACGACTGTCTACACACTGACTGGCAATTACAATCCACACCAAACAGGATATGGGAAAACTCCAGCTGAAAGTGTGTGAAAATAGCCAAACAAAAATCTATATTCTGTCACATAACTACTGTACATCACTACAGCGGACACAATAGCAGCCATATAGGAACAGTTGATCCTCACTCTCACTTTGTAATGATTGCTTCTCTGTGTAAGGAGATTTAAATGAGCTTTAGCTTTTCAACCAATCCAGGATTTAAACTATAGTAGAAAAAATATTTTAT